GCAAACTTTCTTCTCTCCCACCGTCTTTCTCTCTCTCTCTCTCTCTCCACTTTTTTCTCTGTTCTCTCCCTTTCCTTCTTCTTTCCCGTTCTCCCCTTTCTCAAATCCCTCATCTCTTCACTAGATTCCATACCTAAAAATCAACCTCGTCATTCTGAAATCGCCGCCACATTTCGATCTTCTCGCACCAGGTTTCATGGCTGGGCAGGTCAGAAGCAGATGGCGGTGGCGGGAGCAAGCTTCCTTCCTCCTCCATCAGCGACGACGAGAGACGACAAATCTGGGCAGGAACTCGTTGGCTGGACGCGCATATATCGGAACAGCGAGCGAAGGTCTCGGGCTCGCCGGCTAGCTGCGCGGAGGTGGGAGCTCTGATTTGAAGAAAAACAGGGAAAGGAGATATGAATAGCGACGATTGGTCTTGGGCGTCGCCGTCGATTTTCCCACAATTTTGTCATCGTTTCTCAGTCCGGGAGATAGAAATATAGAGAGACTGCTCACTCACCGTCAGCACACGTCGGAGACAAGGCCGAAAAAAATCAAAAAAAAAAAAAGTAAAGCGTTCAATTTTTCTCTCTCCCCTTGCACCCCGATTTGGGGGGTTTGCTTGAACAGTAGATTTGCGCCTGGATTATTGCACCCCCCTACTATTCAAAACTTTGCCAAACGGGGGCAAACGCATTGGGAGGAGAGTTACCCCTGCATTTTTGCTCCCCCCTGCAATTACCCCTCTTTCCAAACGAAGCGTAATAGAAACTAAGGTTGCAAAACCAACATAACTAAAGAGTGTTTGTACTTTGGATGCATTATTTTAGATTAAAATAATGTATTCAAATGACCATCTATTGTTATTTCACATTGAAATAACTCAGCAAAATATATCACATCTTGTCCTTCTTTTGACGAACGAATTATTTTGATTCAAATCATTCTATCTTCCCCGACAACCATTTTACCTCCGCTTCCTTCAAGACCTCGCAGATGGTCAAGGATCGTATACTGTCTCAGTCGCTAAGGTATTTACCGTCGACTTGATTTGGAAGAGCCCTCATTTTTTCAACCCCATCAAGGAGCGGGAATCGGATCTTCGAGGTAAGAAGATGTTAGGGCCGACCCTGAGGTTTTGGAGGGCCTGTTCTATACACGAAATGTGGCCCAATTTTTTATTTTCATAAAAAATTTACTAAAATATAAAAAAATAAATAAGCATCATTACAATATTATTTAAAAGAATCCAAATAGTAAATAAATTGAAATTAATTAATTGACTTGAATCAGCTAGCATAGTTAGTACATACCCCGTTTAATACACATATATATACATGTACATGTTCTATCCGTTCAAAACTTTTATATCTGTATCACTATCAAACCGTTTTATTTGATATAAATTTTATTTGTGGGCTCTTTTCGTTTTTTATGGGGTGTTCTTTGTTTTTGTTTTGTTTGGGTTTTGATCACTTGCGGGTGGGTTCCGTTGGTGCCTTGGTGGTGCTTATTTCTTTAGTTTTGGTGGGTGGGCTTTGCTTTGGGTTTCTGTTTGGTTTGTGGGTTTCCTTTTGTGGGTTGTGTTTTTTTTTTTTTTTTTTTTTTTGCTATCTTTGCAGGTCATCGTTTGTTTTGGTTCCAGTCTTGGTGGGCTTTTGGATAATAACAACTACTCTCCTCTTCTAGTCTTCTTCTTGGCCCTAATCTGTTCCGACTTCTGCCTCCGGTTTTCTTGAGCACTTAGCAGTGGACCAGAATTTTGAGATAGGTGTGTCGACCAATAAAATAAAATTTAAATTAAATTAATTAACATGAATGAATTAATTAATTAAAAATTAACAGAAAAATTGTATTCATAAATTTCACCAATTTTATTATTTCTTACGGTGAACCACGACGATTTTTCATATTCTTAAAGATTTCTTAATTGCATTTTTCCATTAGGTTGCAAATCAAATATTTTTTATGTACAAAATGAAACAATTATTCATAAACTGATCACTCAACTTATACCAAAGATTGTTTTTGATTAAACTCATATATGAAAAATGTCATTTTGTAGCTTGCAGTTGGAACTTGGAAGAGGTAAAAATCAATACTAATTTAAGATGAGAAATTTGGTATGAGAATCTCGAAGGGTGGCCACATGTGTCAACATGGAAATTTGAATGAGCATGAGGATGTCGTTGGCTCGATGCCGATAATTGAAGGGTGGCTACATGCGTCTACGTGGAAAGAAATAACTAAACTAGAAAGCAAGTTGAAAATTAACTTAAAGAAAAATCTATGGAAGAAGCTATGGAGAAAGACAGCCTGGAATTCACAATCTAATTATTTTACTCAACCACCTTATTAATCAAATTTAATTCATATTCAAATTATCGATGTTATCTCTAAGGTGATAGCTATCTTTCTAAATACTCATTATGTACTAAGTAGTCAATTAATTGTGTACTCTTGTGCAACCAACTAATTAACTACCTAATCTGAAGCCCGATAACTCCTCTATTTGCATATTTTAACAACATTATGACAATTTTTTTTTGTAATGTAATAAGGTGTGTCGATTACAATTATTAGAGGTGTGTCGGAGGTCCCATATTCGTATTTTTTACACCAAAAATTTGTGGGTTCTTCACAAAAATTTCGAACCAAGGTGTGTCGGGTGACACACCTTGGTCAAAGGTGGGTCCGCCGCTGCTTAGAAGTCCATTCATTGTCCTGTCCACTGCCAAGTAATCTCTATGGTTTCTCGTGATAGGTTGTCTCTGAACAACTCTCGGGTATACAATGTTGTCTTGTTCAATTGTCATGGTCAAGTCTGTGTCGGGCGAGCTGTTGCCCCTTGCTCTGTGCTTCTTCGGTTGGTGCAATTGCGTGGTTGAGTTTGGATGTGGTGTGGGGTAGCTGGTGCAAGAATTGATTCCCCTTTATTTTTCGTGGATTTTCTGTGCTCGATTCATATTATCTTGTTTTGTTTCCGGTTTAATTACATTTATTTATTTATAACTTTCTAAGTGCAATTTAAGCTGCTCATTGTCAAAAAGAAAAGATTAATTTCTTTCTAAGCATGGAAGTTCCCGCGGGAAGGATTCGTTCATACACTTGTTGAAGTCAAATGGATTGAACATGTGAAGATGAACATTCAACTTCCCAGAAAACGAAACCGGAACCCATCAGAGTAGTACATTACCAAAGCAGCGGCAGAACCAAAATAGAAACAGATGGCCTTCTTTGTAAATTTCCCCAAAGCTGATTAAGCCGAATATATCGTTTCTAGCGTTATAATTGTATTAATAATTAATTACTTAATTATAATTATTCTCTCGGATCTAATGATCTTGGCCTTGGGACAGTGACGTTGCGTCCATTTCCCACATGACTATTTATGAACATTCCCGTCGTGGGTCCCGCCCGAAGATCGCCGGCGAATACAAAATACAGACGACGATTTCTAAGGCGAGAAAGTGGCCGGAGGAATGTAGATCGTAGACGGGCTCCGTGGATCTCCGCCGAACACGTTTGATGGCTGGAATACGCTAATATGGTTTTTTGGCATATTTTCACTCTTCGCCTTTATTCCATTCCCCATGCAACATTTTCCCTCGTTTGGATGCATAAAATTAATTAAATAAATGCTTTTAGGTGAGGAATCAATGCGCCAAACTGGATCAGCTACTTGAAGTCTCGGTGGAGGATTTTTTTTTTTTACAACCATATATCAAATTAATACCTTGGAGTAGGGGTGTCCATTCGGGTTCGGTTTTTAGAATTTACTCGAAACCGACCCGATTATATATATTTTTGGGTTTTCGGGTTCGTTTCGAGTTTCGGGTTTTTCAGTTTTGGGTTCGGTTTTGCTTATCGATTTTTCGGGTTCCGGCTAAAAACCTTCAATGAATAGAACTCAACCGTATTCTTAGGCGTTCGGATTTTTGGGTTTCGGTTTTGCTTTAACCGAACCCGATAAAGAATTTTCGGGTTTCGGGTAACCGGAACCCGCAAATCCTTATCGGGTTCGGGTTCGGTTTTAGTGTTTTTCGGTTTCGAGTTTTCAGGTTTTTTTGGGTTTCGGTTCGGGTAACCAAACCCGACCCGAACTGACACCCCTACCTTGGACGATCAAGATGTAAAATTGAATTAGGCTACAATATATTTTTTATGATAATTGGAATGACAGAATTAGGAGTTGAAACTAGATAATTTTTTTTTAATAAAGAATTTATTAGGGGGGTTGAATACAAGGAGTAGTAGATTGGTACGATGCTACTTGATGCTTCCCTATCCAATTCAAGTAGCTAGGATAAAGACGACGTTGTTTTCCCAAATCTTTTGATAACGAGGCTCCCCTTTGCTTGCTGAATGAATTTCTTGTTCGCTTGAGTTTAATCCGAGTTGTCCATAGTGTGGCAATATGAATTTCTTGTAACTATCATTTAGTTCTCTTATCTAAAATATATTTGTAAGAAACTCATATCGACAAAGAATGGAGAGATCTATGATTTATAAGTAAGAAATCGATCTTAACCGACACGAATCGTTTAAAATAAAGTGAAAAAAATTCTTTTAAAATTCGTGAGATCTAGACCCAGAACATACAATATTTTGTCTGAAAAAAATTAAAAATGTTACAGTATTTTTCATTAGTCATTTCTTATTTTAGTACCCTGCCAAGTTTGGTATTATTTATGGAAGTATAATAATAATAATAATAATATTAATATTAATTATAATAAAAACCTATCAAAGGCAAACAAAATCATACCTTCTTGTTTTATGACAAATTAATCAATTACTAAGTGGGATTTTGCAAAGATTGAATGACCAAAAAGGAAATATTCTAATAAATGGGTGACCTAGAGTGGGTTTAAAAAAGTTTAAACCCAGAAAAAAAAAAAAAAGAAGAGAATATGCTGCTGTAGGCAAAGGCAATGACTGAAAGCGAGCATTCCGTGGGCGTGGGAGTATTCTTTTACAGGTATAAAAGGCGTTCTGGACGGTAAGCAATAGCATAGAAGAAGAAGAAGACTCTGCCTGCCTCAGTCAATTCTTCTCATCCGCATCAGAATCAGAGAATCAGCCGACCCCACATCCCCATTCTTCTTCTTCTTCCTCAAGTTTCCTCTCCTTTGTTTCTTCCTCAAGTCTCTCCGTCCTCTTCCCCCACATTCCCCCTTCCTCTCTGTAAAGCCTGCTCGATTTTACCCACAACAGCACTCAACTTCCGATGGCCACCGTATCCCAATCCTCCGCCTTTATAACCAGACCCACTACCCTTTCTCTTCCCACATTGCTCTGAAAAAACCCCAACCCCAATCACTTCTCAGTTCCAATCCTGTTCGCGCGCCCTCACACTTCCTTCCTTCTTCGATTTCCAGAGCTGGGTTCCATGGATTCTTCCGAATTCGTCAAGAGCCACCGCCCCCTCCGCCGCCTGAGGTGCTCCGTCCAGCACTACGATTGGGGCAGAATGGGGCAGGATTCCCTTGTCGGAAAGGTCTGTGCTTTGAATTCTGGTTCCGAGATCCAGCTCGACAAGCCCTATGCTGAGTTCTGGATGGGGATCCATCCCTCCGGCCCCTCTTTCGTCGCCGACGGTGCTGGGATTGGGATTGCGAATGGGAACGGGAACGGGAATGGCGCAGCTATCAACTCCCACCCTCACTCCGACGCTGCTGCGTTGAGTTTGAAAGACTGGATTGTTCAGAACCCTTCCGTCCTCGGTGATAAGGTTTTGGATAAGTGGGGGTCTGATCTCCCCTTCTTATTCAAGGTACGAATTTCCATCCTCCCTCGCAAATTCAATGCATTGGCTTTTACTGTCCGCTGCAATTGCTGATTTAGCCAAGCTGTTTTGATTCGTGAATTTTTGTTCGAGTATGCTAGTTTTCGCTTGTGTGAATTCGTTTTGGGCAGTCATTTTGATGTACTGCAAGTGTTTGATAATATGACTGAATGAGAGTTCCTCGTTTGATTCACTATTTCGTAAAATTTCCCCTGCCCTGTGGCAAGGATTAGCTTTAATGGAGTCTCAGTGATTCATTCAGTCCCCTCTGGTTTCTCCAGATACTTTCTGTGGCAAAAGCACTGTCAATTCAGGCGCACCCAGATAAAAAATTGGCAAAGAAGCTCCATAAATTGCACCCAAATATATACAAGGATGGCAGTCACAAGCCTGAGATGGCTTTGGCCGTAACAGAGTTTGAGGCCCTTTGCGGGTTCGTCTCTTTTGAGGTAATTATGGTCTCCCCCCATCTCCATCTCGATCCCTTTTTGTGCTCTCTCGTTCATCATCACTAAAGGGAATTCTTTTGAGTTGGCTGTTTTCTCCTGTTTGTCGGTGGTATGGCACGTGATGGATGCCATGACAAGCTACTTGCTTTCATGTGAATTCTTTTAGTGATCTAGTTATGTTAAAATGGGATTTCCACAAGTCTCCTCTCCTGTTTGGGTTTTTCTAATTCTCCGTAATTTGGCTGGATCGATATGATGAGTCTGAACAGTAGATTACAGCTTGGCTGGCCAGCATAGAATAATGGAGATTATGGTTGACATACTTTTTCTTTTGGATTGATTGGGAAGCCTTTGATCTTTTGTTTGTTGTTGGGAGGTCTCATTTCTTTATTGCTTAATCTGGTCAGCCAGATTTGGCCCCACATCTTGGAACTTTGAGAGTCGGTAGAAGCCTCAGATGGCCATTTTTCTTTGCAAATGCTCGTTCAGCAGAACTTAGTTCCTATACTACTTCACTTTGTAGCTCTTATGATCACATAAGGCCTGGAAGTTATTATCTTTTGTAACATGTTACAGGAGCTTAAAGATGTTGTCCGTTATATTCCGGAGGTTGTAGAATTGATTGACAGTGAAGACACAAGCCAGCTACTGCATATCAATGACCAAGTGGAGGTTGAAAAAGTGAAATCAATACTGAGATCTATTTTCACCCAACTGATGTCAGCTAGCAAGGAGATGACAACTGAAGCAGTATCCAAGTTGAAGATCAGATTGCAGATGCAGAGCCAGGTCTGTTGCAATCTCTTGTCCCAAAAGAAACAAACTAGGGAGTTTTGCCTAAACGATACCTGTCTATGATCGATCCTACTCCGAAATTGATGATGAGTAAAATATTATCCCTCGGTGCTAGCATCCTCTTCTAACCCCTGAACTATAACAGGTGCGGCGGTTGACTGATAAAGAAAACCTGGTCTTGAAATTGGAGAAGCAATATCCTGGCGACATTGGTGTCATATCAGCCTTCTTTCTTAATCATGTCAAGCTTAATCCTGGTGAAGCTTTGTATCTTGGTGCAAATGAACCACACGCCTATATCTCTGGTGAGTGCATTGAAGTTATGGCAACATCAGATAATGTCGTGAGGGCTGGCCTTACTCCCAAGCATCGGGATGTCCAAACTCTTTGCTCTATGCTCACCTACAAACTGGTAATAATAATATTAATGCTATTGACCATCGATTAGTCCAACACTCCTACTCAATAATGTTTACTACTTGTGAAATGTGAATTATATTAATTGATTGGCGTTTCTGATCTGCCAAATCCAGGGGTTCCCAGAAATCCTTAAAGGGTTTCCATTGACTCCATACATCACAAGATACCTACCTCCATTTGATGAATTTGAGATGGACCGTTGCTTTCTCCCAAAAGGTGCATCCACTGTGTTTCCAGCTGTGGAGGGCCCTTCCATTTTTGTCATAATAGGAGGCGAGGGAGCAATGCAGGCAGGGTCGACTTCGACTAGAGATGTAGTGATGGAGGGTGATGTCATATTTGCCCCTGCAGGTACCCAGATCAACGTGAAGACGGTATCGGAGTTGCATCTGTATAGGGCCGGAGTAAATAGTAGATTCCTCCAAACACTCTGAAAGTTTCGTGGTGGGGTGAATTCAGCACAGACTATACCCAGCAAAGTTAACTTCCAGTTCTTTTTTTCTCTTCTTTTCAGGGTGAAAGAGTAGAGTTTTATGTAGTGTTCAATTTTGGTTTTGGCCGATGGACTACAGGCGGAGCCTTATACCTTTTAGTTACCATGTACTATAATAGATGCTAGCGTATGTAAATGCAGTGAAAAGGTATAGCAAAAGTTCTAGTGGCAAAGAAATTCAATACAGGTTTGATCCTTTGGGGTATGTCAAGTCTTCCATTTTGTTGGAGAAATGCCTAATCAATTGAGTTGTTCAATTGCCTTGCGTAAGCTTGTATCGCTGGTTCAATGATGGCAAAGGTTTGCAGTTGCGTTTTCATGAAAAGTTCAACAGTCATTACTTCCGGGGCAAGTAAACCTAAGCTAATCCTGCGATGGAAGTCAATGTTAAAGAAAAGGTCTAGTTGGTTGGTTGTTACAAGTTCTGACGCAAATCAGCTTACTATAATCTGATGACTCATTCCAGGACGCTTTTCCTTTTTTACCCAAATAAGCAACCTTTCATGGGGAAAACGTCCCAAATACGATACAATTCAGAAACGCTCTAGCTAGTAGCTATCAGCCTGGGAAGAAGGAAGTTCCATTTGAAAGTAATTGCCATTCAACAGGAGTCAGTGACTTCAGTTTCGCGCATTTAACCACGACAGAATGATTCTGGCACCTTCGTCCCATTCGCAATCCAACATCATATCGTGGGCAACACCTTCGACGCGGGCTGGTGACACCCCATAGAACCTTGCCGTTTCATCGAGTCCTTGACCGTCCTAAAAGAAGATCAATTCTGGATGATAAGCATACTGGCACCATAGGAAAAAAGAGGCGGTAAGATGGCAATATTTAAGTATTTATTGCTTACCACTATGAAATCACCACTAGCACCCAAGACAAGGACATTTGCAGAAGACAACTCTTCTGGGGGTGCAGGAACAGGGAGTGACGCATTTAGCTTCCTCAGATCAAACAGTGGCATCCGTGAACTTTCCTTCATTAGCTCTTGGTATCTGCAAGATGCGAGGAAACCACATTAGACATGGCTGATTACAAGATCAAAGACGAAAGAACCTTCTGCTGTATTTTCATCTTGATAAGGAAGAGCAATTCCACATTCTGCACACATGAGTCTAACTTAAAGAATGCAGATTTTCAAACGCATTAGAGCAGATGCAGTAAGACTAAGAGGCACAGACGAGGCAGGAGTCCAATTAATGCTGATGTACGCTGACAAATGGGATCCACAGTGTGTTCAAGTTTCAATGAAATTCCAGCTAGGGGATGAACGTATAAGGAATTTGTGACAAATGGACCTTATACAGCAAAGATCAACAATCAGATGGCTACCTTTAGCTAAATAAATTTCTTTCCGCCCAAAGTGAAATCCAAAAACATGCTGCTATTAATAAAGACAGAAAGGAACATTTATGGCCAGTGGATAGAGTGCCCAACAAGTTACCGTTTCACTGTGTTGTCTTCCATCATTGGTGAGAAAAATGTTTCCTTACAAAGAGAAAGATCAGTTTGAAAAGCTTTAGCGGCTAAGCTGCGGGTCACCTGCACCACAAAAACTGATGCCATGAAATGGCTGAAAGGAGCTGGGGGCCAGTTCTGAAAGAAACACCCAGCTGACCGCTGAGAATTCAGCCAAAAATAAGAACTTCAAATTTTGTCAAGCAAGAAATTGAATCCACCATTTATTCAAAAGAAGAAAAATGACCATTCAAAGGGGCAGACTACAACATGCACTGTATTGACAGCCTAGCCATATAGGATATATATAAGTGTGATTTTTCTAACAGAAAACTGATTGTAGAAACTAGAAACTTAGAACGCAAAGCTTTTGTCAATGATGAGTTGTACGTTGTAGAACAAACATAATCATATAGTTCTGAGCCCCGTCCCAAAACTGATGCTTTGAATCATTATGATCTACTTAACTAAAGACCAACAGTAAGTACCTTAAAAGCAGCAAGAGGTTTGGAAAGAAGATACCGCCATACCAACCCACTGAAAATGGTTGAAAAGAGACAAGCAATAAGAAAAAGCCTCAGCATTTGAGTTACTTTAGTCACATAAAGAAGAACAGATTGATTCCTTAGCCTAGGAAAACAGGAAACCCATATTTCTTACCTATTACCAGAAGGTGGCACAGAGCATATGAGGACCGCCCCAGCAAGTTGAGGATACAACTGCTTCGTATCTAGTATACAAACCCAGAGAGCAAGATAGCAGGTTAGCACAAGAGAACTCCCCGAATATACATATCATATTAAATATAATAACAAGATATCTAAGGCATTGCATCTCATGGCTGGTCCTTCAGAGAAGCAAAGCACACAGAAGGAAATCTTGAACAAAAGATACATCCATCTGACTAAACACTGCCAATTCACAGTCCAGTCTAAGAATTCAGGGAAATGCTTCAGTATCTCCCCTATCTAGAAAAAGGAAGATTCCCAGCAAAGAATGAAGGGTTACCTGAAGATTTTCCAATCCTGGTATTAGCAAGGTAGTACTGAATAATTAGGCCACCGAATGAATGCCCAAGAATGACTGGTGGCACCTTGATATTTTTCTGGATGAAGTCAGCAACATCACCGGCGTGTGTCTACTGCAAAATTTGGAAGGTGGAAGCCGCACAACTGAGGGCATTGGAGTCATGCAATGAAGCACTGAACAAAGCCAAAAGGGGCACTCTTGAAAATGCCATACTCGTCTTCAACAAAGAACACTAAAATTACCTGCAGAGTACCGGCAACAGACCCACCAGGTGCATCACTCTCGCCCTGCAAAATCCAAGTAATCAGCTAAGGCTCAAGCAAACAATTCACGGCGTTGAAGGAAAATCAACCGCACGAACTTCTTTAGGATTATCACCACTGCGGCAAAAATTGTGATTGTTGACTCACCTGACCCAGGAGGCTAAGGGCGTAGCAGTCGAAGCCAGATGATGCAAAGAAGGGCAACCAATGCTCAGCCCAGCACCAGGCTGCGTGGTAGCTTCCGTGAACAAATACCAGAGGTGGGTTTTCGATTTGAGCTCCATTACTGTCATTATCATCTGTTCCGAAGCTCCTTTTTTGCTCAATCACCTCCAAGTTGAGTCCGGAAGGGAGCTGGTGGAAAACCCGGTTCTGTCCTTGCTGCAATCCGTAAGGGACCCGCATTCGTTGCTGGAGGTGGGTCTTGCTGTTGAGAACAGCTTGCGGCCTGGTGGGCGCTCTTGCGCGGGGTAAGATGAACTTCGGCTGGAATGGAGCAACAAGCGAAGCTGCCGCCATTGCTGCTTCGAAGCTTCAAAGACGAGAGGTTCTATCACGCTCCTCTCAGCGTTATTCACCCTATTTTCTCTAACAAGGACGGTTAACTCTCAAAACGACAACACTCAACTAAAGTTTACCTCATAGCATAGTTAGTAAATACTCCGTTTAATACACGTATATGTACGTACTTTATCCGTTTAAAACTTTCGTATCCGTATTATTGTCAAGCCGTTTCATTTTCCCCGTTCATTTGATGACTCTTGTACTAAACACATATAAAACCCGTATTACCGTATAACACGTTTATTATCCGTATTTTACGAATTAAATTGTTAACTGTAGTATTATTTATTTATTTATTTTTAAAATGATTAATTTTATATATTTAGGGATATCAAAAATATCCGTAACCGTGGATATCCGCCCGAATCCGACCTAATTGGGTAGGGTAAAACCCGAACCCGAAGGACTTTTAGCGGGTATGGATAAAACCCGAATCCGAATATTGCGGTTAATGGGTGGGCATGGTTTTCGCACTATCCAACCCGAACCCGCCCGATTATACACATGCGCGTGTATTTTGTCTAAAAAATCATTATTTTTCTCTATCATATTTTTTATTTAGCATACAAATGTAACATTTTTATGCAATCGTGTTGTTTTAATTAATGTTCTTCATTCTAGTGAATTATTGTCGTGTTTTTCCTCTTATGCAATGTGAGAATACGTGTGAATCTTAACAGATTTGTTGGAGTTATTAAGAGAATTTATTACCCATGAATATCCGTGGATACCCGAAACCCGAATGGGTATGGGCATGGTTTTAATTTTTCTACCCATTTTTTTAGTGGGTATGGGTATGGGTAAAACCCGAACTACTTTGGGTAGGGTAACGGATATGCACTATCCGCGCCCAACCTGACCCGTTGCCATCCCTATATATATTTATGACTATTAACGTACTATTAAACGTAACTTTAGCTTAAAGACAAAGTATAATACCCATACGTATTTTTTACTTAACTTTCCTGTACCGTAGTTTACTAACTATGCCTAATAGAGCAATTGAGTGCTTATTATCCAACACCCAGCCCATCAAAATCCTGTGGGCCCAACATCAATTTTTCCCCTAACATAGACATCGTGGACAAATAATACGAACTATTAATGAAAGAGCATTTTATACCACTAAATGTACTGCCTTATTAAACCATTGCGAAGTAGAAGTACAAGAAAAAAAAAACAAAAAACATAACGTCGAACTTCCTTCAAAAGAGATCTTTAGACCATGCTCAAGCTCATGCACCCTACAAGCCGGCCAGCATATATGCATTTAAATTAAATTAAATTAATTAAACTTAATTAGGTAGCTGTATTTATGACTTGCTGTCAAACTACTACCTGCACACAGGCCGTATGCTACCTGCTTTATAAAGTCTGCTGTCTCTCCTTATATCTGCTACAAATCAACCACACCACAGGTGTTAGCTTTCATCAAAAGGAAAAACAAAGTTTGAAGCTTAAATCATCTATTCACCTGCCACCCAGTACTTCCAAGAAAGTTCCATGGCAGAGTTCAATACACAACATTGGCAGAACAAAGCTTCTCATGATCATCCATCGTCTTTCATGGGAACGGGGAGCAGCATTAATAGCATTCAAATAGCTTATCCAGGCATAGTGACATTGGATAATAAATCTGGTAGTGTTTCTTCTGATGATCACCACAATCATCACTTCCCATTATCATTTCCAGACTATTCTTTCTTTGCACTCCACCACCATTACTGTCCACAAGCTTTGGCTTCAACCCCAACTTTTGAGACACCTTCTGCTGCTGCTGGTGGTGCTGGTATCACTCCATCTTCTTCCATTAACGTGGACGAAAAGGCGGTGAGTTACATTTTTTTGATAATCTATTTACTTCAAACATTTTCATATGTTCATCAACAATGATCATACTAATTAGCAGAGTCATGATGTGCTTGGTATAATGTGTGTCAGAGTTCGTCTGTCCGGAGAAGCAGGAAGAAGGCGTCGGATAATGATGAAGTTGTTCATGTTAGAGCGAGGAAAGGCCAAGCTACTGATAGCCACAGTGCTGCTGAGAGGGTGAGTCATGGATGGTTCTGTGTGTATATATGGTAAAGAGAAAGCGATCAAGAAGTATTGAGCATGAATCATACTGTTTCAGGTTAGAAGAGAGAAAATAAACAAGAAGTTGAGATGTTTGCAAGAGCTTGTTCCTGGATGTCACAAGGTATAATCTTTCCCCTGCCTCATCTGAATGTATATGTTCTCATGTTCATATATGGAATATTTACCTCAGACTTACAGTTTAAGTAATTTGATGATTTGCAGTCAATGGGTATGGCAGTAATGCTAGAAGAGATCATCAACTATGTATGTTCTCTGCAGAATCAAGTTGAGGTACTAGCTAGAAGTAGCAAGTAAACATCTTGTTTAATGTGATATTGAATGATGCACTGATTTGAACTTCCCTTTGCTTTTCTTTTGCTGGCAGTTCCTCTCAATGGAACTAGCAGCTGCTGCTGCAGCAAATAGTGTCAACTTGGAAACACAGCCATCCAGATCAATACCAAGGGCTTCTCTTCAGGTTTACTTATGGAAGCTTGTCTTCAATAATCCTCTTTTTTTTTCCATGTGAACAAAAAGGAAGGCCAAGTACTGATCAGTTGACATTTTGGCTGAAACAATTGATACTGCAGGGGGGAAATTTAGCTGGGAGAGAAAACTATGGAGATGCTAATGCTAGTACAGCATGGTCAATCTGAACTGTGACAGCATATTATGCCAAAAACAAATGTAGCCAGGAAGCAAATTCTACAGCCAGTGAGGGTACAAGAAAACAAGCCCACATGAACATTTTGCCTTCTTGTCCAGTTCATGCATTTGCCCACCAGAAAAAAGGAAATTTCCCACAGGTGTCCCTATTTATGTAACATTAACACTAGAATCAAAAGAGTCCACCCTACAACCAGCAGAAAAAAAGAGATCAACCATTTGTTATGGATTTTTTGTGGGGTTCTGTTGTATTTGTCCATTTCATTCTGAATTCAGTGGTACCTGGTTATCCTTCTGTCTTTTGAGTCTTACATTTGTTGTTTTGTCGTTGTTTGTGCTTGACTATGGTGTGGCATTTTTGGGCTCCCTGGATGCGCCCTGTCGGATAGAACAGCTGGTTTCACTGACTCAGTAGATAGCTCATTAATGGATGAGTAATCGTTCATGTATCCATAGCAGTATACAGGAGAGAAATTCTGGAGCACAATCTCATCAATGGTCTCAGTAATCAGTATGTAGGATAACAAGAAGACTGAATCTAGAGCTCCATTGTGGCGCAGAAGTGTTGGAATCGACATAAGTGGCCAAATCCCCAAGTGGGATATAACAAAACCTTCAATCGCTCACCAACAGACATGTGAACACCAAAAGTGAACAAAAACATTGTCAAGGATTCCCCTCCTCCCGGCACAAAAAGTTGGAGGTTGCAGATCACTTTGTAACTAAATCCCACTTCTGGAATCAAATTAATGGTTGAAAATTGAATGATTTTTTCAAACAAGTCCAACGAGTACGAGGGTGTTTGATTGATGATTTTTTAGAATGAAACTAAATTAAATTACTCCTACTTTCATGGAGGTTTAGCGAGAGCTTCAAACTACGAATATGACTACATTTGCAGAGAAAAGATGAAATTTGACATATGCGCCAGTTGTGTGGTTTTGGGAACCATTTTCTCTTTTAGCCCCCTTCTATTTACAGTCATGGGGAGATAACCGTCATAGAAAACCGTCTCTTGGGTAACTTAAAAAATACTCGCTCCCTTTTTGTTGTGAAATAACAGAATCAATTAACTCATGTAACTTCTCTAGTGAGACAATAATTTTGATATGATAAACTCCAAATAATTTAAAAATATTATATTTAGAAACAATACATAACTTAATCTCAAAATACTACATATACAAAATAACTTATCCAAATGGTTCACGAGAAAAAGGAAAGGAAAGATCACAAATACATTGCACCAAAAAAGACAAGAGATAGGAGTGGACAGATTACAATGGGCCATATAATGTCCACAACAAGATGGGAGCATTATGGGTTAGGCTTATTTTTGTTTATTAAATCAATTTAATAACCACAATATGTTCATCAATGAAAGTTGACCAATGTACCCACAAAAAAAAAAAAAAAGAACTATGGTTTATTAAATTAATTAAATAACCACAGCATGATTAACTAATCAATTATTTGGGCTATTCCTCTTCTTCTCTTTTGACTCAAAATTTCTTCTCTTTTGCCTATTTATGTTGGGTTGGATCGGGTCATGGGTGCATGCATCCTAAGGATATCTGTGTTTGCATGCTAGCCAATCAAATCAATAATGAGCTCCTCCCATCATGAATTTTTAGGGTATACCCCAGTAGGCCAAGTGATGATTTATTTGCTGGTTTGACAAGGGTGAAGCTGGTTCAACAGTGTCAACAACAATCACGGGAGCTGCCAAGGGGAAACTTCCAAAATTGAAGGAGATGGGGAATTTGTGTTTAGTAGCTTGTTGTTTTTAGGGCCTACTTGGCGACTAAACATGTTAACTAATCACTGAGACTAGTGACTGGCGATGGGAGAGGTCGGGTAACTCAATTTCCATGCCCCGTTCTATGTTATTGTGGGTCGGGGTTAGGGGTGATCATCGGTGTGGTCAGATCCAAACTCAGAAGAACCGCGGTCCAATAGTGAAAGATATTTTAGGATCAAGGACCGGAACAATAGTGCATTCGGTCCATTTTGGTCTGCTTTGGTCCGGTCCAAATGTCAATTCAGTCCATTTTTCTTTAGTATCTATGAAATTCATCGGACCAAGGACCGGACCATATTATAATCGATTCGGTGCGATCCGGTCCAAGCATCGATTCGGTCCGGTATGGACCAACCCATTGCCCACCCCTAGTCGGGGTACGGGGTAGGGTGGGTCGAACCACTCTTACATGTTATTTGAAAACATACACGTAAATTTTACTTTTTATGATAAAACGAATGAGAAAACACTTTATGAATGAAAATAGCGATAATAGAATGGGTAAATGAGTCTAACAAGTTGAAAGATCGACTCTAACTAGTTGAAGAAAAGTCAAAATATGAGGAAATATGTATAGATACTAGGGGTGGGCACGTGAGTGGTTAATCCGCCGATTGATATCGATCCACCCGCAAATAACCCGACCCGTATGCAGTGGGTGATTGATGTGGGTGGATTGCGGATTGGTAAATCTCCCCCCCGCACTTATGTGAGTGGGTGGTGGGTGGATTGCGGGTCACCCATATGACCCGCATCCTATTTTTACATGAAAAAATGTTGTTTCTTATAGTATCGAATATTCATCATAATTTCGAACTACACTACAGTCTAACCATATACTTCAATAGGTGGAGAATAAATAATAGTTTTGACTACTATTATTGGTCATTGTGTTGTGCAATATCCATTAGATATTGGATATTGGTATGCAAATTATTGTTAATAACAATTAAATATTGGGATGCAAACTATCAATTATTAATTGTATCAAAATTACAAATTATTGATACAGTCTTACTAATTTTTCTATGAACTTATTATAAATGTTAGTCAACTTTCTTAATGGCTAGTTGGAGAATTGCTTTTGCGGGTTGACCCGCGATCCAACCGCACCCATCCGCCACCCATCCAATCCAACCCGCAGAAGTATTTGGGTGAATTGCGGGTCACAATTATTCAACCCCGCTAGTAAATGGGTTGGTCAATTTGAGACCAAAACCCACCCAACCGGCCCGTTGCCCACCCCTAATAGATACTGTAAGAAATAACTGATATAGAATGTGTCAAAAACAGGGCGAGACGGGGTAGGGCGGTTTGTAAGTAGATACGCATGCTCCGCCCCACCACAGGCCAGGTCAGATAATACCCGCGAGGCGGATTCAAATTGCCATCATCACTAACTGAGACAAAAAGGGGTTGTTTGGAGAATATGAGTCTAAATCTATAGATTGTCAACAATCTAAAGATTCTAACTCTTCGGATTGTTGAAAATAGATTTGAAATGTTTATTGTTTGGTAACTGTGATTGTTAACATGCAACGAAAATAGAAAATATAATTTTATATTAAATAACATGTTTATCCTCGATAAAAATTACAGTGGTTTAAAAAATATTGAGAACTTTGTTGATAAATATATTTAATGTGATAAATAAATAAAAGGAGGAGATAACGTAAGAAGAAAAAAATCTCACGAATCAAAATATAGAATCTCTATAATTATTACAGATTTGATATTCGTCCATTTAATAGATTTAAACTCTCTAAAGCTACAATCTACTATATAAAAAATAAAAAATAAAAAACACAAATTTCTACAAAATCTATGTATTCAGTAAATTCACGGCCTAATTCCTATTCTACAAACCATATTTTGGCGCTATATGGGATGGGAGATGAAAATAATGGAGAGTCCGTCGAACGATATTGGGCCTTTGGGCTAAAATAATCTCTTTGAACTCTAACGATCCGATTGCTAGCCCAATCTTCTGAACGGCCCTATCGCTGATGAATTGAATGTACCAAAGAGAAAACAACCGTACGTAATAGCTGCTAAAGACCACGATTTGACCGCCGCATCATTTTCTTCCCGGAGGAGAAATCGCCGTTGCTTTCCCCTGTTGAATACTCACCAAGCTCGAAACAATAGCTGAGCGCCTGAAGCTGAGGAAGAGGGAGACAACGGAGGGAGGGAGCTTGTTCTTCATTTTCGCTTTGCAGCACCCAGGTTTTGAGCAACACACAAAATTTAGCGAGATCGATACCGTCATTTTTGGCGTCTCCGGCGGAGGGGGAAGCGTAAAAGATGATGTCTCCAAAACCAATCGGCGACGATCGAGGCTCTGCCAATTTTAGGTGCGCCATTGCTCTGAACCTAACGTTTCAGTTTAGTTTCCGAGAAAATCAAGAAAGAAACTAGTGTCTGAATGATTGAATGATTTTTTTTTTTTGTAGTTGTAGTTCCTTCTCTGCTTAAATGTTAAAGAGGGTAGATTTCAATTGAGCCCCTTTTAGGTTGATGCATGCTGTTTTCTAGTCGAGGAAGATGCATGGTTGGATGAATAGTTCCTTGCTTCCATTTTTCTGCCTTCACTTCCATTTTCTCCCAGCGACCAGACAATGAAGTGCAAAAAAATACAATCTGCAATGTAGGAAGCTGTAGTGGGATATCCGGTATCGAAATGTGCTAGACTAAGCTTCGATTTGGTTTTCCCTTGTAATATTAGGAGCTTTTCCATTTCCTATAGTGTAGCTTGAATGTTCTTATTTGCACATTTGGTTTGGGGAGTTATTCTTGGTTTAGGCTGGGTTTAACAAAAATTATGACGTTGATGGAGTTCTGTGGTAGAGTGAGTTTCATGATGAGCAGCCTTAGGGTGACATGTTCCTTTAGGTGCTCCATTTTTAATAAATGGGGGAAGGATGCACTTGAGGAACTCGTAGAAGCTCATTCTTAATAAGCTTCTTACAGTTTGGTCTTTAATCTTGAACTATGAAACTTGAACTTGAAAAGGTATTCAGATGTGCTACCTTTGTGTAATATAACGTTCCATCTTTTTTTCCCCCATCTCGCTCTGCTGTAGGCACACTCCCTTGCAGATAATACACGTAATTGGCAACTTTTTGAGAATATGGTCGGTCTACTCCATGTACCGCTATTTGATTCAGACTGGATCATCTGTGGGCCTTTTCATATTTTGCTGTCTTCTTCCATCATCATTGTTGTTTCTGGCTATGCAAAAACCTTGGAAGGGAAGGCCTCTCTCTAATCAACAGGTTAGGATGAAACCTATATCTTTTTAGTCAAACCTGAAAGTTGAAAGATGTTTGTTGTCTAATCTGGTTTTTGTTCCTTTTTTCAGGTTGTGCCTTCGATCATCAATGGTGTCATAACAGCTTTGTATTTCAGCATGTGGGGAAAGGGCCTCAAGTCATGTGGGCCAGTGCGGTAGGCTTTTGCATCTCAAACATTCTGAATGTTTCTTTAGAATTTTTCAACTGCTGTACATCCTTGAGTTATATTTTATCTTTTATATCAACAATATATCTGGTCTGGTGGTTCTTGCAGTCTAAATTTCGTTTTGGTTTCAGAACCATCTTGGCAGAGTATGCAGGTGCTGTTCTTGGTGTATTGTCAGCAGCATTGTATGGACAGGGTAAACACTTATGGAAAAAGGTACTTCTCTATACCTTGGTTTTCTTGTGTTAGGAGTTTGAGAATGCTTAATTGTGACTCATCAAAGATAAAAGGCTTTGTAGATGCTAAAGAGTGGATTCATAGATCATTTTGTTCCTCTTGGGAAAACAAGGGGAAAACCTACTTGCTAATTGTACTTGTTTCTAGTATGCCATTTGGTTTCCGCTTTTCTACTTGTTCAAAATTATTAACTTAATTCCTCTTATTTTTTCAAGATCACTTATGGTAAATCCAGTTATAGAGAGAAATTGAAAATAATGGTTTGGAACTGCAGATCTGATTTCAGATGCAGGAAATCATTATTTTTCCAGTGTCGTTGTCCTTTACTTCTTACAGTGCTTTTATTACCGTTTCTTTGAATGATTCTGGAGTGCCCTTGTGGATGACTTTCATGTTTTAGCAAAGCGAAAGACTGGAAAAGAGGAGAAAAATTTGGACTCATGCTTTGCTAATGATGACTGTTACCATCCTTTGTGGCTGCCAAATACTTGCCTAAGATAATTTGTCGGTAGTATCTTATTTTTCCATCTCTGATCACAAGATGGAAAATAAGTTACAAGACGTCATCTAGGATCGGAATAAGTTACGAGTCTAATGCATTCTGTTAACAAAGTGGAATAGGAAATAAGTTTGGTGCCCATCAATTTGATCTGTACTAGACATCATCAAGAATTTATTGCTTTGTGAAACTATATTGAATGGATTACACTGAAGCTGTTAGGGAGCACCTTTTGTTCCTTTCCTAGCCAATGATTTTGTCAGATATTTGTTGGTAGAAGTCACTGAATGATGAACAGGATCCAATCCATTCATGGTTTTGTAGATGAACAGCCTGTTTGGATAGACAAAAAACTCAGGAATTGGAATTCCATTTTCAATTCCAGTTCCATATTTTATCTTTGGAAGGATAAGAAGGTTGAGAAATGAATTCCATTTGGGCTAAGTTTTGGAAATAACAATTCCTATCAAAAGTGATAGGAATTGTGTTTATGAAGATGGAATTAGTGGGTCCCATAACTATTTATTATTATTTTATTAACCAACCATCACCCTACTCTCTTTCTCTATCATTCATATTTCATTTTCCAAGATAAAATAAATATATTCTATTATTAATTATTGTTAAAAGTGCAATTCATTTCTTTAGTTGAAGGAATTATACCAAACACTAAAATTGCAAATGGAATTCTATAAAAATAGGAATTGGAAATAGAATTCCATTTCCATTTCTTCTTGAATTGTATCCAAACAGGCTGTAACTGTAATAATTCCTTTTCTGTCTATTAGGTTGGAGGACTTGTTGCAATGATGCTTTCTTTCTACTTGCTATCTCGAGGGTGGGCCATGGGCACACATTCACCTTTTGATATCCTTGGCTGCTCAAAGTGTTGTTGATATCTGCGAGGTTTTTATTTGTTGTTAGATTTGGTTCTGTACAATACTTGGCAGTACTTCTCCTATTATCAATTGGATCACTCCTTTTTAGTAAGGATTATCTGCAAGTGTGTCTTGTGAAGAAGTGTATTGTAGACTTAACTTGAAATTACGATCCAAAGAAAACCTTGATGCAGAAGCTCATCCAGAAGAAATCTTGGGTATGAAAGACATGATAGTTCCAATTATTGCTGGAATCTTATCAGCTTTAAGAAGGGTGATTGCACGACGTGTTTCACTCAAGGTGTCTCTTCATCTCCTTTCTTGCTGTTTGCTCTGCTATAGATAGCGACTTTTTGCTTAAATGAATGTCGTTGCTTACTTCAATAATTATTTATTTTCAGAATCAACTGAAAAGAAGGCTGCATGCTATAACCATCACCTCTGCAACATGTTTTCTTTTTCCCGTGGCTATGTGGGACTTCATAACAGTAAGTGATGATTCACAGATTTGGCAATTCTTAATCTTGAAAAGTATATTACTAGGTGTCATGGTTAGACAAACACCAATATTTGTTTCGAATTTGGAGAGTTTACTTCATATTGGTCTCTAAATGTTGGGATTGATTGTGTAGTTCTCATTGGTTGTGTTCTTCTAACTGGAGCAATTCAGGGATCAACTTCTGATAGCACAAGTCAACTTCCATTTTCTGCTTGGGCATTTGGGAGCTTTATTCTTTTCGGAGTTATCTTGGTATTCTATGTTGACAGCATTGCAGAAGAAAGGTAGTGAATCATAATTTCATTTTAACTATGCTCTTTTTCTTCCTCTCATTCTCTTCTCTGAATCCATCATCATGTATCGAGATTCTAGCCATCATCCACATTAGCTACTCTTATCATACAAGCTCATCACAACTGTTTATGTTACTCTATTGGATTTATTTCGCTGAGTATATTACTTCCTTTTTATGTTTTTGCATTCTCATTTGTGTAAAGGCTTTTCCACCGGAAAAGTTTCTCAAGATGGCTGCTACTACCGGATCCTTTATTTCAGAATGACAAAGAATTAAGTGTACGCTTGCAGGTTGCATATGGTTTTCTCTTCTCCAAGGCACTTAATGGTGGCTGGAGGTTGTATGATCATCCTAGAGATTTTCTATCAGATGGACTTCTCTCTGCCGGGGTACTTACTTTGCTGCATAATTCTGGGTTTTGGTAAGCATGCTGATTCTCTATCTATTTCTTTTCTTCTTTTTGGTAAGTGGATCTCACTACTGTGTAGTGAGAAGAGTAGTAAATCAGAACAAAGAATGACAATAGAACAATGTTTGATCATCATTATCAGAATTGTTCCAAATTACAGATTATCAGAATTGATATCGGGCTTTGTAAAACACCAGAACCTTTTATCTCAACTGTTTTGATTTGCATGTATACACTTTACTGGTTTCTAGGGATTGAATAACACCAAATTCATATGCAATAACACTTTCAACTACATACTAAAGCAACACCGACACAGGATCTCAGTGATGATGCGAAATCAATGAGCTATGAAAACTCTGAATGAGAAAACGAGCTTGTTTGTGTGATTGCTAAAATGATGGCCTGAACTAAGGTTCATGTTTTCCTGTCCGTCTTGTTTGGTGAAGGGATCTACGAGGCAACAGCTTTGGAACGTAGTAAGAAGGGAACTCAACACTTTGATTCGTCAGAAGAAATGTTGGACGACATGAAGTCCCCTCTCCCAAGTTGAAAAACTCAGCTTCCTGAGTAGTCTTAGAGAAGAAGAACAGGATCACCATGAGCAAGCCGCCTTTCAGGGAACTGGAGATGAAAGATGTCTTCGCTGGGTCCTGCGGCAGGGGGCAAACGACCAAGGAAGGAAGGAGCTAGGTTAGAATCAGATTTTTTTGTTTTTTTGCTAACTCACATCTGATTGTTCGCTAAACAGAGTTAAAAACTTGTATATAGCTCATGTAAATCTGAGTTTGAAGAAAGCTAAAAGCCTTGAAAGTAGTTGTACTATTGACCCTTATCCTTATGTAGTAAAACACCAAATCTGCTGCCTTATGGAGATCTAGTTTTACTTGCATTTACACATGAAATTCTATCAGTTCAGCTTTCAATTTTCTTTTATTGATGGTTAGGGTGTTTCTCTGCCTGTTATCTCATTCACTGATTCTAACACCGATTGTGTGTTATAACAGTTACTTAACTCTTTTAAAGATTATATAAGTTATATTTGATCCAATATCAACAAGTCGTTGTAGTATAGTGGTAAGTATTCCCGCCTGTCACGCGGGTGACCCGGGTTCGATCCCCGGCAACAGCGTTTTAATTTTTTTCCCCAATGATTAGGTTTTTTTTTTCCAACGATCTAATGGGTTTTTACTTTTTTCCCAGTTTAAAGCGTGACCAGCGTTTTTAATTTTTTTTCCCCAATTATTAGGTTTTTTTCCAACGATCTAATGGTTTTTTACTTTTTTTTCCAGTTTAAAGCATGGTCCATCAAACCGTACCGGAAAAGTCAGCGGTAGGGTATTTTATGGTAAAATCGTGGTTTAACCGTAGTTCAACCGATAGTACAGTTAATATCGCCTACCGGTTTAGCCTCCGATTTTTTACTTTTTCCCCAGTTTAAAGCATGGTCCATGAAACCGTACCGGGAAAGTAAGCGGTAGGGTATTTTATGGTAAAAATCGTGGTTTAACCGTAATTCAAGCGTTAGTACCGTCAATATCGCCTAGCGATTTAGCCTCCGACACTGGTATTTCCTGGTTGAACCGTCGGTACGGTACGGTTTCAATGGACAGTGATTTAAAGATGACCGACTACACTGTTCTGGGTCTTTGGAACGCGGATAGGTCTTTAGTTTTGAGAGTGAAGTACAGCAGGCAGGAGAACATCTTTGATATATTAATTAAATCCTCTCATAATCAGAGCATTAGGTCAAGCCAGACACCAGAGAAAATTCATGAACATAGAAACCCAGGTTCAAAATGCAAGAAAACACGTCCTCATTATTACTTATGCGCGGAAAAAGGAAATCAATTACCAAACTACAGATATATAGCTTAGACGACATGGGTACGTTAGTTTTTTTGGTATTACTAGTTTGGTGGTAATTTCTCTGTGGTTTTGGCTCTGGCCATGGCGGCAATTAGTGCCTTGGTGACGAGGTGAGTGAGAATTCCGATTGGACAGGCAAGCAGGCACAGCGCAACCGAGTGTCGCGTCTCCACCCCGTTCTCCATCCCGTCGCTGTACACTTTTCTGCATTCAAATCAAACACAATTTCATGCCATCGCCATTAGAAGTTAGAACCACAAGAAAGAAACAAGGAGAAGAAGAGAGGAACACAATTGAAATGACTAGCATGTAGGAAATAAATATGAGATGACCTGGCAGCGAAGAGGTCGACGGCCACGAGATGAATCCACGCCGAAGTTAGTCTCATCTCGCTGGAAAACATCTTTGTTATGCCACCCAGCTGTGAAGTAAACAACACACCCGAACCATATTGACATTTTTAAGTCAGAAACAATAAATGTTTATGATACAGTAGGATCTGTATGACGAAGTTGCCTCACGAACAGGGATGACGATGGATCGAATTGGGTTGGATTGTTCTAAATCTGAACTCTACTTAGTTGGTGGTGCATCCATTACTAAAACTTGAGTTTTCGAAGTGAAAACTCAAGCAAATCCTAATGGGTACACTAATGCATGAGTGTATGGGTACAGGGTACTGATCATGAATTCACGAATATAACCGTACATTATTTCTTCGAACATCCACATCGTAATGTTACTGAGATTTGTTCCTGCAAATAATCTATCTATAAATTTATCCATATTATTAGGTTTATACGAAAATAAAGACTAAAAACATCATGCTTGAATTCCCTCTTCAATAAGAACTTAACTATAAAAATCAACATATGTCATCCATCTAAAAAAAAGGTGGCGTCTTCGGTGCACTCACTTTTCTGGGTGCATTCAGTGCACTCGCTTCATAACCGTCATTTTAAACATGCGATTTATGTCATAATTAGAGATGACAACTTTGCCTATACCCATGAGTTTCTTACTATCCAACCCAATTGGGTTGGGTATCAAATCCAAATAGATGGATATGGGTAGAGTTTGATGGGTTTGTACCCATACCCATTTACTTTGGGTTGAGTTGGGTTTATATCAAATGGATTTGGGTTTGTACCCATGCCCAAATACAAATTACAGTTTGGTACCCAAACTTAATAGACATGCATATTTAGTACCAAAATTTAATTTTTTTTTTGCATATAAGTCCTCAAAATATCGATGGAAAATTACGTTTTGGTACCTAAATTTTTTTGGTCTTACATTTTGGTACCTAAACTTTTCAAGTTTTACAAATAGGTCCAATTTTTGCATGTGTAGTTAAAACACCCTCAAGTAAATGGATATCCATATCCAACCCATACCCATTTAGATTATGGAAACCCCAAACCCATCTATAAACCCCCAAATCCATATGCACTTCACCCATACCCAACCCATTATCAATGGGTCTACTTGGGTTTGGGAATAATTACCCATGGGTGGGTAATTTGCCATCCTAGTCATAATGATGTCAATCATCACTTATGATGTGATGAACAATAACACACATGAATTTGCACAAAAATCATTAAAGATTTACTTTAATTTGAAGGATTTAGAGTTTAAAGATTTAGGGTTAGGGTTTACAGTTTGGGGTTTAGGGATAGAACTCAAAATTGGAGGTCTAGGGTTTAGGGTAATCCGCTAATTAGATGTTATCATATGTTATATCATCATATTACACTAATTCTACAAATTAATATTCACAATCCGACACGTTAAGACTAATTTTTGAGTTGGGTGCATTGAACACACTCATTTTTGTGAGTGCACCGAAGTAGTCATTGTTCTGATCAGATAAAAAAAAAAAGGATGTTGTTTTGCTTTATGGATTAAATTGATGGAAAGTGGGTTCGGTTCTGACAGAAACCAAACCCAAACCAAATCCATCAATTTCATAAACGAGTAAAACCCGCACCGGCCCCAAAATTCGCCAATACCGAGCTTTACCCACTTTGACCGGATTGGATCCCCGAGAATACCCATATTTGGGTTCATATATTTAGGGGTGCTAAACGGTCGGTAACCGCTTAAACCGGTTACCGTTTGACCGGTTTCCGGTATACCGGAATTCCCCTCACTGCTGTCGTTAGCCGTTACCGAGAAAAATCGGTAATACCGCATACCGACTGGAACTGAATCGGTAAGGAGAATGGTTTCCCGAATTCTGGTAGGCAAGTGTTGCTGGCTTGCTGCGGGCGGAAATTTGTGGAAGGCTATCACCCATCATTATTCATTATATTTGTCTTGTCTTCTTGTGAGTCTTGTCTATTTGTCTTGTACTCTTGTGAGTCTTGTCTACAAATGAAATAAAGTGAGAGACCATCATTTTCATTATTCATTCATTCGATTTCGGAGCAGATGGAAGGGAAGGAAACCCCTATGAAATAATTAATCAATTAACAAATCATTAAATCAACATGAACTTACCTCTCATCGACGGAGAGGAGAGGACGAAGTATGAAGTACGAATTACTGTATGGGTTCAGGGCTTCAGGCTGTGGGTCGAGGCTTCGAGCAATTAAGCTCCGACGGCGACGGGTTCGACGGAAAAGGGCAACGGCGAAGGGGGTCGACGAAAACAGGGCTTGGGTCTTGTCTCTTGGGTGGATCTTGCGCCGGCGATGGAGATGACGAAGATCCTGCCGGTTTCGATCGGCGACATTTGGATTCGAGAACGGAGGAGGGTCGGCGGCATGACTGGTCGTGCTCGTGCGACAGGCAAGGGAGAGAGATGGAAATAGAGATTACGATTTAGTTTTCTACTCATTTCTATTAACTAATTAATTATTACAACTAGGTTAATTAATTTACTTGGGGGAGTTAGGGTCGATAAGGGACTAGGGAGTTGGGCTTTTGGTGTTTGGCTGCTGTCTTTCCCATTCGGTATCGAAATACTGAGTTGCCGACGGTATTTTACCGTTCCTCCTTCGGTATACCAGTTGCAACGATCCCGCCGCCGATTACCGTTTGGTACGGTTAACGGTTTAACCGGTAACCGCGGTTACCGGTACGGTTACCGGTTAAACCGTTAACCGCAATACCGTATACCACCCCTACATATATTGTCATCCTAACTCACGGTGTTGTAAACAATCTGTTTATGCTTTTTGGCTACTATAATGGAAGACAAAAAAAGAAAGAAAGGAAGACAGAGAGACCTCGGGCACCATGTATTTGGCTCCAAACATAAGGTGCAAAGTATCAGGCGTCCAGGAAAAGTAGACCAGATATCCATACAAAAGCCCCAGCGCCGTGTCTGGTATCATACTTCCCATGCACTTCCTTGTCTGCAAATTAAATGATTCCATCGATCGATCGATCAAACCTAGCTACTGTAATTTCTCTCAATCCCATCAATGGTATATGTTATAGCTAGTATTGGAAAATGTATACATCGCAGTCACATAACATCGTACGAGTTGTGATTTTGGAGCCAGAAGCATGAGCACGTAAAATTGGGAGCACAGCTGTTGTTCCCACGCTGAACACATTGCTGGCGCTCGCTGAAACTGCATCCACAAAAATTATCAACTAATCAGATCCCATCCACTGACTAGCTAGAAATGTAATAGCATAAGTAGGGGGTGTGCAACATTTCGCGAAGTCCGGTCCGGACCAAACTCATGAGAACCGCCGTCCATTAGTGAAATACATCTTAGGATTAAGGAGCGGACCATCCTTGTGTTTGGTCCATTTGGTCTGATTTCGGTCCGACCGAAATATCAGTTCGGTCTGTCATTTGTTCAATAATTGTAAAAATTCATGTGGACCAAGAACCGGGCCACATTATACTGGTTCCGGTGCGGTCCGGTCCAGACTTCGGTTTGGTCCCGGACCGGACCATTGCAAACCCACTAAACATAAGCTTTCAAGCTCTAGAGCACAATTCTGACTACATTAGTAACGGAAAGAACACAGTTTTAGGTAAAACGAACCGACGATCTTACGCGCGCGTGATTGATTAATTAGAGAAGGGTTAAAAAGTAAAACCAATACATGATGATGAAGCGTAGAGTAGTCTGCTGGATGAGGTGTTGTGATGAAGGCAGGTCGGCTTTGGTTGACAAGTAGTGGCCACCTTTGAACCGCCCAAGAAACTCCACCCATCGCCTCTGCCGTTTCCAGTGACTTGGCCGATGTTCATTACTACTCGAGTTGCTGCAACGGCAGCAGCCTTGAGTGATTTCCTTGGATGATGATGATGATGATGATGATTAGGAGGAAACGAGAAGCACAGAGAGAACGCCATTGGGACCGTAATGTAGTCTGCCTTTTTTTCCCCACACCCAACCCTTTCCCTGCCTACCTACCCATTCCACCTTCCGTTTCAACACCAATGTATGACGGAATTGTGTAAACTTCAAAATTCGACAGGCGGATTTCCATTGTGACGATGGTTATTTCTACGAGAACTGTAGTATTATTTAGTTTATCACTCATGCTATTTTTTTGCCCATACTTTGTTGCAGTGGTAGGAAACTGATTATATTGAATTGATGGAGAAATATTGTTTCACTTGAAAAAAATTATTCACCAAATTAGTGTAACTATCGACCACCATGCTTCAGCCATCGGAGACAACTGCAACCAACCTCCGGCAATGAACGACGATGGCGGATTGAAGGAAGAGACATAGGATTAGGGCAAGCTGAGAAAATAAGCAGAGGGAGGAGGAAGGAAGAATATTTGTGCGATTGGGGAGATTGACGACAGAAAGATGAGGCGCAATCGGTTTTTACTTTGAAGACTTCCCTAAAGTTAATAATGGGCTTGGGTGGTTGGGCTTGGAACTTAGGAGAGGGTTAGGATGGGCTTGGGCTTTATTTGAGTGGGTTGTGGGCTTAACATAGGATATATTATTCTATTTTAGGTTTTTCGGTTTTATTGGCTGGATTGAATATTTTCGGTTCAATTCATTGCGAATTAAATATTTAGTAGGAGACATCTTTTCAACGAATTCCGATATGTTAACAATATTTGTTTGATTTTGGTTCGGATTTCCCGAACCGTATGCCCGCCCCTGCTTACTAAAGAGAGAAGGCTTACTTTTAGTATTTTCTCAAACTTAAGAATAAGAATACTTGAAGTAATAGCGCATGGTCTGCCTGTTGAGCAGGTTGCCTTGTGATTCAAGTATTTCCGTTCACATAAAATAGTTTGGTTACATTTGAATTATGAATTATTGATCTCCGTGTTCTTTTAAAAAAAACTTAGCATGATAAATATTAGGTACCCATAAATACCCCATCATACTTACATTAAACACGATCTCATCAACCAACATGAATTTGATTAGGAAATATAGTGATTACAAGTCTAGGACACAAACTAACCGTAACACCCCGGTCATCAAGGGAGCAGGCATATGTCGACGGGTTAAGCTTTTGATCATTATAACTAACTGCCTTAGCCAAAACTTAACCAAGTAATCAAACGGGTGCAAATGTGTTGGAAATTGTCTTTACCCTTCCCATTTACACCATCTTCCCATTTGCACCTCTTCCCAAACTGAATGTAAGGTCCACCAATACGATTGGGCAATTAAAGTTTAGATGGTCGCAAATATAATCCTCTAATTTGTAATGAAATTGAGGTTCTTATTGTTTGACATTATTATCAATCTTGCCTGAACATGTTCAACCTATGGTACGAAGTTTAGACTATAGATACCATGGTTGTCAACCCGTGAGCTCACCGGTCGGTCAACCCGTTTCGGCTCGGACACAGTACTCTAAACTTACGACAAATACTCAGTTAGCAGTTGGCCCAGAACCGATCAAAACTGAATACACTTAGTCAAACCTAGAGAAACCAGACCATTTAACCGACCGATAGGGTTCCGGGTCATTGCCAAAACTTATCCAATTGTTTACCTTTTTATAGCTAATTTTGTTTTTTATGTGAAAGATTGCCACAAGCATATGAAGTAGGGGTGGGCAATGTGACAGGACTGGGTACTCGTCCCATTTGAAACAGGTACCCAGTCTCATTTGGAGAGGAAAATTCATCCTATGTCACAAACTAATATGGATAAATGGATACTCATTATCCGTATGGGACGGATAACGGGTACCCAAACTATTCCTGTATATCCAAACTTTCGGCTTCCTTCACGAATGGTCCTAGTTGTATAGATTTTCCAGTTTTGCAGACAACCATGAGGATTTAGAGATTGTCCAACACAAGAACAATAACAAAAAGAGAAGAACAACAGTTCCCCACGAAAGAAGGAACGCAGAGAGCGGGGAAATCCGAAATCGCATGGGAAGGCCGATTGTCGGGGTCACCGGATCGAGGACAGGGAGAGGAGTCGTCGAGTCGGGGTCGGAGCTGATTTTCGTCTCCGTGAGTCGTGAGACAGCGATTAGGTCTTCTTCCAATCTTCCGAGGGAATCAAGAGATATGAGCAAAGCGAAGTTGTTGGGTTGGGTTGGACTGGATTGGGCTAGTTGAGCTTTGGGCTAATGGGTTTGTATAAGAAATCTACATAATGTTAGGGTACCAATGTAAGCATTTTACCATTTCAGGTCTCATCCGTTAATAAATAGTACGGGTATTTGGGTACCCATAACTTTAAAAAAACGGGACGGGTGTGGTAATACTCAAATACCTATTACTTGTTGCTCATCCCCTAATATGGAGAGGCAGATCAAAGGGGAAGAGAACCGAACAACACAAGGGTCTCTCCTCCCAGGCTCTCGCCGCTACTAGTGAGGATGCGACAACATCGATGTCCGAATTCAGCCCATCCACTGCGAACCATAGTCCTTTGACGTCCAAATGATGATGGGGATTCACTTGAATTTCGACAAATACAATACAAAGAATAAACAAACGAAACGTGTGGGCACATCCAACGAGCACTAAACTAGTAAAACTTATAATTATGTTAGAAAATTTTACTTATGTTTTCATCTACAGAAATAAAATTCACATCTTATAAGAAAAAATAACTAAAATTCACAACAACAAAAAAAAAACATAGTAGGAAGAATGTTGTGGAATGTGGAATATTGAGTAGGTCTCAAATTTTATCTTCCTTGGTTCCCAACTCGGTCTCTCTCTCGAGAGGATTCTTCTTTCTAGAAAGTCAATCGTCTATACCAATAGAAGATCTCCCGGATTGGTATTATCATAAGTAATAATTATACTGTTCTCAATTTTCATATCTGAATTATGTTATTCATATTCTTATTGATGTCTTTATTCGGTCTGAGAAGCACGCTGATTTGTTCCAGTCCGCGCGCGCGTTCCCATCCCCATCCAGCCATCTCGTTTTATATCCTTTTTTCCTGATCGTCAGCCTCAAAAAAAAAAAAAAAACAGATTTTAAAAACGGAAAAAAGGAACCAACTTTTCATACGCAAGTGTTCGTTCTTGGCGTCCAGCAGGCACCAGAACGTCATCAGAAGCATTATTAGAGAGAAGGAGGCGGAGGAAGGAAGCGTCAATACGCACAGCTCGCCGGCGAAAAGGGGCAAGATGACGACGCGCCCGCTGCGGTTCCCTGAGATCGACGCCGAGCTCCGGCGAATCGTCAATGCGAATATGGAGGAAGTCCCCGCTCGGCGACGAGCTCGCGAGGCCTTTAAGGATATCCAGCTCAACGTCGACCACATCTTGTTCAAGGTTCCCTTTTTTTCCTTTCGCCCTCCATTTAAGTTCCTCTTATCTGAAACTTCGTTGAAACCATATCGCCCTTAATTTTGAGAAACTTGAAAGAACGTGCAGTTTGTTGTTGACCTTTGTATTCCCGATCGTCAAAATTGAAATTCTGATTCTGGGTTTGTTTCAATTTTGGTTTTCTCTCTCTCCCTGTGTTGCAGACACCAAGTGACGGACTGAAAGTCAATGAGGTAATGAGATATGATTGTCACTTTTGCAGCACATGTGTTACTGCTTGAAGTTTGTAGGAAAGTTTGCATCTTTGCTGCCTCATTTTGGGCTTTATTGATACATAAATGGGGAAAAAAAGGATGGGATTGTAGTTATTGCATTCCTACTTCCCCCCCTGCCCTATCGGTTGGGGAATTAGAACATTAAAGTCTGCACCTTTCATGTCCTCTTTCAGTGCATTGGGTCGTACATCATATGTGAAAACCGTACCAACCTTCCAATTTTCCGGTTTTCACCATTTTGATTAGTTTGACTTGAACAAATGAGAGTTTGATCTCCTAGAGAATGAATTGGTGACTGATTGATTACACAGCATATCCAAGGTCACAGCATTTTAGGTAATGCTTTGGGATGTCAGGTTGTTAGATTAGCCTGCTTTAGCTTTGGAGTATAGGATCATCACACAATCGCATGCTTTATAGATAGATAGTTACATACATAAAGATGGACAGACAGCTAGAAAGATTTGGTCATGTGTTAGGCCACTGTGCCTAGTCAGCAACTGGTGTGGGTGTTAAGCCATTTTGTGACGAGTAGTTACTTCTCTTCCACAGGCATACGAGGTGAACTCGAGAGGGGTGGAGATTTTCACGAAGAGGTGGCTGCCAGAAACCCCAAAAGCTATGATCTGTTTCTGTCATGGTTATGGAGACACTTGCTCCTTCTTCTTTGAAGGTGAGTGATAGCAATGGCCTGTTCTCAAGCAGGATGTAATGATAGGTGGTTTGGGTCATTTCTTAGACCAGAGGTTTTGAATTTTCTTTCTCCGTTGTTTATCAGGAATTGCGAGGAAGTTTGCTTTATCTGGCTACGGTGTTTTTGCAATGGATTACCCAGGATTTGGTCTATCAGAAGGTCTTCATGGCTATATTCCAAGCTTTGATACTATCGTCGATGATGTTATTGAGCACTACAATAAGGTCAAAGGTGTGTTTGTAATGTTAATAACAGGTTCTGAACTTTAGAATGCTTAGTAATGTCTTTTGGAATGGACAAACTGACATTTGCTGCTCCAGTTAACAAATTAGCTTTGCTGTATCTTTGATTTTCATGCCTGGATGCTTCAAATTTCATATTTTTCTTCCAACAGCCAGTTTCGATTGGGGCCAACATAGCATACTCGAAAGAAAATTTATTCATTTCTGTCAATATAGGTGTATTTGTTTGGAGGCCACATGGACAATAATGTAGAATCTGTGTTTCATTTGGTGATGGCAGGGGATCCTGAATTTCAGAACGTCCCGAGCTTCTTGTTTGGGCAGTCAATGGGTGGAGCTGTGGTTCTGAAGGTTCACTTGAAACAGCCAAATGCTTGGAGTGGTGGCATTCTTGTTGCACCAATGTGCAAAGTATGGATGCTTCACTGAAGTTTCATTTCTTGACACATTTAATAAAACAAGATAGTTCTTGTAAGAGCATAAAACACAGTACTCTTTAGTAATCAATCCATTGGTTCTAGATTGCAGATGACATGGTTCCACCTTGGGCGGTGAAGCAATTCCTGATTGGGATAGCGAATTTTCTTCCGAAGCACAAGTTAGTGCCACAAAAGGATCTAGCCGAGGCAGCATTCAGGGAACCGAAGAAGAGAGAATTGGTGAGTCTTTTCTATGCAGAACTTGGATGGTGGGTGCTTCTTGAAGTCTATACAAATTTGCTGAGAGCTAAACCCCCTACCCTGAAATTGCAGGCTGCGTACAATGTCATTGCTTACAAGCACAAACCACGGTTGAGGACGGCCTTGGAGATGCTTGAGACAACCAAACAAATAGAACAACGACTTGAAGATGTAACGTGTTGTCTTTCTCGCTCAATTCTTCTTGCACATGTGGCTGATGCCAGTCGCTACGAATGGGTATAAAATGTGGGTGTTCGTTTGGTCGATTGCAGGTATCTTTGCCTCTGTTGATACTGCATGGGGAGGCTGATATTGTGACGGACCCATCTGTAAGTAAAGCTTTGTACGAGAAAGCAAAGAGTTCAGACAAGACGCTGAAACTGTACAAGGATGCTTTCCATTCACTGCTGGAGGGAGAACCAGATGAAACCATAACTCAAGTGTTTAACGATATAATCAGTTGGCTGGATCAGCACTGCAAATGAGCAAAACAGAGGCCGGGGCATTGCATGGCTTACCCCAACGGCAAGGCTCGTGGCCTTTTGTCTCGAATCTTTTATTTCCTCTGCCAAATATATATTCAATTATTCTTTCAGGTTAGATCGATCTGATTTTAAATAATTACGAATGTTGGCAATAATAACAGTGACTTTGTTTTAAACACTAATGGGTAGTTTAGAAATTGTATTGTGGTGGATATATGTATTGTGTATTAAATATAACGTTTGGTGTGTGTGATTGTATATGTCAAATCAGGTAAAAAATAACATATAACAATCTCAACTAAAAGATGAGATATAACAATCATTCATTTTGAGTGATAGATTATGTCACATAACATAATTGATTTATGTGTGTATGCAAAAGTCTTAAATATGGTGAACCATTATTTAGAGTCCCGTTGACAAATATGGTGAACTATTACTAGTATGGTGAACTATTACTAGGATCTAGTCGACCAATCAGTATAATTAACATATTGTATATGCTTGGTGTGTTTTATAATGGTCGGTTGGTTCTTTTACAAGTCACTTTTACAAAGCTTTATGCATACATCAACGAAAATTTGTAGCTTTATATAATATGACACGAAGGTACGGAGGTCGATTGGAGAACCGTAAAGAAAGAGTGTTCTTCTTACTTGCATCGAAAACTTAGGTTTGTGCCTATATCCAAAAAAAAAAAAAATTTTGTTTAGGACCGACACTAGGTAAACGATCCAAGTTACCGTACCTCACACTTTATATGCTTTTGATACCCATTTTCGTTCGGGTTTTCTAAAATTAAATATTTTGGTTTTGGGATGAAATTTTTTCGGCGAAGAGCTCAAATTTTAATTTAAAATACGAGATGCTCTCGTACACATTTCTTGATTCAACTTTTTGATTCTTAAGGAGTTGTTTAGAAGTTGTCATTGTTTTGTTGAGATTGTTGCTTTACATGTATTGTTTAGAATGCTCATTTTTTTAGCAGAATCAATACATTGATTGTTTCTGTGACGTGATAGAAACTATCACTCAAAATGAGTGATTGTTAGATCTCAACTTTTAGCGGTGATTGTTGACATAATTGATTTGAGATTGTTTTGTCTCTGGTTTTAGCTGACGTGTCATACACAATCACACATACCAAATGCTGCGTTTTATAATGCATCAAAGTCAACTATACATATCAAAATATTATACATGCATTCACAACAATACATTTATTTAACTATCGTTTTCATACGTACATTTTGAGTTTGAGCCCATAAATAAATAATAAACGAGCAGCCTACTACAGACCATTTCTATTACACATTTGGACTTCTATTCTATCACCCCAAAAAAAAAAAAAGACCTAAACCCACGTGATTCGGCCCAATAGCCCACCTGATCGGTCAGGCTGAATCAGACCCAACCCAACCACACCCTTTTTCTTCCTCTACCACCTCCATCCCCTCATTTGTTGCCTGCAAAAACAGAGGAACAACTCAGCTCCATGCTTGGTCTGAGCTGTAAAGGCAAAGAGAAATCAATAGGAAGGGAAGAGAAATCGAATCTGAAGGACAGAGAATTGATTGAAAGAAATGGGAGTTGGCTGAATTAGTTGAAAGGTGGGGTGTACAGTGGTCCTCCATTTTTCCCTATTAAGAGAAGAGGCAGCAAGGTTAGAATCCATTGGTGGACAAAAAAAAAAAAGCAGAAAGAAAGATCATCAAAATAGAAATTTCATTCTGCATTTAGAAAAATTAAAATTTAAAACATAAAAAAGAGGAAGGAGGGACAGCCGTCGCCGGACCTCATCTCGTAGCCGCCGCCAGACTGCCGCCATAGCCTCGCGTCGTTGTTAGCCGCCGCTGCTGGCTTGCTCTGGTCGTTGCGGAAGAAAGAAAGGAGGGACCTAGTCGGATCTGGTCTCGGACTGGAGGTAAATAAAAATTTTACTAGTAAGTACTAACTCTTTTAAATTGAATTAAAAAATAACAATTGACAATTCTTTTTCAAATACAAATGATATCCTATTGCAATTCATTAAAAATTAATGTTAACCGGGAACTTTGATCTCGAGATGTCGGGTAGGTACGCGATCTAAAGGTTTGAGTTCATAAAACTCTTAAAATATTAATTATCAAATATCATGTGATTAAATCGTTATCGATGGATATGTGATCAATACTCGACTCATTTATCTAAAAAAACGCATCATGATCGATAGATCATTGTCAATTTAAGAAACTATTAGTCAGAGATGGGTGTAAGCAAACATTTTCAAAACAGCTAAATGTTGGGTGAACTACGAGGGTTTTGATCTCGAGATGTCAATTACGTAGGAAGCCTATGTGCCCAAGTCCACTAAAAAACTAATATATTTTTCCCCCTAAAATCACCAGAAATATTAATTCATTCTTCCAATGGAATTAGATGTTGGTGAACATGTAATATATTTTTAAAATGACATCACATATTCAAAGTTAATCCAAATAATTTCAATCAAAAAAATATATCAAATAAAAGGACAAATCAAACTTATAACAATGAGGGTGCTAGTACCTTCCTAACCTGTAACCAGCCCGCAAACTCATTAATCCATTTCGCAAACCAAGTATAGCCCAAATATTAGCCGATTTAAGTATGGTTTTTCAAGTGTCCAAATCCACTTTGAGAGACTGATAGTAGCGACTCTACTGATTCATGTCACCACCTTACAGACGGATCGCGTTTGCGACAACCGATGTGACAGGTAGATAGTGAATCTATAAAATTATATGTGTTTTTGTGCTAAAACTGACCCAACCTCTTGGTGAAACCTCACTATGCATTCATTGTTATTGTCTCCAATTCATTAATATGTTTTTGTGAAAGTTCTTATCTTCTCCAAGCAGTGCAGTCAAAATCACGCTTTAAAGCGTAAAATCGTATGATTTTAAGTTTTTAGGGTAGGAAAACGTTTCAAATCACTAATAAAATCATTTTTCACTCAAGATCGGTCAATAACGTTGTAAAATCGCGTTTTCAGACCGTTTTTATCTGATTCCAAGCAAAGAAGAAACCTGTGTCCACCAAACCAAAACGGCGCCGTTTTGAGCACCCAAAAAAAGAAGGGAAAGGCGTGGATATCGGGCTTGGGCTGAGGCTGCAATCCATAATCCGCCTTCTCCTCCTCGACAAACACTCCACCAATCCCTAATCATTCGTCTCCACTCTCCAGCAAGGCAGCGTCATCTCCTCGACGAACGTCCTTCTCAAGGCAGCACCCACCTTCTTAGCTCACCCGCTCTCCGATGGCGGGCTGATATCTGTTCTCAGCTAACTAAATTCATTTATGTTCCATTCCTCCCCATTAAATCAACCAGCTGTTAGCTCATAGTATCCTCACATGAGTTTTGATTATGTTTTCGGAAAGTATATTACATCAGTTTGAGTTCATGGGTGTTTGGAGGGGATGGGATCCCATGCGTTTCAGTAACATTAAGGTTAAAGTTTCCTTCTGTCCTTTATAACATTTGTTTGCTTTGATTTCGAGAACTTGGATTATTAAACTCCTATGTCATTATGTAAGTTTAAACCAGTTTGTGAGAATTTGGATTCCTAACTTGTTTGTCAGTTACGATTTATGTTTATGAAGTTATTGTTAAGATGTTATGAGCTTGTTTTAATTTAGATATGAATTGCAGGTATTTATTCTTTTATATAAACTCTGTGCACTCGTATTTTACATAGTTTATGTCGTATTTAATAGATTTTGAACAATTATATAGGATGCGTCAAAAACTTTCGCTTTTACGCTTTGATTCACCGCTTTTCGATTTTACCATTTTCCACTATTAGGTAGAATCGCGCTTTTAACTCCATTCTCTCCCAGAGACATTTCTATTATTCTAGAACAAAAAATTCACCTTCCACAAACCAGTAATTTTGATGTGCAATCAATATATCCGTATGGGGGACACCCAAATGTATGGACCCTGACCTGCCCATTATTGCTTGATTGCTTCCTCCAATCCATGATAGATCCATCCAACAACCACTTCATCTTTTACAACCTACGCATTTACACCTCCATCTCCCATGTCTGTGAAGCTAAGAAATTTTTTACAGTTACCTTGTCAGAAGGACATCTATATATGATCGAAAGGCAAAGACCTAAATCACGGTAAAGAACACCAAACAGAGAGCGGGTACTGGTGGCAGCTTAGAGTCTACAAAAGAATGGAAGGAGACAGAGAAATGACACCGTACGACTAACTGCCACCATCTTCAACATGCAATAGCAGCAACAGAAAGCAGAGAGCAAGCAGAAAGCAGAGCAATTACGCGGGCGACGACGATCAGTTGACAGAGAACAATTCAGAGTTTTCAGATATGCTATCAGATACTCCAACTAACTTGGACAATGTGTCCGAGAGAAGGCGCGTCCGCGAAGCATTCAAAGACATTCAGCACCAGATTGACCATTGCCTCATGAAGGTACTCTGTTTCTCTCTGCCTCTCTGTGTTTTTTTGTTTTCTTCTCTGTTTTTGGGTTCTTCCACTGTAATTGACAAGACTGTTCTGAATCTCTCTGGGTTTCTTTCGGTTCACAGATCCCGTACGAAGGGCTGAAGATAGAGGAGGTAATTAGTTCATCAATCAATCAATCAACTACCCAATCGCTAAATATGGGAAACAATTAATAAATTAAAAAAAAAAATTGCGCAGTCTATTGAAGTGAACAGCAGGGGACTGGAGATATTCTCCAAAAGCTGGCTTCCAGGGGGAAACTCTGCCCCACCAAAAGCACTGGTCTTCTACTGCCATGGCTACGGCGAAACCTGCACCTTCGTCTTCGAAGGAGTCGCCAGGAAGCTAGCGCTCTCCGGGTACGGTGTATTCGCTCTCGACTATCCGGGTTTCGGGCTCTCCCAAGGTCTTCATGGCTACATCCCGAGCCTCGACTTGCTCACCTCGGACGTAGCCGAGCATTTCTCCAAAATCAGAGGTAAGGAACATTTTTAATCACCACTTAAATTTCTTACATAAAAATGTGCTAGCTAATCCATGGACGGTAACTATTTTGTCCGGCAGATAAGCCGGAGCACCGCGGGCTCCGAAGCTACTTGTTTGGGCAGTCATTGGGAGGAGCCGTTGCCCTGAAGGTGCACCTGAAGCAGCCTAATGATTGGGATGGTGCCATTCTTGTTGCCCCTATGGTCAAAGTAAGTTAACAAAATAAAAATAAGTTGTATAGAAATAACTCCTTCGCCTTGCTGATTTCGTTGGATTGTTCGTTTCTGTACGCTTTCTGCTACGGTATCAGTAACATTTGTTCGGTTTGGGGTTGAGCTTTGAAAGTTTGCAGAGAACATGGTTCCCAATTGGATACTGCTCAAGATTCTAATCGGAGTAGCTCACCTCTTCCCCAAGCTGAAAATAGTCCCACACCAGAACTTTGTCAAGATGGCATTCAGAGACCCCAAGAAGCGAGATCTGGTCAAATTCCTTACCCTCAAGATTTCACTTTCACTAACACAAAAAAAAAAAAAAAAAACTTCTGATTAACAACAAATCAATGGCTTCCTGCAGGCAGCTTACAATGTGATTGCTTACAAGGACACGGCCAGGCTGTGGACTGCGCTGGAGTGTCTGCGGACAACCCAGGAGCTGGAACGTTGCTTACACAAGGTAATTAATCTCCCCTGTTACTTATTTCACGACCCAAATTCAATTACTTTATGCTATAACTCGCGTCGTCTCGTCGTCTGACTCAGGTTGCTCTGCCGCTCCTGATACTGCACGGAGAGGCCGATGTGGTGACGGATCCGTCGGTGAGCAAGGCATTGTACGAGAAAGCAAGTTGCCAAGACAAGAAGCTGAGGCTTTACGGCGATGCTTACCATTCTCTTCTGGAAGGGGAGACCGACGAGGTCATCTCCACGGTTGTGGGCGACATTATCTCTTGGCTTGATCATCGTCATGCTGTAGAATTCAGCAACCTTAAATAACTGTCGGCTCGTGCGTACTACTGTGGCATCAAGTTGCTGATTGATTGATTGATTCGTTCATTCTCCTACCTATCCTTCATCATCATCATCATGGGACTCTGCTCCACCTATTCAATGTTCTGGGGCCAAGGAAACAAAATAATGTGGATGTTGACATTCATGGCATTCAATGTAGTCCTTTTGTAATAATTTGGTGCCCATTTCCCATGTTTATGACTTGTGGGTGGGCTGAAATGGTTGGTATGTGTATTTTGCAATTTGCATGTAAGTTAGTTTTCTACTTTGGCTATGAAGACTGAAGAGGTTATGCAATTTCTGTCTCTACGTGTTTGTTAGAAGGAAATCTAGATTTTATATAGGAGGTTATGTTGGATTTTTATTATTTCAGGGGTCTTTTGGTTTTGGTTGTTGTTTGGTTGAGATAGTTATAATGTATGCATTGTCCACAATGCATTATTTTTTTTTGGATTTTTTGCACAAACTATACATGCATTGTTTGCTTGATGTGATGGAAACTATCACTCAAAATGAGTGATAGTACTATCTCAAGTTTTTGGCGAGAATGTTGAGATTGTTAGAGTGTTTTCTACTTCCAACTATGTCCCTACCTTTTGATATGTTTTGCTTTTTTATAGGGCTAATACCACTGGAAATACCAACCTTTACCGAAAGTGCTATTTATATTACAGAATTTCAATAATCACAAAAATACTCTAACCTATTGGGATTCAATGTCATTTGTGTTACACGAATTTCAGTTGACTGTTAGAGTTAACAGTTGACTTAACGGTAGTCAACTTATGTTTGACCATTAATGATGTGGCGCTTATGTGTCATCCATATATGTTCCACATAAGAAATAAATATTTTAAAAAATTAAATTAGCATTACAATTAAATAATAAACAATTTCCCAAAAATTAACACAAAAAAATCCCAAAAAAATTCTCATTCACGGCAGACTCGTCGTGATCTCCCCGCCGCCTCAGGACCTCACTCCAAATCAAAGTCGACATCCTCCTCAGTCCTCACCCATCGTTTCTGCCATGTACATGCCGCATCTCGTTGGATCGACGACAAGGGAGGCTGGATCATTGACTGCCACAAGAGTCGATCAAAACTACCAAAATCATCTCCTTTCCTTTCCCCTTCAACCGACGGAAACCCAGCTCCGATCGATTTTAGATCAGCATCCTTCGCAATTTTTCTTTCCTCCTCTGCAAATTGACTTCATTTGTAAAGGAAAATCTAGAGAGCCCAACCCCAATTCCTATCCAAACCCGACCAATTCGATCGATCGCCACCAGACGGCATTAGCGTCGCTGTTCTCCTCCAGCTATTCGAATGATAAAATCCTTTAACCATTGGATTAACACAATCCTCCATTTTCCATAACTGACGGAAAAATCTGTTAACACAATCTTATCGCCGAGTTTGGGCCTTTGGGGAAACCCTCTCTATTGTCGGCGAGAGTTTGGGCGCCATTGGAATCCGTCTTTGGATGACTCCTCCGTCGCATTTTCTCTCTCCTCCCTTTTTGAATTGATTCTATACCAGACCCCTCTCTCCCCTGAAAACAACGATGACGGTAGATCTAGAGATTCTGAAGCTGCTCGACTCTGCCAACATGTCTCCTCTACCATGGATTTCTCCGGGAGGTCGAGACTTGGCCGCTGCGTCGAGTCTTCAGGCTTCAAAGAGAGATGTCGCTAGAAATGGTGTCGGGGGAGGGACGCCGCCGGAAATACGATGAGAAAGTTGGACCAACGGCGATACCCATAAAGTGAGGAAGTGGAATCATCTATAGTGGGAAGAAGAAAGTCTGAAGCCCCCGCCTCCACGACCCAGATTGATTCCACTAACCTTGTTGATTTTGAGAATTTTTTTCAAGGGTTCTACCTCTGTTCATGGCTCGAGAGCAAAGAGGAAAGGGTGAGAATGAAATGAAACGTATGGCCTCCCATTTTTACATTTACTATATTTTTTTTGTTTTCTTTCAGTAAATTAACAAACACAATATAATTGTCCACGTCAGCGCCACATAGGATGTGTTGACTGGGCGTTGAAAAGTCTCACAGTTAAATTTAACGGTTCAACTAACAGAATAGACATTTTGGTATACAAATGTCATATCGATAGTTACATAATATAAATGGCACTTTCGCTAAACGTTGGTATTTCCAGTGGTATTAGCCCTTTTTTATATTAAAAACAAAGGGTAAAAGTGACATTTCACCCAAAAAACAATATATCTTATTTAAATACTAGAATATCTATCATATAAACCAAACGATGTAAACTACAATACATCAATTTTCTTATATACATGTATATTATTATGCATGCATTGATAACGATGCATCTATACATGAGAGGTTATGTTGAATTTTTACTATTTTGGATTTGTGTTGAATTTGAAGAGTTTCGTGTTTGTATGTAAAACTTGATAATGAATTTTAGTAGATTGGGTTTCTGGGTTTAGTGAGAAATTTAACTTCATATCATTAACAGAGTTTTTTTTATGTATTAGAATATGTAAATAAATTATGATACGATCACTTACCATCATGTACTCAAGTGCATAGATACAGAGCCATCCAATGAATTTGAAAAGTCTTGTTCGGGTAACATAACGTGGTTCAGTTTTTTTAAATATAACAAAATGAAATATCATAACATCGATTGATAAGTAAATATCGTTAAATTACTGAAGAGATAATATGCTTCTAGTATTGTTCGAAAATAAAGTTATGAAAAATTCTACGAAAGTTGGTAAAATTTGTCCTAAAGCCTATGAAAAATTCTACGAAAATAAAGTTCGAAAATAAAGGTTTAAAAGTTTTAAAATGCTAAGGATTTTTATATTAAAAAAAATGTGGATATCCTAAAGCCTCCCGATAAGGAAGCAGCGCAAACAAGGCCCAGATAAGGAAGCAGACAAAAGTAGTTGAAGTCATGGGCTTCAAGCCCAAGTGAAAAGAACTTAAGGCCTGGCCTCTTTTCCACCTTTAGTTTTATTGAAACAGCGCGTTTTGAAGGTCGTGTGGCAATTCTCGAGCAGATTCGCAGATCCAACCTTTCCAACCTATTTGGGACGGGTATTATACGACCTGTAGTAGTGTGGGCATGACATGAGTATTGCTTCCAACGTACCTTGCTCCTTCATGTCTCATTCCATCATAATTTTCATCAATATTCATATATATTCTCCTCTTTTGAGTTTTCTAAAATTATATATTCATCCTAAAGAAATTTTAAAACTCTATCTTTCAACTATCTAGATTCAATTATTCATTCTATTATATTTCTCATTCATTTTTTGAGTATTTTACTCTATGTGTTCTTGTAAAAGAGTTAAATATTGACATTCTTTTTAAGAAACATATAAGGATGGGTCAAGTCTATATTTATTGGTACAAATACAATATAGCGCGGTGCACGGCCAGTATCTCTCGTACAAGTTTTCCTGGAAGTAGGTTTTGATTATTGTCCAGTCGAAAATTGAGTTGAGAGTTAAAAATTGAATTAGTTTAGTCCGATCTAATTCAGTGTAACTCAAATATGTTGAAAAAAAGTCATGGAGATTACATATATGTTATATATATACACATAGAAGTTATTTTATTTGTCAACAATTTCCTAACATGCACAATAAGAGAATATATGACATTACGCCGTCTTGGAAAACACGGACGAGCTACTTCATGGAAAACTTGTACGAGAGATAATGACCCTGAACCGCGGTATATTGTATTCCTGAACTTCTAAAGACATTTTACCCAGAATTTGTCCACCTCCAAAATTTATCCAAAAATAGCTATACCGTAAATTCTTATTGTCAATATTGTATTGTGGAAAATCTGTATAACTACTAGGAATTTTTGAAAACTTCATAATCGATTTAAACCTACGAATTAATCAATGGGAAAAAATGAGGTTTAGTCAAGTTCTTGCAAAAATAGGTGTTTTGAGCCTTTGACACTCTTGCTAGTACATAGCCGCCTCCACGAACTAATTATCTAATCCCAATCACTATCCAGACTAATTTTCAATCATTTAATCATATTTAATTTGGATTGTGATTGGACATCTTCACCAGCTGGCTAAAACAAATTAGCTAGTTGCCTATACTCTTGCCCAACCCTATAATTGGTTTGACTGATTGATTCCAACTTCTTCGATGAGAACTAAACAATTAGCCCTAGAAGAAAGCAGTTTGCATGAACAAATTTGTCCTGACTTTGATTTTAAGCCAAACCCAAACAAATTCCAAAGGTGGAGCTACCTATGGTCATTGAGGGACTACAGATCCATTTATATATTTTATTCCAGGTTTATATGCATTAAACTCTTTGGGTATGCTATGCATTTTTAGGTTGACCTTATATAGGATTATGTCGACCTAATATGTACTTTTAGGTCGACCTTATATAAAAATTAGGTCGACTTAATATGCACTTTTAGGTCGACCTCGTATAGGATTATGTCGACCTAATATGTCGTTTTAGTTTTGTGAGGTTCCCGAATACACTAATGTGGGCACCCTGATAACTTATCACAGTCGACCTTTAAAATGTAATGGTCGACCATTTCTAGTTTAAGTTGTCATTGTTGGTCAACCATAATAAAACATCGGTCGCCCTTTTCATTGGCGTCAGAAGCAAAATGGTCGACCAGATAGATGAGAAGTGTTGTACCCATTTATCCATCATCATTTGACGTAAAATAGAGATCAAGTGTTGGTTTGGCGGTCGACCTAATCCGGTACGAGGTCAACTGAATACAAGAAAATCAACATATGCCATGCGCCTTTTTTGCTTATGTATGTCGATGTGAGTGGTTCTTTTGCTCGTACAAATTACGTTTCAAACCAACAGAATCAATCATAAATAATGATAACAAGGACTCATAACTTCCACGTGGTCGAAGGTGACATATATTCGTATTTATAGATATTTAGGACGAGAATGGGTCGAATTAAGTGTAGATAAGTTAGGGTTACCTTTCTGGTGTTGGAATCCTTATCCAATACGAATACGGTGTGCACGTGGACGACCTCAGTTAATCAAAATGATCGGCCTATGAGGTATCTGGGTCGACCTTTCATTCTGTTCGCTTCCCAAAGAGGTCGACCATTTGCTTTAAAAGGTCAACCGCGTAGTTGAACCTCACAAAACTGAAACGACATATTAGGTCGACCTAATCCTATATAAGGTCGACCTAATCTTATATAAGGTCTACCTAAAAGTGCAGATTAGGTCGACCTAATCCTATATGAGGTCGACCTAAAAGTGCAAGTTACAGTGACATGCATTTCACCCTAGCAAAGTCCAAACTGTTTTCTTATACGTATGTTGAGCAAGAGATTTTGTACTCAAAACCCTTATTATCCCTAATATTAATAATTGATTTAAACATAAATTATGATGCGTCGGTGTATATCGCAAGCTTGTGAATTGACTTTCGTTTGAGGGCATTTATTTTAAAAACTTTATAAAGGGGTTGTTTGGTTTGATGATAGTTTAGTTAAGATAATTATAATGTATGCACAAACAATACATGCATTGTTTGATTGTCACAACTATATATCATATTGGTAGGAGATCATTTGCAAAAGGTGGATTTAGATATGTTTCTCTTTCCAAAGAGTGAATCCCTTGAGGTTACTGAGTAATGACTTTTGTGGAAGAGAGAGAACCTAAACTACCTTCAAACCACGCACGCACTAGCGAGCGAATGGGTGGATCGGTCGACTTGATACTATAATATTTTTTAAAAATAGCCATAATTCAATATGTGCTATCTTTTTTTCTTAATGAAAAAAGATAACTCTCTTGAATTAATTATCTCCGACCGGAGAGGGGTAATGGATGTAGGGGTTTATACTCCTATAAATAACAGCCCTCTCATACCCTCTGAACCCCCACATTGCAGAGAGAAGAAACAAGGAAAAAGAGCGCTCTTTCATATCGCTCCAGTTTTCGCATAAACAGAGAGATAGACAGAGTTGTTGTTTTATCCTCGGAAGCGACGGGTTTATTGACTGTTATTGTGGTCAATACGAGACAGTGACACGAACGTCTTCAACATATCTACCTAGTCCGCGACTCAACCAGAGCATTAACCCTGATTTTTTTCCTTGGTTGGTTTCTAACCCGAACATGCAAAGAAAATCATTAAAAAGTATATTTTGCACGTCTCCTAACAAATCAAGTTATCGAAACTAATAGATTCTTAAATCTGTGGGTTGCTTACCACTCCTCCTTTGAGCGCAAATTCGATCTAATTATCTAAATCCAGAGAGCCTTTCTCTCACTCCTAATCTTGATTTATTAGTAAGGTTTGGAAGTGGACGACCATAGGAACATGCTGCGAAGCTGCCGAAGAAGAAGCCAAGAGAAATGAAGGGCACGTGGCGGTGGCGCCTTATTATTTTACTTTGGGCGTGGACAGCGGGAATCTTGCGCTGGGTTTGGTTCGGGGAGATCATGATCGAACATGTTCAGATGGCGATGTGTAGGGAAGAAAGAAAAGTCAGCCGAACCAACGACGTTCTTAGCGTTAGGGCGGGCTATTTGGTCCTGGACTGTTTGGTTTTACTCGAAACCGGACCGTATAACCCCGACCGGAATCGGATTGGGACCGAACTGAAACCGGATAGCAAACAATGCAATCTCATATTCGGACTTAGATTTGAGGTAAAAAAATCGGATAAGAGACCCCCAACGCCTAAAATCAAGATAAAATTGGGACCGGATCAAAACCGGACTGTATCCAATCCAATCTTTGGTCCTTATATTCCCGGAAAGACCGGACTGGAACCGGATCAATTTGGTCCAATTTAACCGGACCGGACCGTATAGTCACCCCTACTTAGCGTGTACCTGGCTGCACCCAACCAAAACTAAAAAAACTGGGGCCCACCGTGTATCTGAATCAAGACAAAGAGAATGGGAGGGAGACCACTTAACTAATTAATTATTTATTAATTACATATAAAAAAAATTAGGCGGCCAAATATCTTGTCTTCTTGATCTTCATCAACATATTTTGAAGTTTCCTTGAAATACGGTGTTTGTACTTATCACGCACGTTAATTGTGGGTTTTGTTTATTCCCATTGGCTCGGTGCCGCAAATGGCGCGTGTTGATTAAGAGGACAAAGCTCCACGTGTCGACAGTACAGAAGGAGTTCTATGCGGAGTTGCCGACTGTTTGGTTTGGCGGATTCTCCTTGATTTGCTTGCTTACTTGAGAGAACCGTCAAATTATTAGAGGTGGATGACAGCTCAGCTTCACTCCCTGCCTCGTAGCTTTTACTTTGTTTGGGTCCCACTTTCAAAGCCACAGCTGAGGCTAGGGTTGAGCATTCGGTCGGTTCGGTTTCGACCAAATCGAAATTATGAATATCGGGTCCCCGAATTCTCCCAAACCTCAAATCGAATTCGAACCGAATTATAATTCGGTTTGATCGGTTTAAATCGAACTATAATTCACTTCGGTTCGGTTTTTCACACAAAACCGAATTTGTGAAGCTACTTGTATTTTCTCACTTTTAAATTATTTTTTCACCCCTAATATAAATAATAAATATCAATTATATGCATCATCAATTATAAAACCAAACTTTTCAACATATAAGTCATAAAACATTTCAAATATTTAAGTCTAAAAACAACTACAAACATAAAAATCCACCATTTGGAGCTTGCAATTATAGTATTTCGGTTTTTCGGTCGGAAATTCAGAAATTCGGTTCCGTTGAAAGGACCCTGATTTCCGAACTATCCATATTTTCCTTCCGAATTCGGAACTGAATAACATTAATTCGGTTTCGATTCGGTTTAATTCGGTTCGGGTTTACCGAACCGTTTGCCCACCCCTAGCTGAGGCTGGGTCCGGTTCGAGATCAAGATTGTTAACTCGGTTTTGATTATTGTCCAGCCGAAAATTGCGTTGAGAGTTAAAAATTGAATCAGTCCGATCTAATTCAGTGTAACTCAAATATGTTGAAAAAAAGTCATGGAGATTACATATGTGTGATATATATACACATAGAAGTTATTTTATTTGTCAACAATTTCCTAACATGCACAATAAGAGAATATATCACATTACTCTCATGTCGAGTTCCAGGTAGCGTCTTGGAAAACACGGACGAGCTACTGTCCAGGAAAACTTGCATGAGAGATACTAGCTGTGAACCGCGGTTGTACCAATAAATATAAAGTTATAGACCCCACAATACTCAACTTCAATACAACATATAATGTCACGATAAAAACGTTTACTGTGGAATTCAATTAAAACATCTAAAAAAAAAATTAAATCCACACTTGTCTCAAGTTTCCCCTTTCTTTCCCTATTATGTTCAACTTTTTTCTTTAGAGCCATCATCACTAAATCGGCATTTTTTATCTAAATCGACCATTTTCCTATCACCCTCCAAAAAAAATCGACTAATCCATCTTGCATCATCTTCCATTCTTACTAAAATCAGCTCAATCAATTCTCAAAGCAAATTTTTGCATGTGCTTCTAAGAAAGAAAACCCCACTTTTTTTGTTATTATTTCTCGTGTTCACAACAAAACTTAAGGTAACTAGACGACAATTTATTTTAAACTCCACTACAATTATGAAGTTCAACTAAGATTCTACACGTATCAAATGAGTTATAGATGCAACATATTCCTCTTTAATTGAGAGGACTTAATTCTTTATTGCTGTGGAACACTTTGGAAGAACTATAAATAGAATTAAAGTTTTAGATTCTACACTAAAACATGATATTCCTCCTTGAGAATTTAATCTTCATTGTTGTTTAACACCTGGAAGAATCATAACACAGAATATGATCGGTGTTTAAATGACAATCAACCAAATAATGACAAAATGTACATACACACAAGTTGATAGGTCATGCTGGAGGAATGAATGGCACAATATTGGCCAAAAGAATTCGCACTCCCCAAAAGTGTGATTAGACTATCAACATGCAATATGTGTTGCAATTAAATATTTGTGTTTTAGTTTATGAATTTACAAGGATATATATATGTGCATATTTGTTTTCAAAAATAGTTTATGGGGTAAAGGATATGAATATGTCATTTGAAACCCATACAAAGTTCAAATAAAATAAAAAGGAATATGAAATTTGCCAAAATAAAAGCCTTTTTTTTAATTAAAAGAGGCAAGCTTTGTGCTTGTGGCCTTTGCATTCCAATGAACTAATAATTTCTTGGTAGCTTGGATGAACAATTTGTCACTTTATTTAAGGTGAATTTTAATTGAGATTAAATGGATTTATATTTTCCCTGCTTTTTTTTAATGAGATTTTTTTTTTTACTTTGTTTTAACCTGGAGTAAAATTTTGTTTGAATAGATGGAACAAGTCATCTAAAATCATATTTTTTTCAATATATTTCAATATTTTTTTTTCCATACCGTCCATACCACTTTGGTACAGTCTAGTACAACTCTATACCACATATGTTTTCACAGAAATTCAATTTTTTTTTGTCTAGAAGGCGTGACCTATTTATGGGGAAAAAATTTCAGGACCCATACCACTCATTACAAAATGATATACATTTTCAATATATTTCAGGAATTTTTTTCCTACCACCCATACCATTCTTTATCACCCGATACAGTCTACTACCATTCTGTATCACATTTTTTTCACCATTTTTTTTAAATTTTGCCCATAAAGAATGAGTCCAGGTGGCCTATTATATCTAAAATTTGTAGGGGGATTTCAAAACCAAATATACCATTTTATACCATCCTTGTATAAGGTAGTAACTGGTGCTAGTGGTAGACGGTGATGACATGTGGTAAATGACAGTTGATATATTCCTATTATCACGTAAAACTATTGTACACCGTGATATATTCATAGTTTCACACCAACCATCATGGTACACTTTCATATCACATTGTATAATCTTATATACTACCAAACATTATCACTGTGGACGGGTAATAAATCTCTCTACTTTTTTTCCAACATAGATGTCCTTTTTTGGAATGCAATATAGTAGACTTAGTATAATTAAAGAGTATTTCGACTTGACCCATTATTTCTATCCATTTTAACCGTAACACATGTAAAACAATTCAAAGTATATACAAATTTTCTTGAATGGGTCAGTTTAACCACTTAATTTGTTTAAACATAAATAACGTTTTATGAAAGAAGGAAGAACTCTACTACTGCTTCCATCCTTCTTTGGCCATTTATGAATGAATATTTATACACAATGTGGAAATTTGTACGGTATCGACATACCAAATATCAAATACCGAATAATACCTTAAAATCAATCATAATTTCTAAATAATTTCGGTATCCCAATTCCTAAATATTTTGGTATCCCAATTGGTACTTCGGTATCCCAATCAGTATTATCAAATATGAAATTAATTATCTTGGAAATTAATAATTAAATATATAAATTAGATTTGATTGCTTAATTTAGGGCAAAGAGAGTAAGCAAAGAGTCTTTGCCTAGAGTTAGGATACGGATAAGGAGAATGAAGGAGACGTGACATCTCAAATTCTTGTCATTGGTAATCTTTAATTTGATGAATTGGAGGTTGAGAGACGGCTAATACTAGTGTTTGCCTTTTCGTGTTATGAAAAATAACAAGAGATTAGGTGAGTAAGGAGAGTGACTTAAACTGAAAAGTCAAAATTGAGTTGTATGGAGGCTTTTAAATTGTGAAAGAGTGAGGAATGACCAAATGTTGTGTGTTATATTTCATTAATTTTTAAATTTCGGTATTTCTCAGTATTTTGGTATATATCGATCCCAATCTCGTAGTCCTGAATGCCGAATAACACTTTAAATTGAATCCCAATCCCTAAAAAATAAGCCGATAATTGATAATACCAAATAGTGATAAATTCGGTACGATATTCGGCATATTCCAAATACCAATACTAGCTTCTGTTTTTTCATAAAAAAAAACAACAACAAATATTGCAAAAATGAAAAAATAAAATAACAACAATTATCTCAAATTAATGGTTTTGTCAATTTCGATAATTGGTTCCCACACATCCAGACCAATTAACTCTCCTCTCTTCTTCACTCACAAGACACACCACAAAAAGTCCCAAAATCAAAAGATGACAACTCATGCAAAACAATTCAAAGTATATACAAATTTCCAAACTTACAACTTCTGGTATGCATGTATTTATTTATTTCGTATATATCCATAACAAAATACTAACGCTCCTGCCGGCCTTGGCCTTGACGAACTTAATATAACATTTTCATTTCATTTATTAAATAAGTTTATGTTGGTCATTTTGGAATCATAGTAATAACCGATGTAATTTTCGCTTATGATGACGATTTCTTTTATCTCACTATGTTCAAAAATTATCATTATGAATGACTCGAACACAATTAATAACGACACGTGACATCATATGAAACGAGGTAAGTGGTGGACTTTAAAATTTTACTCAGAACTCGATTTTTACCCGATAGTATTTTTGAGGTTCGATCGGTTAACCGAACCGAACCGGCAGCTTTAAGCAGGATTTAAGGTTGAATTAAATGAATTCCTTCGTAATAACATTTTTTGAAAGACATTGTATTTTACATATTCTTTAAATGACAAACAAGAAAAAAAAATATATGAAAAAGAAGGTCGCAGTCGCACCTATAAAGCACTTCCATTGGGAAAATCGGAGGCAGGCCGACTCGATAGTTTGATACCAAAAAACAAGAAAAATAAAAAAAAAAAAACAATTTATTCGTTTTCCTTTTTCGTAATTAAAACGGAGAAAAATGGGGAGGCGCTGTGGTTTGTGACCATTCTTTATTTATTACCAAGTCCACAACCAACCATAGGTTTCTTCCTCAGCTTCCTCCACTCCTATAAATCCAATCCCTCCGCCGCGCCCTCTCCCCTCTTCTCTCTCCAACCTCCCTCCTCCTCTAATCGTCGCGGAGGCGCCCTTTTTTCCCCGTTTAGGCCTTCCTTCTCTTCTCCCCGGAGGATTCCAACAGGTAATTCGCTCCTCCTGCGCTGTCGCGTATCTTTTCCTGCTCTCTCATCTTCCCTACGGCGGCTCAGATCTGGATTTACTTTCTGGTTCCTTTCGCCGGCGGCGCGTTGTTTCTCAATTTTCTCAGTCAGAGCTTAGGGGTCGCCGGAGATGGAATCTCTAGGTTCTTAGTTTTAGATCAGATTTTTTCTCCTTCTATTTGTTTGCTCGTACGTTTTTTTATTCAATTTGTTTTGCGCGTTGAATTTAACTAGCTGTTTGAATTCTTATCGTTGCTGCATATCTGTGTCCAATCCTCCGTTTCTACCTTATTTAATTTTCTGGATCTAGGGTAAGAGTTTCATTTCGCGGCTTTGTTGTTTGGTGAGCTGATTTCTGAACTTTGGGAGAGGATATGTGGATCTGATTGAGAAGAGTTGCGTTCTTTCTCCCTTAGATCCAACTTTTCTTTTGAGCTGGTGTGGAAAATCAACGATTTACTTGTTTTTTTATTCTTTTTTTCGAGGTATTTTGTCCTCTCTGGCAGGAGAGGCACCATGATGATTGCTAACAACTGTTAGTTTTACGGGATCTGGTGAATCTCTTTGTTGATATGTCATTCTGGGTTGCTTTTTTTTTCCTTTGAATGAATTGGGTTGAGCTTGTTTGATCTACTGAGAACTTGTTGATTTTCCCTGATGGGGGAAGGAATCCTTGTGGGGTTATGGTCTCTGTGTTGTCAGAATTGGTTTCATAACTTTTCCTTGTGAAAACTCAACCCTGCGATTATGAACTAACGTTTTTCATTTGGTGATGATTTGTTGAGCAGGCGTTCTACTGTTGATTTATTCAACGAAGATCGAAGATGAGTCAGTTTTATCTTCAGCAGAACGTCGTTGCCTCTTCTGATGAAGCAAGGGGCATGGTATCGATGTCTGACCTCAGGGGTCCTGTTGTCTGCCCCAAGCCTCGCCGAGTTGGAATCCTAGCGAACAACCCTGTCCGGCCTTTGCGGTGGCAATTGAGGTATGCTCACTTCTCCCTGATTTGCTATTGGGGCTGCTCTATATAAGTTGCATTTCAAACCGTGAAATCTCACATTTTGTGTTGGATGTTTGTATTAATGTCAGTCATCAGGCGGATGGGGGCGACTTAAGTGCCGGGGCTGAGCTTTTGGACATTATTCTTAAGAAGGTAATTTACTTTCCTATCTGTACCCATTACCTTGTATTGACAATTGATACATTATTGATTTGCTTGGTGCTTCTGGTGGACCTGTTCTTCGTTTTGGAGTGCGCTCATCTTGTCTCGAATTAGTTTCTGTCGAATTGACTAACATGGTTTTGTTTTGTTTGGAACAGGAAGATCATGGGGCTGAGAAATCCGCCAGTCAGGTGGCTTCTTCACCTCCATATTTTTGCGGGTCTCCTCCGGTGAGGGCTGCGAATCCTTTGATTCGGGATGCTCAATTTAGGGACGAGAAGGTTTTCCAAAACCAGCCTTCTCCTTCATCAATGTTGTCTCCATCGGCGGCATCAGCACGCAAAGGAGGGGGTTGTGTGAGAATGAACTTTGGTTTCAAGCCAGCTGCAGTTAGAGTAGAAGGATTTGATTGCCTCAACAGGGATCGCCAGAATTCCAGCATCCCTGCTATGGCCTAGAAGTCTACATAAAAGAGAAGAAGAAGAAAAAAATCGCCAAGTGTACATAGTGAGAGCGAGAGGGAGCTACAAAAGAAATGCGCCATCAGAGTCTCGAAGTAAATCATAAGAAGACTTATGAATTAACAAGAGGGAGGAAGTTTGTACCTTTTTTGGGAGAAGGAAGAGTCCAAGTCGTGGAGAGGAGGGAGATTAGTAATGGTTTCCTTGTGTATATATGATATTTGTGTTTTTGCTTTTTTCACCAGGTGATCATCTTTCATCTTGGGCTGATGATATATTGTGTAAAGTAGGGAGAGTTGGATTTTGAAGATGAACAAGAAAGGGCAGGAAGGCCATAGGAGAGGCCTTAGCTAGCTCTGTTGTAATATATAAGAGAAGGAAGGAAAGGCAGAAAGGAAGAACACGCTTAGATTCTTGGAGGGTGACTTTATTATTTAAGAGTATCGTTTTTGGTGATCACCATTGGAGATGTTATTCTTAATTCTGTATAGGTGAAGAAAAGATCCTTTGGTGCTGGTGATTGAATTTTGGTTCAGTGCAACTGCAACTGCAACCTCCCCTTGTAAAAATGTAATGTGGTCTTATTTGTGAATGAGGCTTGGTCGAAGTGTTATCATTTACTATATGTCTTATTCTCATTGCTTGGATTTCGCTTCAAATTCGTCGTGGTTTCGTATTGGACATGTAGCAAAAGAACATGAACTGGTCAAGTGGAACACCGATAGCCTCTGTCCGTAGTAGGGTATTTTATGTTGAAATTGTGGTTTACTTGTGGTTTAATCATTTTATATTGCTGACAATGAGCTATTAGTTTAGTTGTTGATCGTAAGTTTTTCAGAACGAACCACAGGTATGATACGATTTTGCAAACACTTGATGTTTACTGTTTAGCATGACGGATGGGGATGTATATGTCGTATGATATGTAGACCCATCAAAAAATTTGATACGGTTTTGCCCACAAGTCTAGCGTTGTGGTGAGCGTTGGAGAAGAACATCAAATTCATAGTTGGGTTTTCGTGCACGCCATGTAGCTAGGATTTTTTTGGGTCTTGTGGTTGCCATTGGAAATGGAAGTATACTAATACTACTCAGTAACAAGGGATTCATATTACATGCAAACAAAAAGTTCGGAGCTCTGAAGGGCACTGAACTATTCACCTAAGTAGTATTTGCTTACAAAATTACATTAGATGACATCTGGACTCAACCTGTTGGTTGGTTTTGAGCAAAGTTCAACAAGGTGCTGGGCATAAAGCGGGCGTTGGAAGCTTGTTTAGTGTCTAATTGGCTTACGCGTAACCTAAGCAATCGTGTCTAGGTAGTGAAAACAAAAAAATCAGTTAGTAATAAATGATGAATGAAATAGTTGTTTTACAATACTTTGACTTTAGTTCGGATGATTAATAACTTACATAATACTTAATAATGCGAAAAATAACTCACAAGTTCGTATAATTATAGCTCACAAAAAACTCTTGAGCTATTGAAAAGAATGTGTATGTAGATCATGCTAATTTCTCCATTTTTATATTGATCATTTAGCTCTCCCTAATTACACATAGGCGACATCTAGGTGTCACCGTACTCCACTGTCGCATTCTGGATTTCTAACTCACCGCGGAACCTCTAGACATGGTATTTTAGTATTGGTTAAGCGTAGACGCGCCTTTTTGAATCCTGATTTTTAGATTAAGTTGTTTGAATCCTTTCAGGCAAAAGAACAAACAAGAAGCAAGCAAGCAGATACCCTTGATTCAAACTTTGAACGGTTCTTAAGTAATTGCATAAGATAGTAAAAAAAAAAATGATGGTGAGCGATTTATCATATTAGTAGCATTGAAGACTACATGTAACATTCCGAACCTTTTCCCGACGAAAGATATTGTCCGTTTTGGGCCTCGACCCTCACGGTTTTCGACTTGGGGTGCAATTCAAGGTGACTTCCCATAAGGTCACTCATTCTTGTTGTACTCCACACTGAGTAGATCAAATTTGGAGTTCTCACAAGAACTCCACCATGTCACCCCATAATGCGTCTTATTGATGGATCTCTCCCGTGTTTTGTCGATGTGGGATTCGCCTAAGGTGTTACATACCCCCCACCCCACTCAACGCCCTCGTTGAGGTGTGCCCCACCATAGTCCAAGAGGGACGCAGAGAGGCTCTGATATCACTTGTAACATCCCGAACTTTTCCCGACGAAGTTATTGTCCGCTCTGGGCCTCGACCCTCACGGTTTTCAACTTGAGGTGCAATTCAAGATGACTTCCCATAAGGTCACTCATCTTTGTTGTACTCCACACTGAGCACGTTTAACTTCGGAGTTCTCACAAGAACTCCTTCATTTCATCCTAAAACGTGTTTTGTCAATTAATACCTATTTTTTACTTATAAACTATAGATCTCTCATGTGCTTTGTCGATGTGGAATTCGCCTAAAGTATTAGGCTGCATGCCGTGTGCTAAAATTTGGGTAACAAAAAATGCGTGTAACAACACTACTTTGGCCAGCGTGACAATATGGTGCTATTTCCTCTTTATTCTCGGGAGGTTGGAAATGTATAATTCCCTGAAGTATAAAATGCACACATGTCAAATTCTTATGTTCCTAAAGTCTGGTCATAATAAAGTATACTTTTGTACTGCTTAGGATGGTAAAAGGGTGGGGTTCTCTAAACCATTTTTATTTTTCAATAATCAAACGGCCCCATCCCATGCGGGGAGATTATGCATCTTCATTCTCATATCCATGTTTTTTTAGTACTGAGTGGAATATTATTATTATTATTATATCTATAATCCAAAATACCTCCTACTTCCACACGGTCACGCGTACCCGACGAAAAAGGATTTTTGTATCCGGATTGTTTAATGACAATGGGGATTGGGTCACTGAGGAGAAATGGAAGGCGGACGTTGCGACAAACTTCTATCAACATCTCTTCACCACAGAATCTCAAATTCATGATATGAATGAGCGGGTGGCTGACCTTCCTATTGCTTCCAATGTGACTCCGGAAATGAATGCTACCCTGACCGCTGAGGTTAGTCCAGATGAGATCCGCAAAACGGTCTTTGCCATGGGCTCAAGGCAGGCGCCAGGCTCTGATGGCTTCACGGGGAAATTCTTTAAAGCATACTGGGGGATTGTGGGGGAGTCGGTGGTGGCTGCGGTTGGCTCTTTCTTTGCTACTAGCAGGATGCTCCGCAGTTTTAACCACACCTGGTTGACGCTAATCCCAAAGGCGGAGCAGGTGGAATCCATGCGTCAACTTCGTCCCATCAGTTTATGTCAGTTCATATATAAGGTGATTACAAAGATCATGGCGGAGCGGCTGACCGGGATTTTTCCTCTCATTGTCTCGGACGGCCAGAATGCTTTTATCAGGGAAAGACAGATAGTGGATAATATTCTGATAGGCCAAGAGTTAATGCACTATTTGACGATCAAAACCCGGGGGAAAAAAGGATACATAGATCTTAAGGTTGATATGGAAAAGGCCTATGATAGAGTTGAATGGTCCTTTCTTCTTGCGGTTTTGGAAAAAATGGGTTTTAACTCGGTCTGGCGTGGATGGTTGCAGGAATGCTTAAAGTCAACAACTTTCTTGGTCCTTATGAATGGATCTCCGTCTGGTTTCTTTGCGCCCTCTAGGGGGCTCCGACAGGGAGATCCCATCTCTCCCCTTCTTTTTGTGCTTTGCACGGAGGGCTTTCCTGCCTTACTTCGTAAAGCCATCTCCGAAAAGAGGCTGGAAGGAGTGAAGGTGGCTCCGAGGGCTCCCCGAATTGTTCTTTGCTGATGATTCTTACTTATTTCTCCGGGGTTCCCTCCAGGAGTGTGAGAATTTGATAAAAGTTCTTAATGAATTTGAGGAGCTTAGTGGCCAGAGGGTAAACTTGGAGAAATCGGTTGTTTGTTTTAGTAAAAACGTCCCGTTGCCTGATCAGGAGTTCTTGGCGGCAATCCTTGGTGTAGGTACTGTAGGGGTACAAGATAAATACCTTGGTCTACCCACTTTGATTGCTCGCTCCAAGACGGCCACGTTCCGCTACCTGGAGGAGAAGCTTTTAGAACGTTTGCAGGGATGGAAACGCAGGACTTTATCTTGGGCAGCTAAGGAAACTCTGATTAAATCTGTTGCCTTAGCTCTTCCACTCCATGTGATGTCCTACTTCCGCCTGCCGTTATCTCTTTGTCGCCTCCTGGACAAGCATGTGGCCAGATTCTGGTGGGGGGTTGAGGATGGTCGGTCCAGGATTCGGTGGGTCTCCTAGCGTAATTTGTGTAGAAGTAAACATGAGGGAGGAATGGGATTTCGCCGGTTTGAACAGCTTAATCAAGCGTTGTTGGCTAAGATAGGATGGTGTATTCTGAATGAACCTCAATCCCTCTTAGCCCAGGTCTATAGAGGGAATTATTTCCCGCAGGGTTCCTTTCTTTAGGCTACGGCGCGGTCCCGCCCATCCTGGGGATGGCAAAGCATTCTCTTTGGGCGGCAGTTATTGACTAAGGGTTTGCGGTGGCAGATTGGGAATGGACAAAAGACCCCTTTGCTTAACTCAAACTGGATCCGGAATCAGCATCCTTCTTCTCCTGTGTACAACCCACGGGTTCTGCCGGTAGATGGGGAGGTGACGGTCTCTTCTGTCCTCCGTCCAGGGGAAGGGAGTTGGTGTGAGTATAGGCTGAGCTAGTGGTTTGACCCTCCGACTTGCCAGAGATTAAGGCGATACCCCTGCCACGGGAGCATATTGAGGATCGATTGATTTGGCGTGCCACGGAGGATGGAATTTTTACTGTCAAATCGCCTTATCACTTGGCGGTTAGTCTGGACCAGCAGAGTGGGAGATGGCGGGCGCAGGTTAGTTGGATGGACAAACGTAGTCGGATCCGGGTGTGGGAAGCTAATATTCCTCCGAAGCTAAAGGTGTTTGTCTGGCAAATCTTGACCAGAATTTTACCAACGACTGAGGCACTAATAGAAAAGAAGGTGGAGGTCCTACCCCGTTGTCCTGTCTGCTGGGCTTCAAGGGAGACAATGGAACACTTGTTCCTTGATTGCCCTGTGGCTAGGGCTCTGTGGTCGCAGGCGGGGTTTGATTCTCTTGGCGAGGGATTGCCCCGTCATACATTCCCCCTCTTCCTCAAGAAATTGCTGGCTATTGTGCATCAACCTTCGCAGTTCATGGTGGTAATTGCTATCCTGTGGCGAATTTGGAGATCCCGAAATTGGGTGGTCTTTGAAGGAAAATAGTTCAGCATTCCAGCGCTCTTGAGGCAGTATAACCAACAGGTAGGGGAATGGCTCGGCCTGCCTAGGAACCCTCAATCTCCCCCTCCTCATCTGCCTGCTCTTCCTACTGTGGAAGTAATTGGATCAGGGGGACCTGTGTGTCGTTGGGATGGGGCTGTTCGACGTGGGTCACACTCTGCTGGTGGTATGGTTCTTCTCAATGAGGCCGGGACGCCGCTCTGGGATGCGGGGGTTCAGTTTCCCAACCTGAATGATCCAATGGTGGTGGAACTCCTTACTCTTCGGGAAGCAGTTCGTTGGTGTTTGGCGCACGGGTTTCTGGTCATGCGGTTTGAAGGCGATGCTAAGGTGGTCATTGATAAGATCTGCAGGGATGATGTGCGTGACAGTCGGATGGGGGCTATTTTGGAGGAGATGATTCAGATTTTCAGGGTAAATCCGGGCTTTAATGTGCGATTTGTAGGTCGGGGTGACAATAGGGTAGCTCATTTGGTAGCTAGACATGCCCTGTCTTTGTTCCCGACTTCGTGTCGTTATTTTGATTTCCAGACCTGGCTGGCTTTCAGGATGTAATTATCGATTGGTTTCTATCAATTAATGATTATATTTTGTAACAAAAAAAAAACAACCAACTTATTTACCAAGCAATAAATAATTAACCAACACATTTTTGAAATTGAACTTAAATTAATGTAGATGACACCATAACCTAATATGGTGTGGTTATAGAGACCACTTAATTACACTTTAACTCTCTCTCTATATATTTTTTATAAAATTACCCTTATTTTATTGATATTTTATAATTTGATCTCTATCTTTTTTATACATATGAATAAGTATCCTTGGTGGGGCAGATATGGGTATGGGTATATGGGGTGGAGGAGTTTAAAATCATACTCACCCCATCCTCATGAGAAACTTTGTGAGTTTTACCCGTACACCTCCTGTACCCAGTCAATGCATAGATTCCCTGCAGGATCAGAAGTGGTCGGGTACCCATTGTTGTGGGTTTGATTGTCACCCCTACTTTTGCTTATCCTTGGGACGAAATTAAATTAATGAAGGCAACTATTGATTGTACTATTTTAATTAAGAAAGAGAGTTGTGATTTCAAATGGTGTATTGAGCCAATTTCATGTATTTGTGAGATTAAGTCGTTTTTTTTTTTGCTTATATTGAACTATAATACATGCATTTACTTTTTGGAGGTCCCACCACATCACTCAAATTTGAGGGATTATTAATTTCTACTTTTTGTTGAGATTCTTCACAATCACTCAAAATTTAACTTTTGTAGCTTTCAACAAAAAGAAGGCAAAATACACTTGTATAGCCAAAACTTTCGCGATTTTGCCAATAATAGCCAAATTTGGAGAAATACCACTTATAGCCACTTCCGTCCAATTCTTTAACGGTGTCATCTAACAAGCTGACTGGACTAACAGAAATGCTGACATGGCTACGTTTCGTCAGTAACATTGCCACGTGGATTTAACTTAAAAAAAAATACAAAATACAAAGAACAAGAAAAAGAAAAAGAAAAAGAAATAAAAAAATAAAAAATATATTTTCACTTTCGCCTCTCTCTTCTTTCCTCTTTCGTTTCCCCCGCCGCCGCTCTGTTCGACCGATCTTCTTCTTCAGCTTTCCGGTAACTCCTCCCCCTTCTCTCTCTCTCTCTCTCTCTCTCTCTCTCTCTCTCTCTCTCTATCTATCTCTATCTCCAGACCCCGCTCTCTCTACTGCAACTGAGTCCACAGCTCCTTCCCCGCGCGCAGAAGAGCAATCCGATCCCTAGGGATCCCTCTCTCCGTCCTTAACGACCACCACAAGCTCGAGCAGATCCATCATAATGTCATTTGAATCGGAGGATCCGAATCTGCAATCCATCCCAATTCCAAAACACAGACGAGAACCCAGGTCGAGAAATTACACTACATGGAGTGGGTAGGAGAGGAAATTAGGTCAAAATTGAAAATTCGAGTACTTTTGGGGGAAGAAAACAGAGCGACAATTAATACGAGAAACTAAGAATGGAGGGAGGAATGAAACCCCAAAGGTGGAAATTGGAAATTTGTTCTATCTGAAAACTTAATCGAAGCAACAGAATGGGCTTGAGAGCTGGGAACATGGGTGACGAGCAGCGAAAAAGGTGAAACAAGAAGATGAAGAAAAACAGCCATTAGAGTATAACAGAGAGGAAGACGGGACGGTGGTGGTTGCCGGTGTTGGTTTGGTGATTCCGTCAGCAACGTCATGCTTTGCGCTTTCTATTTGTCATTTCGGAGAGGAAGACGAGACGGGTTTCAGCGTCGGACTCGGTGGCCAGGTGGGTTGACTGTTGCTACCGGAGCTGGGAAACACGACGGAGACCTAGGATTCTACCCAGCGGTTCCACCCAATAGAAGAGGAGATGAAGGTGGGAAGACGGAGTGAAGGGTAACGAAGTCGATTCTTCTTCTCCATGATTTTTTGGTGGATGAATCTGGGCTTGGGGGTTGGTGTGTTCTGGAGGGAGGAGAGTTCGTGGAGATGGAGAAGAGTAGGTGCCGGATGCGAGAGAAGTTTCCGGCGACGGTGACGCTGGGTTCTTAGATTGGAACAATGCTTTTTTTATAAAGATGGGAACGAAGATTGAGAAGGTAATGATTTTTTTGTTATAAAATATTTTTGTTTTTAAAAATTAATTAAATATTTATAAGTAAAAGATTAATTAAATATTTATATATGTAATATATAAGTTTTTATTTTTAATAATGTAATATATGACGTGTCAAGATGACGTGTCAAGACTTGCTTAGTTGGCGCTGACGTGTTCGAGTTCTTCTCGCCTAATCAGCAAACCGTCTACTTATTTGACGGTGTCAGTAACGCCGTCAATGTTTCTAACGGAAAAGGCTATATTTGTCCAACAACATTTTCAAAAGGTGGCTATAAGTGGTATTTCGCCAAATGTGGCTATTATTGGCACAAACGTGAAAGTTTTGGCTATGGAACTGTATTTTGCCAAAACACAATCTAAACCTCCAAACAAAATAGTTGTGGGTTTGATTGCCATCCCTACTTTTGCTTATCCTTGGGACGAAATTAAATTAATGAATTTAATTAAGAAATGAGGTTAGATGCTAATTCCCTAAGCGACGGACACCATGCCAACTAAGTTACCAGACTTTAGATTAAAATGATAATTCCTAAATCAAAATTAATTGGAGAATAGTTTAGTCAATATTCACGCAAACGCTGATATACATATTAATTGGAGATTAAACACGACCCACCTCTCCTTTTTCCACGAACCCACATCTCGCTCTGCCTCCTCTCTCTCTCTCTAAACCCATTCCCTCTCTTCTCTAATCTCCACCTTTGACCTCTTCCACAACATCGTGCTATTCCACGACTCATGGTGTCGTGAAAAATCATAGTGCTTAGCAGTGGCGGATCAAGGACATAGTAAAGCACTAGGCTGTATTTTATTAGAAAATTAGATATTGTAAAAATAATAATATAATTATCATAGTATTTTGAACAGTTTCAATTGTACACGATAGTCTTTTAATTAGTGAATTTATCAATAACGGAGTCTACATACATACCAATAACATACTCTCTTTCAAATAAAATAGTTAAGCAATCAACGAGAAATTTATTGCTCATTTTGTTGCGCAAATCAGTTTTTATATGTTTCATTGTTGAAAAGGTTCTTTTCGTAGTAGCTTTTGAAACGTGGAACGTCAATACTAGACAAATCACTGTTTTAGTAAAATTTCAAGAGAACAAACCACATATTACTTTTAGTCTTTTCTAGACAAGCATTTGAATGAGAAAATCATTGTTAATATTTTTTAGACTGAAAATAATTTGGGCTAGAGTTTTATGCAAAATTTATAGTAGTAATTTGAATATGTTTATCTGAACCATTTTTCAAGTTACACATAATTCTATTATAAAATAGCATTGGACCGAATGCTAAAGTCGAAAAAAATAATAAGGACTACACTAGCTTCAAACCTAAAGAAGGGCTGGGCCGTGGTCCGGGTGGCCACCCCCTGAATCCGCCGTTGGTGCTTAGAGGAGTCAGGCTCTCCGACTACAAGGGGGGGGGGGGGGGTTGAGAGTTAGGGTTAGGGTTTTGAAATCTCGATTCATGATGAATGAGACTATACCATAGACATGGTTCTGTGGTCCGTACCGGACTAGACCATAGACACGGTTCTGTGGTCTAGATCGAGAGTTTGGGACACAGACTATAGACCGGACAATATACTATACGATTCACATCAGACCACGTCTGTGTGGTGCGGTCCGGTACAATCTAGGGATGGCAAATTACCCACCCATGGGTAATTATACCCAAACCCAAGTAGACCCATTGATATTGGGTTGGGTATGGGTGAAGTGCATATGGATTTGGGAGTTTATAGATGGGTTTGGGTAAGGTATGAATATTGCTTCCATAATCTAAATGGGTATGGGTTGGATATGGATATCCATTTACTTGAGGGTGTTTAACTACACATGCAAAAATTGGACCTATTTGTAAAACTTGAAAAGTTTAGGTACCAAAATGTAAGACACAAAAAATTAGGTTCCAAAACGTAATTTCCCATCGATATTTTGAGGACTTATATGCAAAAAAATTAAATTTAGGTACTAAATATGCATATCTATTAAGTTTGGGTACCAAACTGTAATTTGTATTTGGGCATGGGTACAAACCCAAATCCATTTGATATAAATCCAACTCAACCCAAAATAATTGGGTATGGGGTACAAACCCATCAAACTCTACCCATATCCATCTATTTGGATTTCATACCCAACCCAATTGGGTTGGATAGTAAGAAAACCATGGGTATGGGCAAAGTTGCCATCCCTAGTACAATCTGGACCAGACAGACCATGATAAAAAAATTCACTCTTGTTCCGCCCTCCAACCCTTCGTCGATATCTATAAAAATGAAAATTCCAATGACCAATACGCTAGTGAAACAAAATTTTTGTGATTGTAATTAAATGAGAAGAAATATATGAGAATAGAAGCGAGTTTTTTCAATTTTCAAACTCTCACTCCAATCTCGATGACTCTATCAAGTATCTCTTAAAAACACACATCAAATAGCCTTGTTTCCCTATCCCTCTTTGTGCTACCGCTTCTCTCCCTCTCTCGGGTGATCCGAAAGTTCTCGGGGTTGATAACCTTTGGGATGACGCCGAGGTCGTTTTGAACCACTAAGATGATCGCTATTCTCTCAATAATTTTCCTTATATCATCAAGGTGAATACATTTTTTCTAGTGTTTATGTCTTATCGACTTCATAGTCTAGACATTATCGGTAAATATTATTTAAGAATTTTTTTGGTTTTTGTGTGGTTCTTTGATATGGATATAACGCATAAGCGATCATTGTGCAATTAGTTGGCTCTAAACTGGATGAAGAATCAATTAACTTTGTTTTTCAAATACACATATGGAGGTTTACTTTAGTGTTATTTTGATAAAAGTTAGTAGGTAGTGTGTCGCGGTCTGTTAAGCTTTACTGCGGTAGACCATGGTCCAGACCATTTCAGACCACACACTAAAAGAGGAGACTGCAAACCAGACCAGACCATAGTTCTAGTCTCACGGTCCAGATCAAACCATACGATACGGTCTAGACCAGTAGACCGTGGTTCCCCATACGGTTTGGTCTAGATTCCCAGCCCTAGATGAAACCACATTTTGGTCTCAGTTTATGCATATGGGAATTCAATCGTTATTTTTAAAGATTGGGTACGCATTCAAGAAGCAACTACGGTAACCAGTTAGCTAGTTAGATAGTTCCATTTGTCGATAACAGTAGCGGACAGTAGCTTGACACTAATAGATTTATCGATAATTAATCGACTAACCGGTTACTGTTAATCTGATAACGAACCGATTACCGCGTCCCGTCCCATACTCTATCTATCGGTCTCGACTAAATCAATCGCTAGGCTGAAATACGTTCCCTGCTTTTAGCCATTATTCAAACTTAGGAAAGAAAGTAAATGTTGTATCTAACCGATTACTGCACCCCTACCCAGGGGCGGAGCCACATGTGGCCAAGGTGGGTCATTTGCACCACCTTGGCCCAAAAATTATGGAGTAATTATATTTATACAATTGTTGATTGAATACAAGATCTCTATATTATAGAAGATAGTTTTACAAAAACTAATGTTTTGTGATCTATATTCACACTTTTAGTTTATATATTCCGTAAGTGAGTTTAATATAAACAAAAACTCAAAACTTAAGGGTGTTTGTTGCTATCGGTTGTCATTCAAGAGTTGAAAGAGCATTTACTGAAATAAGCAAGTAAAGAAACACTTTTAAGTAAGCTAAGTTATGAAATCATGAACGATTTTTCTCTGTGGTATCTTAATGTCCCTCATAATTTGTATGATAAATGTATTTTAGAATTTTTTTTTTCATCCTGAAACATATATTAGATATATTTCTGACTACGCCACTGCACATACCCGTCCTGATTTAAATGCCTGGCTCCGAAGAAATTAAACCACACAATCCATCCAGGCTTGTCCGTAGTGGAGAATAGATCTCATGCATTTATCGTCGTCGGCAACAGAAGCACTTCGATCATTATTGATTCTTAGTTTTTGTTGCACCATCTCCATCTCCCCCCACCTAAAAAAAGAAAAAAGGGAAACGACTCGATCTGTAAATTTAATGGAAGCATGCAGAAATAAAGCAGAGGATACGGAAGGCGGCAGCAGCAGCAAGGAAATTCTCCAAACCCCCACCATTTTTTTTATATATACAAAAGGGGTCGGTTAGCATGCTAACCCCTCTTAGGGGTTGGAAAAATGACACCCGTAGTATATTAAATACAACTATAGAATTTAATACACACATTAAATACACATTAGGAATTAAATGTACCATATTAATTAGAAATTCTCTCACTATTAAATACACATTAGGAATTAAATACACACATTAAATACACATTAGGAATTCTCTCACTATATTGATTTTTCATTTTTCAGCAGTCTCCGACCACCAGACTTCCTCCGACCGCCACACTTCTCCGGTGAAAATCCCATCGGCAGACTCCCTCCGATCATCTCCAAAAAATATACCACTGCACTGATACGGTGTACCACTGTACTGGTAGATATACCACTGCACTGGTAGCGATATCAGTGCACTGGTAGCAATGTCATATCTGAGTATCAGTGCAGTGGTACAAATACCAGTAAAGTGGTAATTAATGTGGTGTATTTAATGCTTACTTTGTATTTAATAACAGAACATTTATTATGTTTACTTTCGTTAATACTTGTCATTAATTAATAAAAAATTGACCAATTAATAGGGGTGTAAAAAAACCAACCCCTTAAGGGATCCCATACAAAAACACTCACTAACTCGATCCTCATCACCAAAAACTATTCTCTTCTTCTCATCATGAATTACTCGGCCCTTCTATAAACAATTAATTAATCCTATAATCATCATCATCGATATTACTCTAATTGATTGATTAATTAATTATAATTAACCCGTGCCGACTCTCTGTGTGTGCGTGCGCTCGTGGTGGTGATAAATAGGGAAGAAAGGAAATTAAGGACGGAGAGATCAGATGAGGCGGGGAGAAAGCTTAGCTGACGCCAGGATTTCCGGCGGTATATACGCCCGTCCACGCTCCGGCAGCCGCGCCGCCGCCACCTCTTCGTCTCCATCCTCTTCCTCTGTTTTGGTGCAGAATAACAAGAGAAATAGCGGTAGTGAAATAATAATTGACACCACGGTGTCGATGGAGGCAGAGGCGGAGGCGTGGGCGGCGCTGGATCTCCAGCCGCAGCCGGCGCCGGAGGTACTAGTGGTGGCGGCGCCGCCGTCGTGGTGGTGGGAGGTGGAGGGCAGTACTCCGCTGCAGCTTACTTACGAGGAGGAATGGGCTCTGTTTGGAATGGGGCAGCAAAGCGGTGCTGATACGACGGCGTATGAGGAGGATGATTCCAGCTGCTGGCGGATTGATCCTATCTGGAACTTCAACCCTACTACTACGGAAGCTGCTGCTGCACCTGCTGCTGCTGCCGCCGCCGCCGCCGCCACCATCAACAGTAAAAATTAAGCCTTTCTCTCTCGCTGCCATGCAACTCCATAATGTAAGAATGAATGAGTTACGTGTATAACGTATGGTTTCTGAATCCCTCTCTCTGTGGGTCTGTCTGTGGCGGAACTTTCTAGCTTTTCTGTGAATGCTGAAAATAAAATCATGCAATTTTACTGTCCGGCCAGTTTCCTTTGTGTTGGACTAGCTACTCTGTTTTCCTTGCATATGTTTTCCCCCCTAGAAAACCAATTATGGGTACCTTGCTCCAATCCATTTTGGAGGGTGAATTGTAAATTTGGTCACTCATATTACCTATCTAGTACACGTTAGCCACTCGAATCACTTTCCTTTCAATTTGGCCATTGATATTACATATTTATGTCATCCTTGGTCACTCATTATCTAGTTCCGTTAATTCTGTCCTAGGTGGCGGTCAACAATTATGTTTGACCGTTAAAACAATTATGTGTCAATTAAAACTAATAAAAGTATTTATTTATCATTTCCATGTCATAAAATCTAACAAATATTTTATTTTCATAAAAACAATAACTAATATACATATTAATAAAGCGAGTGACCTCCAAAGAAAAGGCAACCCACCGACATGGCCTTCCCCTTTCCGTCGGCGCTCGCACTTCGCCGCCATCTCCTCTGTTTCTTCCTCTTCCTCTTCCTTCTTTCTGTTCCGGCCATGCGTTCCATCAACGGGGAAGCAGAGGCGACGATCTCTCGACCCTGCTTCCGACGGTTGCTACTTCTAGATCGTCGGGGAGCATCACGGTCTCTTGCCGCTCTCTCAGCAATCCGCCGCCGTGGCTGGCGCCGAATTACTTGAGGTCATGGCGGCTTCTCTCCTGTTGTTGAATCAATTGGAGTTGCAGGGTCAAAATTTTTTTGGGTCTCTATAGGGAAAAGGATTTCATTATAAAATGTGCTTACTGTCTACTTTGCTACTACCAGCCCCTCCCTTCCTCGATTTGGGAAGAAGGATGTATAGCGCTTGTCTTCACTCCTGAATCACAAATCGAGCAGCGGATCTTCTCTGGTTGCTCACCAGGGCGACGAGCGATGGCTGGAGATTGAAGGCGGCGGCGATTGCTTGCGACTGTCGACGAAGAGGAGATAGCGGTGGCAGTAAGGGAAGCGGCGGAGGAGGGAGCGCAGGGGAGGAGCTTGTCGGAGGCTAGGTTGCTAGGTCTGGGTTTGTTCGTTGGAGAAGAGAGAGCGCAGGGGAGGAGGAGAGTTGTGGGTTTCTTCTGCTTCGTTCGCTGCATTTCCGTCGGAGATTTTAGAGCGGCGGATTGCTGTGGGAAGAAGGGTTGGGGGTTTGTCGTGAGGGGAGAAGGAGAAGATAGAGGACTTTTCATGAAATTAATTTTTTATTTAAATATATTTTTATTAAATTTTAGTATGATGTGGAAATAAAAATAATTATTGTTTATGTTTTATTTATTTTTAACTGACACATCAGCTTTTTAACGGTCAAACATAAATGTTGACTGCCACCTAGGACAGAGTTAACGAAACTAGACGGTGAGTGACCAAGAATGACATAAATGTGTAGTATCAATGACCAAATTAAAGTGAAAGTGATTCGGGTGGCTAACGTGTAGCAAATAGGTAATATGAGTGACCAAACTTGCAATCCATTTTGCTTAATTAGCTCAAAGTGACAATTCCTATTTTTATGGAGATCGGGTTCAAGTTCAACAACAATAACTATTATTTTTTAAGCGAGTTAGTGTAAGTGTAAGTCTGATTTGTGCACTAAGAAAAAGTTAGGCCTCTGTCCTATAGGCACTATTTAGGTACCTTCTTTGTCTAATCCTTTCTTATTGAACTTGGAATGACTCAAGATAGGGTGAGTAACAACGAGTAACCAAATCTGGACCCTTCTTTTAAGTGGCTACAGATTTAAGGGTGGAGAATTAAAGGAGTTTATTTTCCCTAGTTTTCTTAATTGGATCATATCTTCTTCATTCTAACTCGGATTTCAATTTTTTTGCACAGATGGAACGAGTTCGTTGTGCTCTACAAAATTATATCCATTTTCAATATTTTTTGAGAATTTTTTTTTTCATCCCTCTCGTTACCAACTCCATACCATATAGTATCTCCTTCGTAGTATAGTCATTTTCGGAAATTTTTGCACAAAAGGAACGATTTAATCATGATCTATTGGATTTCAAAATTTTCTGGGGGAAAAAATTCCATACCTCTCGTTACCAACTCCATACCATACTATACCACCCTGGTATGAGGTGGTATTTTTCATACCATATGGTATGTTGTTATTTAATACTAGTCAATACCATATGGTATTGAATGGTAATAACTGGCAAATTTTTTTTGTTCCAAAAAATATCAAAGTGGATATCATTTTGAATCGTTACCAACTCCATACCATAATATACCACCCTGTTATAAGGTGGTATTTTTCAAACCATTTGGTATGCTGTTATTTAATACCAGTAAATACCATATGGTATTGACTATACCATAAAGTATTGACTGGTTATAACTGTCAAATTTTTTTTGTTCCAAAAAATATCAAAGTGGATATCATTTTGAAGAGCACAATTAATCTGATCTAACTGTGCAAAAAAAAATTAAATTCCGAGTTAAAACGAGTGAGAAATCGTCCGTTAAAGATTAAGGGAAATAAAATTAATGATTTTTCGAGGAGAGAGAAGGAGGCACTGATGTGACAGATTCTTATTGGGTTATGCATGAGTTACTCACCACAAGAATACTCACCGGATCTGCTCCCACTTGGAATGGAGTGAATACTATTGTTGTTTATTGAATAAGAAATTAATAATCCGAGGATATCGTCCCTGGTTTGAGGAATGTCACAACTGCATTAGGAGTAGGGGTGTTCAAACGATATGGTTACCGTGGTAATCATATTAACCAGTAGCATTCAGTTAATTTGGTTTGGTTAATTTGGACAATTGGTTTGATTTGGCTAAATAATTTAGCTTATTTGGTTTGGTTTCAACATTGTTAACCAATGAAACCAATTAACCAATTAATAATACACCTAATATAATCTCTCGTACAATTTCGCAATCCTTCCGAAATCTTAGAGGTGAGATACTGGAAAGAGGAAAGGCCATTCCAATGGATGGAAGGCATTATAGTACACCATCACCTTCGCTATTATTGAGACCATATTTACATCACGTTCCGTTGCTCGGGCTTCATGCATCAACGAGCAAAAGACCATATTACAACCCGCCCCGGATCTACCCAAGACCCACAAGTGTTTCACATATATCACCAAAAAAAAAAAAACCCAAGCCCAAACTCGGGTAGGAAGCTCCGGCCCGGACACAAAAGCCCGTTCAGCCGGCCGAACTCTTCACCCAAGCCCAACGCCTTTGTACATTGATAACTTACTAGTGTGGGTCCCGGCCAGTTGGCCGGAGAAAGATGAGGTATGAAATTTGATAATGTAATGGGGTGTATAGCTTATTGTGATATTTTTTTTTGGAAACACGTGAAAAGATAGTGAATTTTAGCAGAAAAGAGAGATGAATGATGCAACGAATAAAAAATCAGCCTTATGAACCAAAATCAAGTACATGTTACCTTGTGAAACAATATTATTTCTGGTAATATGATGAGGTGGAATAAGTTTTATAGAAACCAAATTCAAGAAAATCTAATAAAAAGACACATATCCCGCCGGTCTTCGGGAAATGAGCATCTCACAATCGTTGCTAGCTTTTACTCGGCCCGTTGGCCGATTAATTTTTCTTTATAAAACTTTCATCTTGTCGTGATTGTGCTTTCTGGTTTTTGTCAGGCCATGATAAAATCTAAAGAAATCAAGAGAGAACAACATGATTTGGGATATGAATCGTCGTTCCTGTATCCCTAGAAAATGGTGGTAAACACGGACTCACCTACCGAACTGGTTTGGATTGAGATTTTTATCGGGTATCAGGGAACCATGTGATTATAAATTAGGTTTCCAAAATGGTCCAAAACTTGAAATTCAGCCTGTTTGACCGACCCATGACAAACTCTAATTATTCTTTACTTTTAAACTTTCTATTTGAAAATAAAAAATAGTGAATGAAAAGAGATAATTGCAATTCGCAATTTTCACATCACTGATTCGAGTATATAACCATAGAAATTCGAAAGAAAACTGAAAATTTTTAGGACCTCTCATGTTTCGTCATGTTTTTCTCTCATGGTCTTCCTGATCTAAAGCATTCTTCAGTTTAAAGTTTAGACGTAGATTTAATATAGTTATGATTCACGTAAATTTTTATATAATTTAAAGAGAATAAAATATTATGGTAAGTTCGATTATAACCTCTTTAGCCTATTTAGAAAATTTTCATGAAAAAAAATAGACATATGTTGAAGTAAATAACATTTTATTAAAATTCAAACAACAGTTGTGCATTTTGATACCTTTCACCTTGGTTTATTGGTTTGAAATTTTAATTTGTTATATAATATTTTTATGGCGTAGAATAATTACATTTCTTGTGTTGGGTTTGGTTTTTACTTAAAAGTATCGCCAACCCGACTCAACCCAATTAGAAACGAATCGTAGGGTTTAAATTTTTTGAGTAGGTTTGGATTTAATATTCCAAAACCGTACTGCATGGGTCGGATGAATATGGCTCATAATTATCTAATTATTTAAAAATAATTTGACTCACCAAATCTGCCAAACCTCCCACCACCCGCTGTCACCCACCCAATCCACCCACAACAATACAAATGAGTGGGTGTGGATCGAATTTTCATCACCCATCATAACAATGGATGCGTGAATTTTGCCCTAAAATCTGTCCATCCCTATTAATCGGCCAACCCCAAACCAAAGATTTTGATTGATTGTTCTGCATGGCCGCCTCTTTTTTTATCGAGGAAACTGCAAAAGCCTTTCATTGAAAGGAAATCCGTCACCACATGCCTCAAAGGATACAGTATCCACTACCCTTGGAGAGGCACAATCATTCCATACAATTTAAGAGTCTACATGAACATTAAAATGAGCAAGAGAGTGTGCCACTGTGTTTGCTTGTCGGTGAACAAAGGTCCAACTTCATAAATCAGCTTGCAAGCCCATCTGTTAGATACTTAGATGTCTCTGCAAACATTGCAGGATTTTGTTCTGTAATCAGTATAGCAGTCCCCTGTAGCAAATCCACCATCCTCTTGCAGTTTGTCTCCACCATAAGAGGGTTCAGTCCCTTTTTCATCTTGTTCAAACCAAAGAGAATAGCTCTCCCCTCTCCTACTTTCGGCGTCCATTTAACCGTATCAATTTGGACTGCAGCCAATACAACCTCTCCCATCCAGTTCCTTATCACAAAGCCCAGGCCTTAACCACCTCTGATGTTTACCCCTGCATCAATGTTAAGTTTAAACACACCTATGGGAGGTCTCTTCCATTTGTTTTGCCTCATATCATCACTACTTCTTGGATTCTGATCCTTCCTCTGGACCTCCATGAACTCCTGAGTATACTTTTCAGCCTTAGGAAAAACGTCCCAATCCTGTAGAAACTTGTTCAACAGAAAAATAGTCCTTACTTTCCATCGAAATCTCGGCAGGACATTGAATTTCCCCATCTCTTGTTCTGGAATTTCATTCAAAATCATCATCAGCCAAGCCTCCGCATGGCCACATCTGATCTTGAACTTAGAGAAAAAATTGACATATTTCCCCTATAAGGTCATGATTGGAATCAGTCAGAAATTAGGAGTATAAAAACTAAGTGGGCAACCCTAAACCAAGACCATAGCAGGTTAACCAACCATCTTGTCAATTACAATCCCTCGCTAATCATAAGCACCCTCTGAACCCTCAATCGAAGATGAAAACCTGGGGAACTACAGCTTACTTGGAATCTCAGCTCTCGAAGCGACATCCGAAGTCATTGGTTCAGAGTGATGAACAACTCAAATGCTAATTGGGGCATTGAGACCAATTAACTGAACCCCTGAAAGAAGTGGAAATCCCCCGAGATTTGCCATCCACGACCCCAACCTGGGATGCGACCACAACAAAGGATTCCTCAATTTATTTTCTCTGTTTACCCTATGTGCATCAAAGCATTACTCATCAGAGCATTAACCAAGCCTTACAACCGACAGTTTAGCGCCGATTAATAGTGGAGGGTGAATGAAGCGGTTAAAACGATTGGCTAGAGAGCAAGACACATCCAGAGATGGGAGGAACATAATGATTCTGGTTGAGAGGAGCATATTCTTAATATTCATTCAGCAAAAGCCATCGAGAAACATACATATAGGTCCAAGCTATGCATAGAAAAAGAAATCAGGGCACCTTAACAATCTAAATACTTGCATTTGAAAGAGTAACTCCCAGTAAGAACTAAGAACAGAATACAATCAAAATAAAAACATATATATAATAAAGGAAGGCCGAATTATTTTAACCGTGAATACAGCAAGATGTTGATTTACCTCAATAACTTGGCTGGCACTAAAATCTCCAATTTTAACAACTCCTGTGCTGGTAACCCATACGTTATCGGCATGCACTATATTCTGTTGGAAGATCAAAGAAAAGAAATTAAACAATGTCAAGTAGCGTTCATACCAACATGCAAGATTAATGAACTATCGAGCTCTGGAGAATTAAGAAAGACTAAAGAGGATGCCCCAAGAACCAAAAATGGCATAGTTATACACAAAAACAATGTTTTTCTGCTCCTCATACATTGTTATACTGTTGTTGACTCTTTGATGGTGCTTAGTTAATTGGAATTTCTACGACTTTCTCTTTTGATGTATGAAAGGACGAGGACATTTTTTTACTCTTTTACTTACCTTTCTTTGATTGTGTACAACCTGATCCTGCCAATTGCCTTTTCACCTGAAGACACATAATTCCAACGTTAAGAATCATATCAGAATCCTTTGATATGATTATAGCTTGTTTCCATTCCTAATTGTTGTCTTTTACGCCATAATTGGAAATGAAACCCAGGGCCTTCTAGTAGCCTAAAATGACACTAAATCATGTGACTTAAAAAGTTGTAATCGTAGAATGAAATTAGTTTATGAGGTTCATAGATCATAGACACGAAACCAACATACATACCTTAGCAAAACCAATAACCTACTATTACGGGGTGATATACTTCAGGAGACGGGCCCTTGAGATGTACATATATGAAATCGATAAGCTGACCGACTTCATTTCTGCATAATTGTTAAGCTTTTGCCTTTTGGCTTTGACACCTGCTGATCTGCCAGATTACATAAATCAAAACACGATGAGCGATTCCGCGTATGTCAAAAAAATGGATGGATAGTTCATGGAATGCAGGCATGTAGTGGGAATTTACGTTTCACAGACTCATCATCTCATATATCGAAGTTGGCCTTATTATTAGATTAGAGGATAGATTACTCAATTAGCTAGGACCCTGGTTCGAAATTCGAATGAATGCCCACAAAAACAATGTTTTTCTGCTCCTCATACATTGTTATATTGTTGTTGACTCTTTGATGGTGCTTAGTTAATTGGAATTTCTACGACTTTCTCTTTTGATGTATGAAAGGATGAGGACATGTTTTTACCCTTTTACTTACCTTTCTTTGATGGCGTACAGCCTGATCCTGCCAATTGCCTTCTCACCTGCAGACACATAATTCCAACATTAAGAATCATATCATAATCCTTTGATATGATTATAGCTTGTTTCCATTCCTAACTGTTGTCTTTTACGCCATAATTGGAAATGAAACCCAGGGCCTTCTAGTAGCCTAAAATGACACTAAATCATGTGACTTAAAAAGTTGTAATCGTACAATGAAATTAGTTTATGAAGTTCATAGATCATAGACACGAAACCAACATACATACCTTAGCAAAACCAATAACCTGCTATTACGGGGTGATATACTTCACGAGACAGGCCCTTGAGATGTACATATATGAAATCGATAAGCTGACCGACTTCATTTCTGCATAATTGTTAAGCTTTTGCCTTTTAGTTTTGACACCTGCTGATCTGCCAGATTACATAAATCAAAACAAGATGAGCGATTCTGTGTATGTCAAAAACAAATGGAGGGATAGTTCATGGAATGCAGGCATGTAGTGGGAATTTACGTTTCACAGACTCATCATCTCATATCGAAGTTGGCCTTATTGTTAGATTAGATGATAGATTACTCAATTAGCTAGGAGCCTGGTTCGAAATTCGAATGAATGCCCACAAAATGCTAGAATAACTTAAATATGTGATAAGATGTTTAGCAACCTATGGTAATAAATTTGCAGCCTAAATTTGGGTTCCATACATAACAATAGACACCAAATTGATACAAATAGTATAGAAACGAAAGGATTACTCATGTAGAAGGATTTGGATATCATTTCGCGGGGTCTTGTTAGTGGAGGATTTGGCCAGTAGCACAACTGAAAGATGGCCTGTGATATCTGCAATACATACATATCAACAGCAAATCTTTAGAATATCGGAAGAAAAATTAGCACCTAAGCTAAAAGAAGCCTCGCCCGGTAAATAGTGAGTGTTTCCATGGAATTTGGGAATATCAGCTGCTTTCAGAAACCTCAACTTGAACGGCAGAGCATGTGGAATTGAGTCAATAGGTTGACCAGTGGTTTTATCGTCAAACTAAAGCATTCATGGGTTAGGAACGGGTCGGAAACCGGATTTTGTGGACGTGATAGCAAAACTCATATACTTACCAGTGCTTGCACCAAGGAACAGAAAGACATGTGTATCAGGCCGAATCTTTTGCTGAGGTGATGAATGAAGGAAGCGCCAAGAACATCACGGTGGAACTGGAATGACGAATCGTAATAATTAGAGGGGACTCTTCTGAAAGCGAAGTCTCAATTTACAATCAAACAACTTAACTCATCGGTTTTCCCCCAATTGGAGGTGGAAGAATTGCGTAGCAGGACGATGGTTTTGCAGAGGTGATGAATGGAGGCAGCGCTGAGAACGTGACGATGGGACTCGAACTGCCAATCATAGTAATCGGAAAATTTATTGAACCCATGCATCCCTGCTAATCACTGCGGCGGACATTAAACAACCAACGACGTCTCCTTCAACTGCTAATTTCCATAGTTGCAAGTTTCGAAATCAGGGCAGATAGCGGTGTCGGAGGGAATATGGTTTTAGAGGAGGGACGAGAGGCAATACGAAAGGGGGGGAAAGGGACTCACCGTCAACGTATAGGAATGGCGGCCTTCCCCCTTAGGTATGAAGATCAGACTACCAAATCCATGGCGCATCGCAGCAGGAGCAAATGCACATAAGAAATCACGACTCCCCTTGTTGTCTGGAGAGACTGAGCACATACACCAGCCAGCATGCACAGTGCAGGATGAGGAGAGAGCTTCGATTCGCTGGTTGGATGGAGAAGGGTTCAACGCAAACAATTGGTGCCGAGTTAATTTTTTCCGTTTCCGAAACTACCCCTCCGACAAACGCTCTGGAGGCAGGGATTTTGAAATGGGGCTCCTGTTTTTCCCTTCAGCCTATTATATTATGTATAGATTGCAAACCAAGGGAAAAACAAGCATCCGTCTTCTTCACTCTTGCTAAAAAAAAGGCCAGAGCAAAATGGGAAACAAAACAAAACAATGAATGAATGAACAATTCAACAAATTGGCGATCGAAGGCCTCCAGTAAAAAAATCAACCGCCGGATCCATCACCCAAAATTCCTTGTCAAATCTCCCCAAATCACGTTTTCTCCTGACAGTACTTGAGATCCAGCGAGATCTGGCGCTCGATCTGAAGCTGCCGCCGGAAATTCGCGATGAACATCTCCGCCCGATCGTCGATGTCATCCTCCACCATCGAGAATCGCCGGCTGATCGCTCTCCGAAGCTCCACTTTCTTCGGAGCAGCAGCGGACGCATCGGCCGCTGGCGGAGGAGGAGAGCACCAATAACCCGAATCGGAATCCGCCGCCGCCGCCTCGTCATAATCCTCGTACGCCGCCGTCAGCCCCGGCCGATCCCCGAAGCTAATCACCCGCGAAGGACCAATTGAAGAAGAAGAGCGCAGCAGAGACGACGCCAGACGCCAGACGTGGAAATCGAACTTTAGTATCACCCTCAGTTTGCTCACCGCTCGCTTCAACCTGCCGAACAAAACCCACCGCCGCTCTTCCCTGCCGCTCGACATTGCTAAGGATTTAGGATTAGGAAGTTGTGATTATGGCGGATTGGTGGCGATGATCGTATTTATAACAAAATTGGGGGATTGAGTATGCGTATCAAATAAGAGGACCGCGTGATGATAGGCTGCGGAATTTACCAACTGGCTTACGCCGAAAGTTTATTCCATTCAACGTTAAAACTTAAGCTGCCGCTGTTAAGGATTGCTACAAGAAAGAAACTGTGGGGAATTTTCGCGAGGAGAATTAGTAGAAGACGACGACGACGACACTGAGTCAAACTGCTGAAATTGTCTACGTATCAGAGATATATATTATTTTATACAATAATAAAACTATCAGGATATTGAGAAATGGCGGCTATTTTACACTCAGAACAGGGTCGGATCGGGAATATCGAGTGCTCCGAACCGAAATTGGTAGGCGGTTTAGCATTATGATATGAATGAAGTACGACGAAATCATTCTGTTGATGACTGGCTTTTCCGATATAATCTCTAGTAGGGATGGGTAACTATTCGGTACACACCGAATCGAATAGTACGGAATCGATATTTGGACCAAATCGGATCTGATTGAATGAAATATATTTCTATTAGATTTGATTCCTATAAATTATTTTAAGTATGAAGAAGAGACGAACCGAAATTGAATTTGGACCAAACCAAATGAACCAAACATGCTTTTGATCAGGTTCTGGTCCTCGATTTTATTTTATTTATAGTCTAGTCCTAAGTCAAGTCAATCCAGTTTAGGTCCGAATCCCTAATTTTGAGTATGATTTCACAATTTTGTAAATTGTAGAAGTAGGAGGAGCCAGGAGGCCTCGTGCTTAATCCTCAATTAAGCACCAGTAATTGAGGGTGAACATTAATATACAATATTGGCTCGCCAAATATTTTATCTAAAACTTGCTCCCAAAGCATGTTTTGGACATTCCCATCAGAGTTGTCAACATTTATTAATATATATGCCACAGGATTATTCCCTTGCTTTTGCCTAATCTTTGCCGTCACTTGTGGACTAGAGAACATGCCGTGGAAAAGCTATCTACATTCTACCAGCTGACTGTGCATCTGCATATAGCTGGAATTTTTTTTTTTTTTTGACGAGGAGTAGAGTTTCATTAATGAAAATAAAACCATACACAGTGTACAGAGATGAGTTGCAACACTCAAAAGGAAGGAAAATCCAAGAGAAAGGCAAACAACAGGTGCAAAAAGAGAGAGCCCAGCAGAAAAAGCCCAATCAACAATCTGGAAGGGAACCCAAAGCCTACACCCGAAGAAAACCTAGCCCCAAAGCCTACACCCGAAGAAAACCTAGCCCAAAGAAACATCAATCAGCCAGAAGGCCGCCGCAAACATCCCCACCCAGCAACCCTTCTTAAGCACCCTTCATGCCGTCGGAGACTTCATACGCCGGAAGGAGAGAAAAACTGGCACAACCACCAGATCATCAGCACCTGCAAGGCTGGATGAAGAACAGCAAACGAAGTGGGAGAGCCTCTCCGACAAAGGACCGCAATAGAGAATGCGTGCAAGGGAGAATCGACGCCAGAATCACTCCCAGATCCACCAACAACACCACCGTCGAAACCCAAAAGACCAGAAAGAAGGCACGAGGAAGAACAACCACGAAGCCCAAACCCCCACAAATGGAAACAAGAGCGACCCCAAACGCGAGCAGAAAGGTGAACAAAGGCCATCGCATAAAGCCCCCACCAAACCGAGCAAGCGACGAAAGACACTTCGGCAAGAAAGAGATCCCTGCTCTCCACCCCATGAATCAGTATCCTTGGCTATTCAAGCCGTGACATCTCCGAATCACCCCCATTTATGGGTGAAACGTGTGGAGGTAGATAGCAGAAACACGAAAGAAGAGAACAAACCGCCGACGGCGGCTCCCTCTGACACTCACAAGCAAGAACCGAACAGCTAGAGAGACCGACTTCAAGATCTGAAAACAAATCTGAAGTGTGGAAGAAGAAACAATCTCCAAGGAGAAGTTCTTGGCAAAATCCACGAAGGGAAAGTAGCAATAGAGAACTGGAAACCCATAGTAGGATGGCAAAGACTAGAAAAGCGAGAAAAATGGGGGTTGGGTCGCCGCCGGTCACCAAAAGTGTGAAAACCGGCGGCACCCCCAGAGGCGCATGTGGAAGAAAAGGCTAGAGAGAGGACAGAGCTTTTGAAAAGAGGAAAGGTAGAGAGAAGCTATTACCCTTTGCTTCAGCTGGAATTTGATACAGCAATTTCTTCTGCAATATGGATTACATTATTGTTGACAATTGACTTTTACATAATTCTAGCTACATGGCTTGCATCTAGGATCACTTCAAGTTACCAAATCCATTAACCTACTTAATAACGATAAACTACATTCATACGGTTACGGAAATGTTCACGTATACTATATTTTTTGCAACACACAAAATTAAAAATCATGTAAGCACAATCAATTATCACAGCCGACATAATATATCGTCTGTAGTTAAAGAATTTTATTCCCTTATAGTACTCAAGATTATGGAATAATTCCAAACCAAGATAGGAATGAAGTATCTTATCAAGGGTAGCAGTACCTCAAACTCCGAAAAACAACCAACAAAGTGAATCTACGAGTACCACAGGGACTCAAATTTTCTTTTGCCAAGAATGCATAAAAAATCAATTTTTAGGTTTTGCCAGATTTTCGGTAAGAACCACAATTACTTGGATTTTTTTGAAATGCATGGCGATGGTCGAAGCCAGAGATGGAAGAAGAGGGTATCGTTGGAGGCGATCCTTGAGATATAGATGGAGAGAGAGAGAGAGTATTGCTGCGGTTAGTCGGTTACAAAACTCTCTAAATCTAACTTTGATTTTTCTTTTTGGAGAAGGAGGTGGAATAAGAGATTTTTGGAGATAAAGGTTCGAGGAATAAGATTAGTCGCTCTTAATGGAGAAAATATTTTTTTTTGCCAATCGATTAGGCTTAAAAAGAGGACATATAAAGGTTGAGAAATGAGCATTCTATCTTCAAATTAATTTAGCTGGTAAATGAAAGCATGACATCACATAAATCGAAAGTGTTGCTGCTACCGACTCCAGTAAAACTTCATTACCCGTTGCAGATAATACACGTTGTTTCCAAATATGGAGAACTGACAATAACTTATCTTCCATAAAACGAAAAATCTCAACTTTTGATGGACCCATCAGAGAAGGTAGTTCCAAATAATGATCTTGAACACCAAAGGGGCCAACTCCCAGAAAAGAACTAAGTTCCTCTTGATCAGGTTGCCTCAAATTTGGACTAAAAAATCCTGCCAATTTCTGTAAGTTGACAATGTAGAAGATAATAATACAAAGAAAGAGGTGAATTTGGATTTTTACTGGGTGGGTTTACGAGCACAAAGCCCAGCCGCAGCGAAGCCGGCCCATGTCAGGCAACCCAATGGCCACAGCTGATCGCAGAGGTATTTGGAGGCTGGAATGGTTTCTAATCTACACAATAAATAAAAACCAAATGAGAAAACTTGAAGCCTCATTTCAAATTTCTTGCATCGAGAGTGAAAGTAGGAATGACATTTTGGTCTTCACAATTACTTTTTTTATTCATTAAAAAGACACTTACTAGGATTCGAACCATGACCACTTTAAAAAAAAGCAAAGATCATAACCAATCACACTAAGTACATTTGTTGTATCTTTTTAAATTAAAAACATATAATCGCAGAGAGGAAAAAACCCTTCCCCCATTTCAAAATCTCTGCTCCAGGAGCGTTTGTAGAAAGGGTAAAATAGGGAGTGTCAATTTTTTTCTTTTTCCTCTGTGGAATGGACCAACTTACCGTACACATGCGGATTTAAACGGGTCCACGATTGTAAATTTTTTTCTTTAAGTCCTTTTATTTCTCCGTGGTGGTAAAATATATATGAAAAGGCAAAAACAATACTCCTTTTTATTGCTAAAAAGAAAAAAAAATTTAACAATAAACTAATACATGGATTCTAATGGGTAACCGCTAATCATAAAATAAAAGAGTTGAATGGGCCTGACCTACACGGGATTTGCCCATCAAGTAAAACAAATGAACATCATGGGTTTGTCATTCTAAAACAAGCTATTTTCTCTAGCATAATATATATTATGCTATTATTTTATATCTTAGTGGCTAAAATATAATGTATTTTAAAGTTATTCAATGTTCAACCTCGACCAACCCAATTAGTCCAATTTTTATTATTTCAAATATATATTATGTAATTATTTGATATCTTAATGATTAAATTATAGTGTATATTATTGGGAATCGTTTGGTATTTGTTAGTAAAAAAAACTAAACAGAAAGATCTAATTGGTTATTTTTAACATTAAAACGATCTTAAACATTTTCAGTTTTCTTTCGAAATTATATAGTTTTATTCCCGAATCAGTGATGTGCAAATGGCGAATTGCAGTCATCTCTTTTCTTTCATTATTTTTAATTTTCAAATAGAAAGTTTAAAAGTAAATAATAATTAGAGTTTGACATGGGTCGGTCAAACAGGCTGAATTTCAAGTTTTGGCCCGTTTTGATCAAGTCTAATTTATAATCACATGGTTCTCTGATACCCGATAAAAATCTCAATCCAAACCAGTTTGGTAGGTGAGTCCGTGTTTATCACCATTTTCTAGGGATACAGGAACGGTGGTTCCTATCCCAAATCGTCTTGTTCATTCTTGATTTCTTTAGATTTTATCATGGCTTGGCAAAAAATAAGAAAGCACAATGATGACAAGATGAAAGTTTTTATAAAACAAATAAATCGACCAACGGGCCGAGTAAAAGCTAGCAAAGATTGTGAGATGCTCATTTCCCGAAAACCGGCGGGATAGGCGATATTTTATTCGATTTTCTGGAATTCGGTTTATATAAAACTTACTCCACCTCATCATATTACCAGAAACAATATTGTTTCACAAAGTAACAGGTACTGCATTTTAGTTCATAAGGTTGATTTTTGATTCGTTGTATCATTCATCTCTTTCCTACTAAAATTCACTATTTTTATCACGTGTTTTAAAAAAAATATATATACAACAATAAGCTACATTATCAAATTCATACCTCACCTTCTTCCGGCCAAATGGCCGGGGCCCACGCTAGTTAGTAAGAAAATTGGGAAGTTGTTAGATTGGACAACATCTAATTTCTAGAATATGACTTTACAATTTGTTGATATTATTTGAATCGGATTATTTGATTACGACGAGAAGTCATAGGGGGTTTTGCTGAATGTTTTGAGTGGGTAATCTGTCCTAAGGGGGCATTGAAGAGGATTCAAGTCAATGTGGAGATTTGTTGATATGACTTGAATCGGACTATTTGACCAGGACATGAAGCCACAGGGGTTTGTGTGTAGGGCCTGGTTTGTAACCTTATTTCTTTTACCATATTGAATTAGGATTAGACCACATGGAGAAGTACTATAAATACTTCTCATACTCTTTTATAATCTATATCTCCTCAAAGTATTGTGAAACTGACTCTCTCATTCCCGTGGATGACTAATTAACACACATTATGTTAGTTAACCACGTAAAATCCGAGTGTGGTGTTTCGTTTGTTGCTTTCGTTTTTCTTGCTTTGTCGATCCTCCGATTTTCCGATTCGTAGAAATAGTCAGTGTCACGATTCATTCATTGGACAGTCCTGCCTTCACCTATATCCATACATCTATCACACGCCTTCGACAAGTAACCAATCACCTCCTCATGTCAACAACAAACCTTTGATTGTCAGTTAAGACTTGTGATTTTGTTCTCTTATGTGGAAAGATTGGCTGATTAATAAGAGTCTGGGAGGATAATTTTCTTAGCCACTATTTGAAAAATAAAGATTAGGGAAATCGTGTCCTTAAGTGTTAATTAATAACGTATATAATGAGCTTTTCATTTCCTGTTTTACAAATCAAACGCAACTTGTACACAAATTTGTTGGGATATTGTACCGGAAAATGATTGGCATGGTGGGTTCATGGCTTTATGTCTTTTACCTCCTCAACGGGAAAGCAACAACACTAAGACAGCCATACGAATTTGTGGTGAAGCCAACCGAAATACTTATTTAAGCGATTGTAGAAAGTAACTCATGTGTGTATAATGAGTAAATTATTGGTGATGTACTGTTGAATTCAATGTATTGTAAAATAAAATACAATGTTTGATGTGTGTGACCGTGTATATTACATTAGTTAAAAATTGAGATAGAACAATTTCATATATACAATCACAACTTCTGGACGACTCCTACATATTTGGTCACTCGAATGATTTGTCAGGTGTGGGATTCACGAAAATTTTCTTATTTGTTAGTCATTCAATTCAAAACTCGTTTAAGCATTGGTCATTATCCGTTCAATATTGTTAAATTTATTCTACATAACGGTCAATTCTATTGTTTGACCATTAAATAAGTAGTAAGGTGAAAATTAAAGTATAAAAATAAAATTTAATTATTTTTAATTATCCACCTCACAATCATAATTATTAAAAAAATTAAAGGAGGGTCCTTTTTTAATTTCAACCAAGGTTGTCAATCTGATTTAGCCCATTTGGGCCGGTCGAGTAAGTGGGTTGAAGGTTAATGGATCGACTGCTTTAACTCGATTTAGCCCGGATAAATGGGAAAACTCATTATATTGTCCATATATATATAAATTGTATAAAATATCATCTAACATATGAGTAATAACATATAACATTACACTAAAATAACATGTCGTACTTGGATCCAACATCTAGTGAAAATTCACACACACTTATATAACACATCAATGTTCAATTGTTCAACTTAGAATTCCAAAGATCGGGTTAGGCGAAAGAAAAAATTGGAAATAGGCGCATTTCACCAACCAAAGAAAAAACGACGTCGTTTGACCTCCAATATGATACCTTGCAGTGGGTCGACCCGACAGGTGTGTACGACTCGTTTATCTCACCGGGTCAGGGTCAAAGCGGACCAACTGAAGAGTTGACCCACGGGTTGACAACCTTGATTTCCACCCACCACCATGGATACTCATTCGTTGTTTTCCAGCTATTGGCAGTGTTATTTTTCCTATTACTAATAATTTGAAATCATAATAATCTGTAATCATATACCATTTCTACCGATGAAGTGAAAATACAACAAATCCGAAACAAACATATTGAATACGTTTGATGACAGGTAGTTTCAATCTTGTAATAATAATTGATAAAATATTTTGCAATTAATATTAGGGGTGGAAAACGGTCTAGAACGGACTGGACCAGATCATATATACGGTCCATAATCCAGACCGAAAGATTAGGGCCCAGACTATGGACTAGACAATGTATAGTATGGTCCAAACTAGACCACGCCATTACGGTTGCGGTCTGGCACGGTCCAGACCACATACTATATTAAAAAAAAAATCACCAACATATTAAGTAGGAACACTCCACAATTCGTCATTTTCAATATAACTGCCACAATAACCCACCATATGGCAACATTTTTACATATAATGAGATGAAATTACTATGCTTGATAACCGCATTAATCACCCTAAAATTAGATTGAATTACTAGTTGGTTGCTGAGCATGGTCCAAATGCGTTTATAGACGAAGTAGTGATATAGTTTCGCCAGTCAAAATTATAAGATTCCTTTATGGTATGATGTTGCCATTCATTATGATAGTTTTGTTGATGACTACTATAATCTAGCTACTAACTAATCAACCTATTTTTACATGTAAGGTATAAATCGTATATAGCACATCACCAATGGACTTGTGCAACATCCTCCAAAACAATAACAAAGAACGAACCATGTCAAATGTGCGACAGTTAGAGAGATCGTAGACACAATACATAACATAACTAAAACTTGGAAATGCTATTTGTGTTTGAATTTTCCTAGCTCTAACGTCTGCTCTGCTGTTAACACACACAATGCATGGATTATCTTTGTGTATTGTGAATTGGATATCCTTCCACTCGGAAACATTAAATGTTCTCTCTCTTTGTAAAGATTATTATTGTTATTTGTTGGATGTCTTTTGGTGCAACCGTGGACTAGGATAAGAGCAAAAGAAATAGGTACTCTCAATCGCCGAGATGCCGAGTTGGAGGTGTGGGGATGGTGAATTGCGAGGCCGGGTGGGGAGTTCCGGGCTGTGACCTTTTATTAGTGTACGTATTTAGGTTGGGCATTGGATAATAGTAACGGTGATCTAGACGGTTAACCACGGTCTAGACCAGACCAAACCGTCCCAAACCGCTAGTTAAAAAGGCAGACCATGGACCAGACCGAGTTGCATAATGGTCTTATGATCCGGACTAAATCATACGGTACGGTCCAAATTGCGATTTTGTCATACAGTTTGATCTAGATTTCCCACCACCCTGATGAAAATTTTGAAATGATGAAATATATTGTGAGAAAGGGTTCCCTCTTCTCTGTAATGCGATGATTTTGCATTTAAAATAGAATTCTTTATCTAAAAAAGGGCTGGGTTTCAAAAGAAAGAAACGACAGGTTTGACTGTGACTGATTTCACAGCGAAAATGGTTGGCGGAAGCCGCCGGAAAGAGATAGAGGTGGTGGTGGCCGGCCGGTGGGACTGCAGTGGATCAAGTGGAGAAGAAGAAGGGGCCAAAAATAGAGAAAGGAAAAACCCCCTTTATCATTAACTCTTATCTCCTTTTTCATGGCAATGTCCACAAATGTAGCTGTCCATCTTCTGAAAACACATTTGTCCCTATCTCCATTCAGTTAATGGCTTCTGTCAAATATGGGGAGCCTGCCTTCATAGTTCATAGACATACGATATCGTAGCTTCCCGTCGCTGGATGCGAATATTTCTGTGTTTGTTTGTATCCTATGGCAGAGCCAAAGGAATTGTGAGTGGACACATCTAAAATTTGGAAATACCTATCAAATTTAATTCGATATTTCGATCCACTTCAGCAATCCGTGGGTTTATAAAAAATTTTAGTACCATCAATCGCTCTTATAAAAAAAGAATATAGACAATAAAAAAATCCTAAGATATAAAAACACATTAATGTTGTTTATACAAAAAAAAATTATTAATCAATTAATTCTTCTTTTATGAATGAACTACTTGAATATTAATCTTAAAAATATTTATTCATATATTTATATAATATAAATGGACATGCCTGTTTCTATTTTCTAGCTCCGCCAATAGACCATATGTTCATGCATTTCTATAATATTATTATATACAAATATCTTTCATCTATGCATGTATTTTCTGAGTATAAAATAGATGCAAATATATAGGATGGAGAACACACTTCTGGTTTAGTAATATTGAAACAATATCTTAACTTTAAGATGTCGAGTCGTGTTAATTTTCTCTTTTCAGTGAATTAAGTAGTGTCTAATTCGAATATTAATAACCTCCTCCTTATCCATCAAGAAAAATTATACCTATTTCAAATACCATGAACATCATCTGCCTCTCCATCAGTATGTGGTTCACTCAATATAAAGAATGAGTAGTATACCGACACAAGTTATTGCAATATTGAGATTCAGGTGCAGCAATCTATATGCTCTATGATGTAAAGGAATTTATGCATGTCAAAAGTATGTGCGTGCTACATTTTGTCAGTGAATTATGTGACCTATTTAGGGATTGTAAAATCATACAAGAGTTGCATTGGATAAGTCAGTGGCACAATATTTTGTGCTTAAATTGAGATTCAACTTTTTTATATCTATAAAATTGTGATTGACGCTTTTTTCGATCAACCCATCTATATTTTTATGGTATAATTTTTCAAACACTGTGTACCATCATGTACTATTCATCTTAGTTACTCGGTTTCTTAATGGATGTCATTGTATTTATACTATAAGCCAACTGAGGAACTCTCCAGTTAGAGTAAGAGTAGGAGTAACACAAGAGCCACTCGTTTCCTCTGGCTGAAATACCAAACGGTGACTGCAATTGCATCTATCTATCTATCTATCTTTACCCAAACTAAAGGGCAGACAGAATTTCCACCACATGCATTTCAAAGCACTCCAGCCAATTATATGAAAGAAGGAAGCCCAAGGGGACTCAATAATTGAACAAGCAATACACACACTATTAATTATATGCATAAACAACAAATATTATTATTTCAAACAAATCTCAACCGTTCGACCCAACATTCGAATCTAAACCAGAGGAAAACATTGAGAATTTCGAAAAAGAAATTTAACACATACTTCCTCAAAGGAAAGCCAAAAGTGAATAACGCGAAAATGCAGAGAAGGGTTGGAATCAGTTGTAGCCTTCGGGCTTGTAGGCGATGAAGGAGATGCACTGCACCTGACGCTTGTTGTCGAACCCGATGATGCGGACGAAGGCCTGTGGGTACTCCTTGACGCACTCCTGGAGCTCCTTCAGCACCTGGGACGAGTCGGTGCACCCGAACATGGGCAGCTTCCACATGACCCAGTACCTTCCGTCATAGTAACCCGGGGACCTGTTGTTCTCACGGTACACGAAACCGTGCTGCACATATCAACACCCAAGTTTCAGTACGCACATTATAACATAATACTGCTCGTATTTGAAAGACCGGAGAACTAACCTCCAACTCGAACTCGAGGCAAGGAACCCATCCGGAGCGGAGCAGGTAGTCGACCTCCTTGCCCAATTGCTCCTCCGTCAATGGGGGAAGGTAGGAGAGGGTCTCGTACTTCTTCAAACCCAATGGTGGCCACACCTACACCAATTTTTACCGACCCAACCATATCTGATTAACGAATCTATGTTCAATGAAACAAAGAGAGAGGAGGAATTAAGATCGAAATTAAGTGAAAGTTGAGCCGAACCTTCATGCACTGGACTCTGCCACCGTTGCTTGTGATGGAAGTAATGTCGTTGACGGACTTCCTGGTGGCGGGGAAGGCGGCGGCGGACTTGAGGCCGGTGAAAGGGGCGACCATGCTGGCCTGAGCACCGGTGCGGCTCACGGTGGCCACGGCGGAGGACGAAATCATGGACGCCATTTTTTTATGGAAAAAGAAAAAACTTTGCCTTACTGGGTGTTCAGTAAAGCAGCTCTTTGCTTAATGTTGTTTATCTGCGTCACACCACCAATCGGAGTACACTTTTTATAGTGGTGTGCCCCAATTCCCGTTTGCTACCATCCGTTGGTTGTTGATTTGCTGGATGAGGGTAAGGGATTGGATCTGACCTCAGGTTTGGATTAGGTTGATGAGCTCGTAACCATTTGTGGAATTTGAATTTTTTTGTTTTGTTTTTGTTTGCGCCTTTGCGGCAAGTGCAGGTCGGAACCCGACGAAAAGCTTGTGATCATGAATCATCCCAATATATTTTTTTTACAACGAAGCAGGTAGGGGTGGGCAATCGATTCGGTAAACTTGAACCAAATCGAACCAGAATCGAATTAAACCGAATCGAAACCGAATTAATGTTATTCGGTTCGGAAGGAAAATATGGATAGTTCGAAAATCAGGGTTCTTTCAACCGAACCGAATTTCTAAATTTCCGACCGAAAAACCAAATACTATAATTGCAAGCTCCAAATGGTGGATTTTTATGTTTGTAGTTTTTTTTAGACTTAAATATTTGAAATGTTTTATGACTTATGCGTTGAAAAGTTTGATTTTATCATTGATAATGCATATAATTGCATATTTATTGTTTATATTAGGGGTAAAAAATAATTTAAAAGTGAGAAGTACAAATAACTTAACAAATTCTGTTTTGTGTGAAAAACCGAACCGAATTATAATTCGTTTTAAACCGACCAAACCAAATTATAATTCGATTCGAATTCGATTTTAGGTTTGGGAGAATTCGGGGACCCGATATTCATAATTTCGGTTCGGTCAAAAACGAACCGACCAAATGCCCACCCCTAGAAGCATGGTATATTGCACTTCAATGGTGAGAACAAAGTTTAAGAGTCTAAAAATCCATTGAGAGATACCATATGTGAGATAGTAAAAATGAAAGTCCAACCCACACGGTCCAACAAACCCGAGCTGCCAAAAGAATTCCAACCACGCCAATTCTTTCTTTGCTGGGAAGTAGCCAAACAGACCTCTATTGAAACACACACTCAACTTTGTACCGCTTAAACAAACCCTAATCCATCCTACAAATTGAGAAGGGAACCCCATAGCTTTTAGGACTGTCTCTAAAAAGTGTCAATCAACTCAACACTGTTGAAAGATTTCATTACATATACTTTAAGGGCACAACGAGGAGATATATTCTTCCTATTGCATATCTTCACCATTTCATGAGTCAGAGTATATTTTCACTTATCACCTCCCCTTGATAAAAGCATACTGGTTCCTGCGCTTAGCTCAACTCTATCAGTAATGGATTAGGTAGAGAAGATACTTGTGAACGATTCCGCTCTCCTTGAAAAAAGTTGTTGCTATCAATGAGTCAATGCCCGGACCTGAGATCAAGATAGTTATTGAATATGTTAATTTGATGCATACTGGGGTCCTTCAACCTGAGCTTGGCGACGAACTCCCCTCTCTCTCTACCTTTCCCTTCTCCCACTTCTCACTAGCGGTAAATTACAGATTTGAAAGGGGCTGCCGCCGGCTTCCTTTTTGGGACCTGCGGTAGCCCTGCATCCTCCCTCTTGATGCTTTCCTTTGTTTTCTGCTTTGCCTTTTTTTCCAGTTCCTTTTCTTTTCTGTTTCTTGCATCTGGTTGGGATTCCTCTGCTTCTACTTTTCGTTTGCTTTCTTCTCCATCCTTGTGATGATGTTGCTCATGCCTCCTCGAGGAGATGTTTTGCTGCCCACCAGATTCTAGATCTGTGTGGATGATTCTCTGGTTGGTGTTTGAGGGGGCCGATCCACGTCGGTCCGCTTGCTCCTCTCTGGTCCTCCATCCTCCTCCACTTGCTTCATCCATAAATGGGGATGTTTCGGAGAAGAAGGGACCTCTGTTGTATTGGCTGAAGAATCAGGGAGCTTGTGAGTAAGGATGTCACTTTGGAAGACGAGATCCAGTTGTTTGCTCATATTGTGGTGATTTTTTCACCATTCCTCTGTCCTTGGCTCGAGATTGGCTCTCGGGTTTTACTTGTTTGTGCAGGTGGAGTTCGAAGTCGTCTTGGGGAATGGTTCGCCTCGTCGTTGGTTCTCCTTTCTTTCCTCTTGCCGGTGCTTCGTCGGGCTGGTGGTGTTGCCGGTGCCTGGAGCTGTTCTTGGCTTCTTCACCATCGTTCCCCAGCGTTTGTCTTTGTGAAGGCAGAAGAGTGAAGGAGGCTGTGTTCGGCGGTGGAGGATGCAATCAGCGGTCGTCCTCATGGTGATTGGGCCAACGAAGTAGGGTTGCTAGGGGTGGGTTGTCCTTGTGGGTTTTGGACCAGGGTTCTTTGGGCCTTGTTGGGCCACCGTTAGTTTCAATCTTATTTTGTTTGGTCTTTTTCCTTCCTTTCAATGTTGTCAAAACTCTGTACACCGTGTTTCGTATTAATGAAACGGCCACCCACATTAAAAAAAAAAAACCTGAGCTTGTGACAGCGGGTTCTACTAAACCTGGGGGCCACATGCATTCACTTTGACGCCAATGGGGCTTTGCCCCGAGTAGCCTTATACCTCCGGGAACACCAACGGGCCTCGCTTGGATTCGAACCTGGGATCTGCACCTCCCAAGCCTTCACTGTCGCGACAGCTTACCGTTAGGCTATCTTACCTTTGGTCCTTGAAGTTTCTAACAATGCATAATTGTCTTGGTTTTGTTTGGAGATAATAAAAAATCAAGTTAATAATATAACAAATCTTATGAATAAATACCTCTCAAACCAGGGTTGTATCGAATAAGTCAGTATAGTAACTAATAATGTATTTTATGTTTAAATCGTGGTTCAATTTTTCATACCAACAAAATCGTATATCGACTTAGGCATCAGTACGGTGAGATTTTTCAAATCATACCATCAGTACGGTGTGATTTTTCAAGCACGGGTCCATCATGTGCCAAATGTACTATTCATCTTAGTTACTACTGTTTCTTATCGGATGTCGTCATTGTATTTCTACGATTAGCCAACTGAGAAAGTCTCCCGTTAGAGAGGAGGACTAGGAGTAACACAATAGCCACTCGTTTCGTCTGGCTGAAATACCTAGCTGTGACTACTGCATCTATCTTTATCTAAAGGGCAGACAGAATTTCCACCACATGCATTTCAAAGTAGCCCAGCCAATTATATGAAAGAAGAAGGAAGCCTAAGGTGATTCAATAATTGAACAAGCAATACACAGACCATTGTCAATACACATTATTATTTCAACCAACAACAGGAAAACACACTGAGAATTTTGGAAAAGAAATTTAACATACACACACTTCCCTCAAGGGGAAACAATCAGGAAAGCCAAAAGTGAAAGAACGCGAAAATGCAGAGAAGGGTTCGAATCAGTTGTAGCCTTCGGGCTTGTAGGCGATGAAGGAGATGCACTGCACCTGACGCTTGTTGTCGAACCCGATGATGCGGACGAAGGCCTGGGGGTACTCCTTGACGCACTCCTGGAGCTCCTTCAGCACCTGGGACGAGTCGGTGCACCCGAACATGGGCAGCTTCCACATCACCCAGTACCTTCCGTCATAGTACCCTGGGGATCTGTTGTTCTCACGGTACACGAAACCGTGCTGCACATATCGACACGCAACAATGATTTCAGTACTCGTACTATAACATAATACTACTTAATAAGATAAGAGACTGAAGAACGAACCTCCAACTCGAACTCGAGGCAAGGAACCCATCCGGAGCGGAGGAGGTAGTCGACCTCCTTGCCCAACTGCTCCTCCGTCAATGGGGGAAGGTAGGAGAGGGTCTCGTACTTCTTCAAACCCAGTGGTGGCCACACCTACACCAATTTTTACCCACCCACCATATCTGATTAACGAATTTATGTTCAATGAAACAAAGAGAGAGGAGGAATTAAGATCGAAATTAAGTGAAAGTTGAGCCGAACCTTCATGCACTGGACTCTGCCACCGTTGCTTGTGATGGAAGTAATGTCGTTGACGGACTTCCTGGTGGCGGGGAAGGCGGCGGCGGACTTGAGTCCGGTGAAAGGGGCGACCATGCTGGCCTGAGCGCCAGTGCGGCTCACGGTGGCCACGGCGGAGGACGAAATCATGGACGCCATTTTTTATGGAAAAAAAAAAAAACTTTGCCTTACTGGGTGTTCAGTAAAGCAGCTCTTTGCTTAATGTTGTTTATCTGCGTTACACCAACAATCGGGGTAACATTTTTATAGTGGTGTTCCCCAATTCCCGTTTGCTGCCGTCCGTTGGTTGTTGATTTGCTGGATGAGGGTAAGGGATTGGATCTGACCTCAGATTTGGATTAGGTTGATGACAAGCTTGAGGCAAGTGTATGCTGGATGTTCAGTAATTAGAATTTTTGTTTTTTGTTTTGTGGCAAGTGCAGGTCGGAACCCAAAGACGCTCGAGGGTCATCACAACTTTTTTTTATTTTACTAGATTTGATTCCGGCCCGTTGGCCGGATACATTTAATTAAATATATAAATCAATAATAATAAATTTTCTGATTTGCTATCATAAATAAATCCAAATATTAAATTATTAAAGATATAAAATAAAAACACGAATCATAAATTTGAAAATTTTCCCACATCCTAACCGACTTATCAAATAATATCAACGCCAACACATCAACTAATATCAACTCTTAAAAAATGTGTTCAAATCACGCTTCAATTAGAATTACTTTAAATTTTCTTTTTGATTTCGTGATTGCTTCATTATTAGCATCATCATCCCCACCGACAACAACACCTTCATCTTCATTAATAACACCTCTATTTTTACTATCAATTTTATATTATTAGTCTCCTGCATTTAAATGGTCTCTTCCTTCTCCTAAATTTAATGGTAAAGTTTTTAGAAATATGAAACATATTTTTATGCAAGTAGATATTACCTCTTTCAAATAATGAATATTGTCTCATATTTGCACTTCTTACTAATTTTTAGTACTTCTATCTCTGCAATTACTTGTCTCTACTTTTTTCTCAACAATGTCATTATCTCCATCAATGAATGCACTACCTCCACCATTAGAAGACTCTTTTTTCTTCTTGTATGTTTCATTTAAAATAAGAAGTTAATAGTAAAATATTTACACATGTGAAATGCCAGTGTTACAAATATCAAATAGTCGATCTTGTGGTTGTTTGGTCAACCAATTTGGTGTGAAGGTTGATCGTCGCCTTTTTTTGTCCATCAATAAAAGAGATATATTTAACAGACTCCATATAAGTTTTAATTAGAGTTCAAATTGACTGAACTTGCCTCAAATTCCATTTGATTAATTAGCATACTATCTTTCTAGTAAGTATTTTAAAACAAAATGGTAGAATCGTAAATTAAAAGGAGTAAAATATTGCCTTATATATTGACCAACTTGTAGTTTGGGGCTTTGGGTCTAGTAATGAAATTCTTTCTCTTCAGTCGAATAAGTGAGAAGAGGTCGTAAATTCATAAAAGAAAAAAAAAACAAAAAACAAAAAGACACATGCATCCTTCCATGGGATGTGCAGAGAGCTCCAAATTGGGTTTAAACTCCCTCCTCACGTTGAATTCCCTTATAGTAGTGTGTAAATTTTTACAAAGAAGCGGGTGTTAGAAGTATAGGGATCAATTGTAAATTAACAACAAATCCATATACGTGTAGGCAGTTGGGTTGGCTTGGGAGATAGGATTTACGAGTCAGCTAGTTAAATAGAAGATGCCGACTAGTCTTGTTACCTAAGCATTCTCAGTGAAATACAATTGACTCTGAGAGGTTGCTAATCTTCGTGGATGAGTTTCAACGATATTCGTTGGGGATACCACGTTAAGCTCTATGTTTGTGTGTGATTATTCTTCGTTTAGTACAATTGATAGCAGGTATATTGCACTTCGATCAGTGGAGAACAAACTTTACAATATGTTTTCCTAAGCCATCTCCATCACCGTCTTCAAATATCCAACTACGTACTCGTCTCATATCCATGTGGAAAAGGTTTTTCAAATCCATTTTCATATTCGTGGGTTTCGAGTACCTTGGATAATACCCGCCCCTATACATTTAACATTAATATACTTATTATTTACATGTAAATTTTCAAGTATAATACTAGATGGACCTACTATATCATGAATTCAACAAAGATACAATTATTTTTAATACGGTTCAAATCATATGGTTGTAAAATATCCATTAATTCAATAGATAGAGTAGAATATTTTCCCAATCATTATTCTCTAACTCTCATTCATCTACTAAGTATTAATTAACTAACATAATTATCTTGTTAACAAGAGAAAAAAGTGAAAGAATGAAGGGAGAATTGAGGAAAAGGAGTTGGTTTTGATTTGGGTGGCTACTCAATTACATTTTTACTATTTATTTTTCAGTTACCTTCACTATCACTTATAGGTTACAATTTGATCCATGTATTTTTAATATGTGAATAAATAATTCTCGGTGAGGCGGGGAGGCTAAAACCATACACGCCTCATACCCATCAAACTTTTTTACAGTTTTACCCATACCCACCCCATACTCAGCCAATGAGGGAATTCCCCGCGTTGAGGGATCAGAGAAGCTCGGTTACCCACAATCATGGGTTTGATTGTCATCCCTAGACCCATGGAGAGATACAATGTGAGACATAGAAATGAAAGTCCAACCCACATGGTCCAATTCTATTAATCGTCAATTTGAGCGAATTAAATTCGGAGGGCATTTTCGTAATTTTTGGGATATCTTTTCGAAAGAACGTTTTCATTAGAGTATTTTATAATCATATGAATTTTATTAATTTGAAAATGATATAAAAGCATCCTCCTTTGATTGGGCTACAAAAAAACAGGGGGAATACTCTCCCCCACTTCTTCCTCCTGCCAATTGCACAATACATGGGCCATTTGGTGTGTTGCTTTGTTTCCATTCCGGCCCACATGAGCCCATTCGACCCAACCCGGTCCCCTTGCTTTCTCCAGCACTTCGGAACACACATCTCACACTTCTAATTCCTCTGGTTCTCCACTTCTCAACTGGGAAATGGTGAACAGACAATCAGATTCCACTACACACTCCTCTATCCTCATCCTCCATCCCAGCTCCACTCCATACAAGATCACCAGGGACTCTGCCAGGGCTGGCGACCACCAGATTCTGCTCCTCTTCACTGCCGCCCCCCAAAATCTCGCATGCAAATCATGAATCACCACTCCAAACCTCACACCTTGATCCTTCAAAACTGATGTGTCAACATTTATCTTCACTCCAACATCAATTGGTGCTTCCCAATGCATCTGGGCTATTTGTGTGGTGCCCTCTTCGCTTCGATTATGTTCAAGGTATTCCTCTAACCATCTCTCCGCACAACTCATTATTTCATATTCCTCCTTCTTTTTCCCATTTCACATCTGATTGTTTCTTTCCGCCCAGATGAACAACAATGCCACCAGGAATTCACCAATCTTCTCCTGAGATTCAGTCTCATGTAATACACACATCCAGTTCTCACAACTAAGTCCCCCCCCCCTTTAGAAATAGGTCTTTTAGAACACTCGAGTGCCAGACTCCGCGAATCCACACGCACATTCCCGAAAGATATGTTCTTGGGTTTCCATTAAACCGCAGAAAGGTCACTCTTCACACCCTTTATGGATTTTGTCCACCACATTCTTCTTAACATGAAGAAGATTCTTGATCCACCTACAACCAAAAATCTTAACCTTTGGTGGTACCTTGATCTACCAGAAGATCTTCCAACTAATTGGGACATAAACTTCTTCTTGTCCCTCCCTATGCCTTCTCGATTAGTCTGATTGAAACAATCTTCCAACACTTCCATCTTCCAAACTCTCTGTTCATAATCAATTAGTTCCACAACTACAGTGTTGTCCTTTAGAGGGATTACTGGGGATGAAACTTTCTAATTGTCTGCTGGTGGTACCCATCTGTCCAGCCGCACATCGACCTTCCTTCCGTCCCCTATTCGCCACTAAATGATAAGAGTCGACTCTTCCATAATTGTACTTTCCTTATGACTCTATCAATAAGGTAGCTAATACAGTCTTCTCCTCCCTGCCAATGTGTTTTTGGCAGATTTCAAAGGGGTAGCATCGCAGATTTCAGACAAATTTTCGAAAGACCAATTTCTTTGGATTATGAAGCCTACAAATCACGAATTGGGTCTGAGGCTATTCTTCACGATGAATAAATCTATTAAACACCGATTTGGGCGAATACTTTTCGGGGTCATTTTTGGCAGATTCCAAAGGGGGGTATCATTACAGATTTCAGGCTTTTTTTGAAAGATTATTTTCCAAGTATTTTGAAGGTTTCGGATCACGAATTAGACTTTATGTTATTCTTCATAGATGATGAAGTTTATCAATCGGTGATTTGTGGAAACTTTTTCCCGAGGGAACTTTCGTAATTTTTGGGTGCTTTTTTTGAAATATTATTTTCCTTCGATTTCGAAGGCTACTGATCGTGAAATCAACCTCAAGTTATTCTCCACTGATGATAAAGTTTATTAATCACCCATTTTCATAATTTCTTTTTTTTATTTTGAAGTCTACATACTACGAATTCGTTCTGAGGTTATTTTTCACTATTGAGTAAGTTTATTCAGCACCGATTTGGGAGGATTTTTCTGAGTCTATTTTTAACATATTCCAAAGGGATCACTATTTCGAGTGATTTTTTTGAAAGACCAATTTGTTTAGATTTTGAAGGCTACAGACCACGGATTCGGCCAAAGGCTATTCTCCACCGATGATAAAGTCCAATTAATTATTAATTTGGACGGATATTTTTCGGGGTGCACTTTTGAAATTTTTGGATGATTTTTCTTGTATGTCATTTTCTTTTGATTTTGAAGTCTATAGATCACATATTATGCTTGAGGCTATTATACGCCGTGGATTAATACAATAAAGCACCTATTTGGGTGGATTTTTCCAAGTAAATTTTTTGATGATTCCAAATGGGTACAATCATAGATTTCAGGAATTTTTTCGAAAGATCAATTACTTTGGATTTTGAAAACTAGAGATCATTGGTTCGGTCTGAGAATATTTTTCACCAATGATAAAGTATATAAATTGACAATTTTGGTGGATTTTTTTAGAGGGCATTTTCCAATAGTTTTGGGCAATTTTTTCAAAATTCCGTTTTTCTTTGGTTTTGAAGGCTACAGATCACGAATTTTGTCTAAGCCTATTATTCACCGTTGATAAGTCTATTAAGCAATGATTTGGGTGAATTTTTTCCTGTACCATTTTTTTGCAGATTCCAAAGAGATAACATCGTAGATTTTGAGTAATTTTATCCAAAGACCAATTTTTTATTTATTATAAAGGATACACATCACATATTCAGCCTGAGACTATTCTCTAATGATGACAGAGTTTATTAATCACCCATTTGAGGGGATTTTTTTAAGGACATTTTTATAATTTTTTGTGCAATTTTTTTTAAAGATCATTTTTTGAATTTTAAGGCTACAGATCGCAGATTCAGCCTGAGACTATTCTTCACCAATGATTAAGTCTATTAAGCAGCTATTTGGGTGGATTTTTTTCGGGCTATCAAGATTTGAGACATTTTTTTCTTGGATTGTGAGGGCTATGGATTACGGATTCAGCTTTAGGCTATTCTCCATCGATGATGAAGTCTATCGGTCCTTGATTTGGTGATTTTTTCTTATGAGGACATTTTCGTAATTTATTGGGCAATTTTTTAGATATGCAATTTTTCTTAGATTTTGAAGGTTTCAGATCACAAATTCAGCCTGAAACTATTCTCCACCGATAATAAAGTCTATTTAATCGCTAATTTGGAAGACTTTTTCCGAATGACAATTTTGTAATTTTTCTGAGTATTTTTTTAAATATCATTCTAATCGGGAGCCATGTGATCCTATCACTTCCTTAAGAAAATTTCTTGATTTCACCATGACTTGCTTCTGAACTAAGGCAGGGCGCAGAGGGAAGAGGTTTCATGACCATTGATCATGATCACTCAGACACTCACTAGCTATGTTAATGCTCACTAGTTTTTTGGCCACGCTCTGACACGGTAAGAAACTAAAAGTTTATTTGAAATACTAGAATTCACAAAACTATTCAGATAATTACCTACTTAAATTTCACATAATGTATTAATCATTATTAATAACAAAACTATTCAGATAGTTACCTACTTAAATTTCACATAATGTATTAATTATTATGTAATCCACATATGTAATCCGTTTATTTAAGTGATGCATAATAAATAACTATCCTGCATAAGGTTTATGTAGTGTACTTAATTATTGCGGAAGACTCATGTTATAGAAAGCCTATAACACATGTCATCAGTTTGTTTAATTGATACTTACAAAATGATAATTTGTTTATAAGTTTACGTAGTGTGTTAATAGCTATCCCATTATAAAATTTAGTTTATCTAGTGTCTATCAAATTTTACAAATGAAATTGTAATTTATGTAATTGTTACATAATGGTGTTTATTTAACAGTTATAGAATGTTGTTCTATGGTCTAATAATAAAAACAAGTTATAGAAACTAACATTTTATGAATTTGTAATTTACGTAAATATTATAGAACATTGCTACATAAATCTATCATAATGTGTGATCTAATAATGAAATACAATTTCAAAAAGTAACATATGGTTAAAACTATTAGGCCAAGGTTAGTTAACTTTGGAGAACTTTCGCGTAATACAAATTAATGACATGTTAATTATTTTTGTTATTTAGTAATAAATAGTGAACACACTCTAATATGCCAGGTCATGATCTTTAGTTTTCCCCATCCTTGCTACACTTGTGACCTTTTTGGTACCTAATTCACATGTATTGTCTAATACACCCTTATATGACGTTATAATCTAAAAGGAATGAAATAGGGCTATGTTCGACAATATATAAATCATTATGCATGTAAAATGACTTAAAGGAACCTAGATATGAAGTATAAATAACACCAATTTGGGTGTTATCAACTTCCCCCACACTTAGGCTTTTGATTTTCTCCAAGCAAACCTACTCAAACCAGTGCAACTTGATAGAAAGATGAACGCGGTATGCAACATAGTTCTTCATTGCACGGGATAGAGTAGTCGAGACGAATGAACATTATTCTCCTCTTAGTGTGAAACTACAAAATCCCTAATGAGGACCACATAGACTACATAGGGTTGGATATTCAAGGTGTGCATCGAGAGATTTCTCAAAACACATTAAAGTTCAAATGAAGGTGCTTTTCATTCTTTCTTTCTTTCAAAGTAGTAGTTGCCATTTTTCAATCTCCTTTTTGAACTTTAATGTGTTTTGCACCAAAAGTTTGCAAAGGTTGCAAAATTGGCATCTCTCCCTCGTAACCAAGAAGGAAAGAATCATTGTCTTCTCTATATCGGTCACATGTGGGGAACGCAATGGTTGGATTCGTCTTAGCTCTAACACCATTCCCCAGCCTGCACTCCACATTGGGTTTCCACACATGTTCGGTACAAACGAGATTCGAGGTCTCGTGACCCGCTAAAAAGTACTTTGTACCTCCATATAAGTTCGTGAGGAGGAGAGGTGTTTGGGGGATGAAAAATAGTAAAGATGATCTGGATGCGGTAAAGCTATATGGTCCCTAAACACATCCTCAAATGGCACTCCAAACAGAGAGAAAAGCCCTTTGACGGCTTAACTCAAACACTATGCTCGGTTGCCTCCCACGTGAGAACCTCCTTTTTCAAAAGATCTTTCGTAATTGAGCATATTTTTTGCAAATATTTTCAAGTCCAACATTGGGTAGAGAATCCCGCACACATATGTCCTAACCTAAATAGCAAATGTTATGAACTCACCAAAGAGGAAGATAAGAGTAAAATTCTTCATATACCGGTACTCTACTCATGCAAATGTTTGAAACCCTCAAATTTTGAATTTTTTGGGTATAACATTCAAGGTTCAAGACCCAATCAATTGACCATTATATTCAATCAGCACAAAACACAATCAATCAAGTATGCACTCCCACAAGCAATCATTAATGTCTTACATTCATAATCAAGGGAGGCTACTACGATTCATGGCATAATCAGCATAATGATCAATCAAACATTCAGTTAAAGCACACATCCCCCACACTTGAGAGACACATTGTCCTCAATGTGGAAGTTGTAAAGGTAAGATCAAAAGGGGTTACCATAGGGTGATTTGTGGGTTGGTGAGGTTACACAAGTGTAGTTCCCTCGGTCTTCCTAGTGTTTTTCACAACGACAAAACGCATAAGAAAAAGAGATAGGAGGTTATTGGACATAAGTACGAAAAACATAGATAGATATAATGATTAGTATATTGTCGGATATAACCCTCTTTCGTTCCTTTTAGATTGTATCGTCATACTAGGGTGTATTATACAACAAAATTAACTAGATCAATTTAATGGTTCGTTTGTAGGGTTGGCAGTTCGGTTACCGGTTAAACCGATAACCTACCGGTTATCCACTAACTGATAACCAAGCTTCGGTCGGTTATCGAAGGCTGGACGAAATGGTTTTTGGTCTTAAAAGTGGTTCGGTTAACCGATAACTGAGAAGCCAAAGCCTATTTCGGGCGGTTTTCGGTATGGGGAGTGGTTATTTCGGTTAATCGATAACCGACCGATCGATTATCGGTTATAACCGAAATAACCGAACTGCCACCATATTCGTTTGTATCGGGTGATTCTCAATCCTAAACTATACAAAAATACATACACTATACACCCAACTACATATAGCTTGGGTTAACCGGCCGATCGATTACCGGTTATAACCGAAATAACCGAACTGCCACCCTATTCATTTGTATCGGGTGATTCTCAATCCTAAACTATACAAAAATACATACACTATACACCCAACTACAAATAGCTTGGGTTAACCGGCCGATCGATTACCGGTTATAACCGAAATAACCGAACTGCCACCCTATTCGTTTGTATAGGGTGATTCTCAATCCTAAACTATACAAAAATACATACACTATACACCTAACTCCATATAGCTTTATATATGGAAATGTTTCTTTTCATATACGGTATACCTACATTGAAATGAGTGATAGTTGGAAGGATTTAGTTCAACGCATGGTTGTCATGCCGGTGGCATGCCACCCGGTTGAACCTGGTTCAATCTGTGCCGGTCATGAAACCGGCATGACACCACTGGTATGATCGACTTACTTATTCTAAGTAAAATGACATCATTTTAATGAATTTAATGAATAAAAATAATAATTTATTATTCATTTTATGAATGTAATAGTTAAAAGTTGATGATATTTGTTGGATTGTAACTAAATTGTCCACAAAAATGTTTTATATATGATTAAATACATTGGATATTAATTGTTTTCACATTTTTTTAGACCGGCATGAACCGGCACAAACTGATTATACTACCGGTTGTACCATTCCACTTGCCAAACCGGCACAACGGTATAATCGGTTTGACAACCTTGGTTCAACGTGAAACACTGATCCTTCTTGGAATCCTTTCCCACTATAGTTCTCTTGTAAGGATGAATTGACGAAGATTGATATTTATGGGAGGGACACACAGAGGTGCATGCAGAGACAAACTGTATGGTACGAAATGGGCGCTGCAGCCAGTCAGCCACTAACCATGCAAAAAGCAAGCCGACGAAGGAAACCCATTTTAGCAAAAGCATCCACCCATTTTGGACCTGGCTGTGAAGCCTTTGTCCTCTTTCACCCTCCCCTCGCGTCCTCAATAGATAGAGAATGAGATAAGATAATGGGCGCTCACCGCCACGTGGCACTGCCATTGTGGTGGCTCTTAATCTTAACGATGAGGCCCTCTGCCTCTCCATTTCGAAAACCAAATCCTGTGGCCAGAAATGGGCTAACAGTGTCGTGAACCCAATCCAAACCAACGGTAAGATCGACTCCTCCACCAATCATCGACCGTCGGATGGTAGGAAAAGGGAATTGGGTCAGAGCACTATAAGAAGGGCAGCTCTGTTTTGGGGGAGAGGCAGAGAAGAAGGGAAAAAAGCAAGCAGCTTTACTGAGTAGTGAAACCCAGAAGGCAGAGCAAGGCGAATTGTAGAAATGGCGTCCATGATTTCGTCCTCCGCCGTGGCCACCGTGAGCCGCACCGGCGCTCAGGCCAGCATGGTCGCCCCTTTCACCGGCCTCAAGTCCACCGCCGCCTTCCCCGCCACCAGGAAGTCCGTCAACGACATTACTTCCATCACAAGCAACGGTGGCAGAGTCCAGTGCATGAAGGTTCGGCTCAATTTCACTTTAATTTCTTCCTTCCCTCCGCTCTTTTTGTTTTTATTGAACATAATTAGTTAATCAGACATGGCGGGTACAAAATTGGTGTAGGTGTGGCCACCACTGGGTTTGAAGAAGTACGAGACCCTCTCCTACCTTCCCCCATTGACGGAGGAGCAGTTGGGCAAGGAGGTCGACTACCTGCTCCGCTCCGGATGGGTTCCTTGCCTCGAGTTCGAGTTGGAGGTTCGTTCTCCGGTCTTTCAAATACGAGCAGTATTATGTTATAATGTGCGTACTGAAACTTGGGTGTCGATATGTGCAGCACGGTTTCGTGTACCGTGAGAACAACAGGTCCCCAGGGTACTATGACGGAAGGTACTGGGTTATGTGGAAGCTGCCCATGTTCGGGTGCACCGACTCGTCCCAGGTGCTGAAGGAGCTCCAGGAGTGCGTCAAGGAGTACCCCCAGGCCTTCGTTCGCATCATCGGATTCGACAACAAGCGTCAGGTGCAGTGCATCTCCTTCATCGCCTACAAGCCCGAAGGATACAACTAAAACTCGCCGACCTCTAATTTCTACATACCTACGCCCACCAAAATGAAAGGGTCTTTTGGCATTGTTTTGACGAAGTGTTACATATGTGGATGCCAGGCCTTTTTGTCCACCTTTTGCGTTTTCTTATTCTTGTTGTTTTTTGTTGAAATTTTCAATGTTTTCCCCGTGGCTGGATTCGGATGTTGAGTCCAACGGATGAGAATTGTTCAAATAATAATAATAGTACTTTGCATATACTGTACTTTTGTGTTTAATCAGTTCACTTATGGAATCGGCTATCCCAATCTTTCTTTCATTTGATTGGTTGATGTTGTGTTGAATAAGGATGCTTGCTAGTTTGGATAAGAATGGTTGGTACTATTGCCAAATGAGTGGTTGTTGATGGTTACTAGTTGCTACTGCTTCCAAGTCCAACAAAAAAACTACAGGATTTTCCCATGTAGCTCATGGATATTGGGAATTCTGCGGTGCTGTTACAGCAATTGTGCCGGTACTTACTCTGGTCGGTTCACTCAGGTTTGTTTGATTCAATGGGTTAGATTAATTTATTAACTCTTTAAAAGAACAACTTCAAAGTTAATATTTTATAGAGTTCCGTTATAAGGGGTGTTCTTTTTGTAATTAATCAAATCTTGAATGAGTTATTGTGTCATTAGGGTTCTAATTGACGTACTTATTAATTAACTTTTTAAAAGAACAAGTTCAAAGTTACTATTTCATAGAATCACATCATAAGGGGTGTTTTTTGTAATTAACCAAATCTTGAAGGAGTTGTTTTGTCATAAGGTTCTAATTAATTTACTTATGACAATTGAACCCAAATTGAACCAAATCAATAGGCATTCGACCCGGTTAGAGCGAGTTGAATATGTGTTGACGAATTTTGGGCTTCCCAAAGGTTGCCAAAACGTGATGTTGACGATTTTTGCATCATATTTTACACGTTTTCCTCATATACGGGATTGGGCATGTGTGGTTTTGGTTGGGGGAGTTGAACCAGGTATTGGCGGGGTTTGCTTCGGGAATTTTTTTACATGGAATTAAGTCAGGTGTGCACTTTGTTAAGCTGGGTGAACCGATGTCGACAAATTTTTTTTCGATGAATGGGTGGAATCTTATTCATCAAATACGATCAAGTACAAGTTTACAATAAACGAGCAGTAACAAAACCGCCACTAGCCCTCAACAAAACAATAAACCCTAAAACCAAAAACCTCACCTACTTGTATACTTGTAATTATGCACAAATACTACATCAGGGCTGCACCTTTGTACCACAAGGACTGAAGCATAGCCGATTCAGCAAACCTGAGATCACCTATCTCTTTAGCTTCCATCACCCCTGCATCTTCTTGACAAGCTCTCCCACAGATAGCTGCTTCCCGCCGTAGACTCTCCTACACCGTTCTCGCCATACCTCGCTCAGTACTAAACACCAGAGGACTCTGCCAACCAAACACTTACCGGAGCGCTGAGTTGCTGAAAACACCGCCTGCTGCAGGTTATGAGAAATCGGGAGCTGCCATGACGTCGACAAAATTGCGTTGGCACACGTTTTTGTAATTGTGGATTTTGTTGGGCGAGTTGAACCAGGCGTGCAATTAATTAACTTGTGACAATTGAATCCAAATTGAACCCAAATCAATGGGTATTCGACCTACTTTGACACGATTAAAGCGAGTTGAACCCAATGTTGAAGCATTTGGCTCAACAACGAGTTTTGCACGCTTAAATCCTTGAAGCTTGGAGGAGTTTTTGTGCCATTGAGGTTCTAATTAATCAGCTTATGATAATTGAACCCAAATTAATGGGCATTCGACCTATGTTGACCCGGTTAAAATGAGTTGAACCCGGTGTTGACGAATTTTGCCTCAACAACTAGCTTTGCACACTAAAATCATTGGGTATTTGACCTATGGGTAAAATATGTGTAATTTAGTCAGAATCACTCCCGGAGCTGATGGCCTTTCAATGTTATTCTTTCGAATAATTTGGAATGTTATTGGTGATGAGGCTGACTCCAATGGAGCCTCCATTATTGACGATAATCGCCATCTGGATCACCATATGTGGGAAAGGGACTGGCAATTCCCGGGAGAAATGGGGACCGGGCTAGCGGTTGTCCCCGCCACTAGACTTTTTTAAAAATATTTACGGTTTAATTAGGGGTTTATTAATTAGGAATTTAATAATTAGGGCTTCAATGTTTGTTTGAATTAATATTTTGTTTAACTTCTTTTTTCCTACTTTTCTTGTATTGATCTCTTAAAAATATTTAAAATTATGTTTATTTGATAAAATGACATAAATTAAATGCATTCTATTTAAAATTTATGTTTATCATTTTCAAGTTGTTTGTAAACAAAAACTAGACCGATGTAAGAAGAAAAAATATATTATTAAAATAAAAATGCATTCTTGAATTACAAAACAAATTGTCACCAACTATAACTTTAATTGTATTACAAAGCATCCCAACACCGATACCAAGCAATAAGAATGACTAATTATTTTCATGCAAGTTCCAAATATGCTCGACCAAGTCTTCAAGAAGCCCATGATGTGTTGGTGCAGCACGAAGCCTATTATTCCTAGCCAAGTACTTAGTTAGGGTTGGAATATGTCTGTCGACATTAGTTGGTTGTTGGTCGTGGACCTCATAATCAATACTATCTTCCATCTCATCGTCAGAATTAACATGTTCATCCTCGATTATAATGTTGTGCCAATATAATGCAGGTCAATAATCTATCATTAGTTGTGGCAACATCCCAAGATCTCGCAGGGCCACGAACGATGGAAGTGAGTTGAAGGAGAGGAGTGCTTCGAGGGCCGAGTATGAGCGAAAAAGGATGGTATTCCAAGGAAAAAAATCGAAGCGAGATGAAGAAAAGCGGGATCTTGAGAAAAAGGGATAGGGAAGAAAAGTGGGAACTTGAGAAAAGAGAGAGGGAAGCGGCACTACTTTGGGAAAACATTGATCTTTATGAAAGAGACTTGTCGAAGTTGACACCAAGAAAGAGGAAGTATTGGAGAAATAAACACAACGTGCTTCTAGGGTATGATCAAGATGATCCCAACTATTTATCCAACGCAAGTCAGACCGGAGGAGGAGATGAAAGTGAAGTGTCAAACCGGGGTGCAAAATTAGTACGATATTGTCCGCTTTGTACCAAGCCTGCATGATTTTACTCTTGGGTGTCCTCGCTAAAAGGCCCCGTACTACTTGGGCTAGGTGGATACTTATATACAAGGGTTTCCTTCTCTTGTATTTCCGATGTGGTACTTGGATTGTCCCATAACAATCCTCCCCCCAAGACAAGGACCACGAACTTCGTGTCCTCTTCTCATCGATTATCTTGATCAGCCGGACACCTTGTATAAATGGGCTTCTCGATACAAGGATTTCCCCAAACGCAGCCCGCACGGTTTTACTCTTGGGTGTCCTCCCCAAAAGGCCTCGTACTAATTGGGCTAGGTGGGCACTTATATACAAGGGTTCATTCCCTTGTATTTCCGATGTGGTACTTGGATTGTCCCATAACAGGAAGGAAGAGATTACGGGAATTACTATTCTCTTATGGGCGATTAATGACATGTTATTTGTTTCATCTTTATCATTTCAAGTGTTGTGTGTAATCTTTAACCTTTATCATTATCAAGTGTTGTGTGTAACCTCTGAGTTGTAACATTTCAACTATTATGTGAACTCTTTAAACTTTATCATTTTCAAGTGTTGTGTGTAAAGAAAAATTAGGTCAATCATTTTTTGCCAAAAAAATTTCAGTATCGAAATTTAAAATAATTCTATCGAAAAATTTGTATTTAAAAATGATGACTAACTAAAAAAATTAACTTGAACAAATTAAATTAAGATGATAATAATTACATTTTTAAGTAAAAAAAAAACTAGAAAAAAAAAGAGGTCTCCAAATTTGAACACGATAGCATTGAAGTAAAAATGTTAAAATTGAAGACTAACATTGGAGATGGTCCGAAGTTGCATCACTTGGTGTTGGAGATTATGGAGACTGGACTCATGAGTCAAAATCAAACAGAGTGTTTATATATTTGTGAAGATTTGAAAACAAAATTTCTCAATTTTAAATCCATGAGCTACATGGGAAAGCCCTGTAGTTTTTGGTTGGAAGTAGTAGCAAATAGCAAGTAGCAACCATCAACAACCCCACTCATTTGGCAATAGAACCAACCATCCCATCTCTTATCCAAACTAGCTTAGAAGATGGGGAGAAGCTAAGGCGATTCAATAAGTGAACAAATTAAACACAAACTATAGTAAATGCAAAGTACTACCATTATTATTTGAACATATCTCAACCGTTCGATTCAACATCCGAATCCAACCACGGGAAAACAGTGAAAATTTCTGGAAAAACAAATTAAAAACAGCAAGAATAAGAAGACGCAAAAGGGATTAAAAAAAAAAAAAAAAAAAGCCAAAAGACCCTTCATTTTGGTGGGAATGGTACGTAGGAATTGGAGGTCGACGAGTTTTAGTTGTATCCTTCGGGCTTGTAGGCGATGAAGGAGATGCACTGCACCTGGCGCTTGTTGTCGAACCCGATGATGCGGACGAAGGCCTGGGGGTACTCCTTGACGCACTCCTGGAGCTCCTTCAGCACCTGCGACGAGTCGGTGCATCCGAACATGGGCAGCTTCCACATAACCCAGTACCTTCCGTCATAGTAACCCGGGGACCTGTTGTTCTCACGGTACACGAAACCGTGCTGCACATATCAACACCCAAGTTTCAGTACGCACATTATAACATAATACTGCTCGTATTTGAAAGACCGGAGAACTAACCTCCAACTCGAACTCGAGGCAAGGAACCCATCCGGAGCGGAGCAGGTAGTCGACCTCCTTGCCCAATTGCTCCTCCGTCAATGGGGGAAGGTAGGAGAGGGTCTCGTACTTCTTCAAACCCAATGGTGGCCACACCTACACCAATTTTTACCCAACCATATCTGATTAACTAATTATGTTCAATGAAACAAAGAGATAGGAGGAATTAAGATCGAAATTAAGTGAAAGTTGAGCCGAACCTTCATGCACTGGACTCTGCCACCGTTGCTTGTGATGGAAGTAATGTCGTTGACGGACTTCCTGGTGGCGGGGAAGGCGGCGGCGGACTTGAGGCCGGTGAAAGGGGCGACCATGCTGGCCTGAGCGCCAGTGCGGCTCACGGTGGCCACGGCGGAGGACGAAATCATGGACGCCATTTCTACAATTCGGCTTGCTCTGCCTTCTGGGTTTCACTACTCAGTAAAGCTGCTTGCTTTTTCTTCTTCTTCTTCTTCTCTGCCTCACCCCCAAAACAGAGCAGCCCTTCTTATAGTGCTCTGACCCAATTCCCTTTTCCTACCATCCGACGGTCGTTGATTGGCGGAGGAGTCGATCTCACCGTCGGTTTGGATTGGGTTCACGACATTGTTAGCCCATTTCTGGCCACACGATGGGTGAAGGATTTGGCTTTTGTGTTTCGTTTTGAAAAATGGAGAGAGCCTCATCGTTAATGGTTTAAGATGCACCGCAATGGCAGTGCCACGTGGCGGGGAGCGCCCATTATCTTATCTCATTCTCTATCTATAGGGTGAAAGATGACAAAGGCTTCACAGCCAGGCCCAAACTGGGTGGATGCTTTTGCTGAAATGGGTTTCTTTCGTCGGCTTGCTTTTTGCATGGGCTGGAGCAGCCCATTGTGCCAGAATCCTGACTGAGTTCATCCTCTCGGCCCATATAGTTTTGTCTCATCATGCACCGCCTACTACTCCCTGTCTCTGTCTCTCCCACAATGTTCTACCGTTCACCCATACAAGAAAACTTGTAGGAAAGGATTTAAAAGAAGGATCACACTTTCACGTTAAACTAAATCCTTCTAACTATCACTCAATCGTTGATTTTCAGTTTAAATTAAATTAATCTTATTATTTGGATTAGATCATTGGGGACTAGGGTTCACCCATTAAAGGTTAGGGTATAATATATTATGCCTCAAACTTCGGTTAATTTATGGTTTAAATAGCAAAACTCGACGGATGTACGGTACTTAAGCTTATGCGCGCCTGAACCGTCGAATAAAATATATTTTGATTCGGTTGTTATCCAATGGATTGTCTTAAGTACAAAGAAAATTGAACCAAGATTGAATTCGAACGGGCTCAGTCGTATTAAAATGATATTTAAATAAAAATATATTTATGCAATAATAAAATGACATTCCTGGTAGAAATCAAATCCAAGTTCTTTGATTGAAGGAAATCATTTATAGCAACTAGACTACACAAGAATCATATTATAATTTAATTAAAGAGATAATAGATATCTAATTAGTATTAATTTTCACACAACCATTCTCATTCGTGCAATTACAAGTGACCAGCTTTTGTACAGTTTTATACCGTGTAAATATAATTAACCGTTAAACGTTAGACTTTTTCCTAATCCGGATGAACGTCCAATATGATAGACGGAACGATATGTCAATGGGCTCTGGGTCTCTATCTATCCAAAGCAACATCAATACAAACTATTTGAAGAACTAACCAGCTTCATATGGTCATGACTCTAGTTGAATTCCTTTTTCTCGATTATACTTGTAATCTTTGGTAAGAGAACCAGTTGTAGCCGCCTGACTCAAGCATGTTCTATTAATTAGCAAGAGCTCCAGGAAATGCGATAGACAATTTGAATCTAGCTAAACTCATATAGACATATGAGTGGCAGGTGAAATTAAACTTAATGTTCACATATATGCATGCTTATTTTGGCATTTTTTATGGGAAACCGTGTTATGTATTACTTAAATCTCCAAAAATTGGGCTTTCTCAGCTTCTAACAGACTCCTAATGGAGTTGGGTGGACAGTCAGTCCAAATACACATATGATTTTCGTGAGAATTCATGTGGGCTAGACAGTGGACCACTGAATTAGAACTTCTGGACACAAAAGCCCACTCAACTTTCCTACCAGCCATTGTCGAGTTAACTTCCACCAAACTTCTGATCTCCTTGCACCACACCCCCAGCTCAATGCGATACTCCTCGTCTTTCTCCAAAAACTTTACCAAATTCTGGCAATCAGATTCCACCACCAGAGGACTCCACCCCCTTCGATTTGCTTCTATTAAACCAGCTATGATAGCTCTTGCTTCTGCCTCCACTGGTCTGCAATTGCCCGTCTCCTTCCCAGCTATTGCGCCCAGAAAATCACCATTCCAATTTTTGAAAACACATCCAATTCCAATCCCAGACGGCTTTAACACCCCGACATCACTGTTCATCTTGAAGATTCCGGCCGGAGGTGTCTTCCATCCCTGGATGTTGGTAGCTTGTCTCGCGTTCGTAGCAGTGGTGCCCTGAGCTTGAAGGTAATTTTGGCATTAATTGAAAGAATGTATTATGCAATTCAATATTAATTAGAATCAAACAGAATGGTAATATATTGTGATGATTCGAAAAAAAAACCTCATAAGTTTATATTTTAAATTCATTATAGTTAGTCATCCAACTTCATAAATACATACATGATTACATAAGTAAAGGGTTGGAAGTTTGGTACCGATATTTGAGATTAATGTCGTATCGAAATTGTCGATATTTGATATTACTGAATACGTGTTTATTTCATGGAATTAGGATTGAATATCAATTATTATTTGGTATAGGGATTACATGATCGAGATAGGTATATGTTGAAATATCGATTAATACTGAAACATAAGCTAGTGTGTATTTCATCCCTCCCAAATAGACTTTCTCACTCACTATTAGCATACCCACAATCGCCAACATGGTTACTTAATTGTATTTCATCCCTCCCAAATAGTCTAGTGGTAATACCACTAGCAAGAACCTGGAGATCCCAGGTTCGAATACCTTAGGTAGTACATCAGCCACAAAAAAGTAAACTTATATCACCCTTATAAAAATATTATACATATCTCACTGTTTGAATAATCATATCAAGTTCCTACTGTTACTTGTAGAATGTTTATGGGTTGCTTAGTCGTCTCATGTTTCAGTTTGTATTTTTAGTTTGTTAATGTGCATTTTAGGTACCAGATTTTTCTAGTTTGTTGAAGGATTGAAATACCGTACCGGAGGTCGTACTGGAAAAATCAACAATATGATATTTTATGCTAAAATCGTGATTTAAATGATTTAACTGCTAAATATCACCTACCAGTTTTACTTTTGATATGAGGCTTTTCTGGTCGAACCGGCGGTAGGTACGTTTTTTTAATCCTTGTTATTATTCTTGTGTTTATTTCTCATTTATTTTGCACGAGTGTTGGCACATTGTTTGTTTTTATATATGTTGAGAATGATTTACAAGGCTACTGTTAGCAAATAATTTCGTTTGTGTATTTAATTTGTGATTTTGAAGGGAATTAATTAAGTTCTTATTTGGTAGAAATGGATAGCTTGCTAACACCTTTAACTGTTAGCACCATACTAACACTTACTATAAGAGTATTATAGTAACTATCTCTTCCTCTTCCCTTCTCCTCTCCCTTCTATTGTCGTTTCTTTTCTATGTTTCATTTATGTTTTGTACCTGAACTTAATAGATATTAATATTTAGTACCTAAAATTAAATTTTTTTACATTTGAGTCTGAAAAATATCGATATAAAATCACATTTTAGTACCTGAAATTTATACTTACAAATTGGTACCTAAACTTTTAAAAATTTACAAACAGGTCCACTACTAAGAAACATCTGGCCTACTTTGAGGTTCTGGCCTACTATGAGGAGGTTCTGACCTACTTTGATGAGTTTATGGTCTACTTTGAAAAACTTCTGGCATGCTTTGAGGTTCTTACTTACTTTATGTAGGTTATGCCCTTCTTTAAGGTTCTGATATACTTTGAGGAGGTTCTGACTTACTTTGAGGAGTTTCTGACCTACTTTGATGGTCCATTGGTCTCCTTCCCTTCCTCACATTTAATGCAAAAAGGACGGTTGGTCACTCCTCCACTTCCCCAAATTTTCATAATACCAAATGTGTACCTCCTTTCCCTTCCCCTCCTCAATGTGTTCAACTCATTTAAATGAAAAAGTCATATAAATAAAATGTGCCTATTGGCTGGAGCTAGTAGCATCATACTAACAAAAAAAGTGTTAGCATCTTAGTCTTTCCCTATTTAGTATATACCAGTATAAAAAAAATTGGGATTAAAATTGAGATACCAACTTTATTTTGTGAAATTAAAATTGAATTTATAATAATATTTAATATTCAAAATGTCCTTATTTTTTATTGAGATGCAAATTTCATACTAATTTTCACCTTATAGATGTTGGTTTTGAAAGTAATAGCAACCATCAATAACCACTCATTTGGCGATACTACCAAGCATCCTTATCCAGACTACCAAGCATCCATATTTTACACAACAACAACCAATCAAAAGAAAGAAAGATGGGAAGAAACTAAGCGGATTCAATAAGTGAACATATTAAACACAAACTATAGTATATGCAAATTTTACACAACCACCATACAAAAGAAAGAAAGATGGGAGAAGCAAAGCCAATTCAATAAGTGAGCATATTAAACACAAACTATAGTATATGCAAAGTATTATTATATTATTATACCTGTTACAGGAGGGCTTTATTTATTATTTTTTTTTTTCAGAAACCTGTAACAGGAGACTACTAGAGGAGAGTGGAAATGAGCGTCGTCTATTGGATTCGAACTTGAGAACTACAAACTGAAAATCGACGGCACGATCACTTGACCACGACCGATTTCCCGTAAGTACTATTATTATGGTGGTATGTGGTACGTAGAAATTGGAGGGTCAGCGAGTTTTAGTTGTATCCTTTGGGCTTGTAGGCGATGAAGGAGATGCACTGCACTTGGCGCTTGTTGTCGAATCCAATAATGCGGATGAAGGCCTGGGGGTACTCCTTGATGCACTCCTGGAGCTCCTTCATCACCTGGGACGAGTCGGTGCACCCAAACATGGGAAGCTTCCACATCGTCCAGTACCTTCCGTCATAGTACCCCGGCGACCTGTGATTCTCGCGGTACACGAAACCATGCTGCGCGCATATATAGACGCGCACACAAGCAGGCGAGTTTCAGTACTCAGCTCGTACTATAACATAATACTACTCGTCGTAAAAAGATCGAAGAAAACGGACCTCCGTCTCGAACTCCAAGCAAGGAACCCATCCTGAGCGGAGCAGGTAGTCGACCTCCTTGGCCAACGACTCCTCCGACAGTGGCGGGAGGTAGGAGAGGGTCTCGTACTTCTTCTTGCCGATTGGTGGCCAAACCTACACCATATTTTACCCAACCAAGTTAGCTAATTATGTTCAATAAAAATAAAGAGAGTGGATGGAGGGAAGATCGAGAGAAAAGAAAACCTTCATGCACTGGACTCTGCCACCGTTGCTTGTGATGGAAGTAATGTCGTTGGTGGACTTCCTGGTGGCGGGGAAGGCGGAGGTGGACTTGAGGCCGGTGAAAGGGACGACCATGCTGGCCTGAGCGCCGGTGCGGCGGCTCACGGTGGCCACGGCGGAGGAAGAAATCATGGAAGCCATTTCTCAAATTCGCCTTAATTACGTACTCAGTGAAACTTTTTTTTTTTTCTTCTTCTTCTTCTTCTTTTCTGCCTCGCCCCCGAAAGAAAACTGCCCTTCTTATAGTGATGCGGCCCAGTTCCCTGATTGGTGGAGGAGTCAATCTCATCGTACGTTAGAATTGGGTTCACGACATTGTTATAAGCCCATTTCTGACCACAGGATTTGGTTTGTTGTGTTTCGTTTTCGAAGTGGAGAAGCCATGGCCTTATCGTTAAGCTTAAGATTCACCACAATGATTGTGCCACGCGATTGGTGAGTGAAAGAGGACAAAGGCTTCACAGCCAAAACCAAAATGGGTGGATGCTTTTGCTGAAATGAAACGGGCTTCTTTCGTCGGCTTGCTTTTGCTTTTGCATGGTTAGTCTCTGTCCCTTCCATAATCAATCTTCCAGAGAGTTCATGATCCTTACAAGAAAACTTGTGGGAAAGGGTTCCAAGAAGGATCAGTGTTTCACGTTGAACACTTAAACTAAATCAGAGAAACATTTCCATGTTGAATTCCACCTTGAGTTCTTTGTGGTAGTGTTATTATATCCGTTCAAGAAATTCTTATTTGAGTTCAAGGGCATTTGAAACTTTGTTTGTGATATTAGACCGTTTCCCTGTTTGGGTGCTAAACTATCAGTAATTGATATAACATGGAAGAGGATAGTTGATAAGTAAGAGACTGTGGAAGGCTCTGCTTATTATTCTTATGCGCAAGGAATCCTTTCCTCATATGGTTATCTAACCCCGCACTATTACTTCCTCATGGAAGGAGAAAGCTTTCAAAAAAATGTGTAGCTTTTCGGCATTGTATCCTCTGTTGAATTTCTAGTTTTTCTTGATTGTTATAATTTCCATGATTCTAGACCTAGCAAGTTGGTGGTTTATTTGGTGTTTGCTTGTTGGTGGTATGTTTGTTGTGGTTGTTCAAGTTGGGGTTTATTAGGTGTTTGCTTTCAACAAGAGCAGATGATGGTGTTGGTTGTGTTGTGTTGTTTTATATATATTAAGCAAATAATGGATGGTTTTGCTACTATGAATCATGGATGAATTGTTCGTGGATGGTTTTGCTACTATTATTATGACAAAATATTTTTGTCACAATAGACGAAAATTGTTGTAGTGCCTAGATGTTCCCCTGCAACGACGTCAAAAACTTGATTTGTTAAAACTACACTCCTAATACAGGTCAACTGTAACCAATGGAAGGACTGCAGTATAATGGCACACGTAATAAAGTATCAAATTCACGGGTCTTTAGATTTACTAGTACTTATTAGTTTATTATTTAGCAAAATAGATTCAGATTAAATAACTAAAAACTCTACAAACTATACTAAAGTTAGATTGCTAATCTCAAGTTGGAAACTCATTTAGGTATTGAATATTCCCCCTAGCCATTAGTCGGATTAATGATTGATAATTCTCTAAATTGTTTCACTCTTCATTCATAATGTTGAAAGTCCTTAACTAAACCTTGAATCTCAATTAAAGCAATCAAGGCCCTCTTGAATTAGTTGCTTATAGGGGCGTATCCTTCTCTAACACAACCGATTAAAGCGTGTTACTCTAGACTCTCTTTATTGAGTGAGGTTCTCATTCAATACCAAACAATGTTTTGACTAACTCTCACACATCGATCTAGTGCTTCCAATCTATGGTGCTCTATTGACCTAATAAGGTATTCATTCTCATGGAATCAAAACATAATCAATAATCTTGATTGAAGCAGAACTGAACATGAAACATCAATCGATTGAATATGAACTCAATATTAACAGAAAGAGCACTCATACAATCATCCAATACAAAACATGGTTGTGGTTAAAACCTAAGTGAAAGGAAGTTACTCCACTAAGATAAGAAAAAATACAGCAATCATCTCTAGATCTTCGATTCCCGTGTCCATGCTTATTCCTCGAGTTTCAATGTGAATAAATCCTCCATATTTGCTCCAAAATCTCCCCCGTCAAAACTGTAACAAGCATAAATCCATTATAATTCATCAATAAAAAAATTAATAATGCGTATTAAATATTAATTTCGAAAATAAGGTTCTCCCTATCCATGCCAATCCCACACACCTTATTTGCCTCTAATTTGGAGTCGGTTCTTTAAATTTCGAATTTTCCCCCAATAATGTACTCCTCGCTCCCAAGGTTCTATAGACGAAAACAGTTCGTCGAGTGGACATCAAAAGATCTTGTGTTATTATGTAATATGTATTTGCAAGCATATTGTCTCATGTGAGATTTATTTTCTATAGAATTGGTTTCTAATTATGTATATCATACTCTCTTGTATTTGACATTACATATGTTAATTATTTTCCTAAAAATTATATTAATTAAGCTTTTGCCATTTGCATACCTCTCTAGTCTCTACAAGCCTCCACGTCAGCCGAAGATTTCTACTACTTGGACCGTAAGTGCATGACCAGCGAAATGTGGAAGTTTTACTTTGATATATAGCAAATGGATTCCCCGAATGTGTAAATAAAAAGTGGCCCGGATTAAAGGAAAAACGGGCCGGGTTGACTTTGCTTTGTAGGCTGTCTAGATACTGAATTGCTAGTTTTGTTGGGCCGATCCACTTCAGCATCAAAAGCCCAGTCGTGCATGGACCATGAGATATAACGACGCAAGTGTCTTCAATTTCCTCTCCAAGCTTGTTCTTCGCTAATCCTAATTACATCAATATAATATAATCATATATACATGTTTATACAAGGTGGGCGTATAATAATTCATCCCTCGCTCTCATATTCTTACAAAACAAATCCCTTTCATTTTCGAGTTGAGGATCGCATCACCAACCATATATTTTTTACATCCTAAACTAAGTTGGGTATAATTTCAAGTTAGATAACTTATATGAATGTTGATTGTTAAAATGTATTAAAACTAAGTTTAGATCATTGAGTTACAAAAAGAGTAGTAATCGACGTAGGAGATCATCACTTATTGACCTTTTATAACTGTTACGTAAAATACACGCGTAAAAGTTACGGAACGACAATTGTTTCTTGCGCATCAATTGAACCTAAAGCGTTACGTAAGGCTTCCGTAATGGTTTATACTTTACGTAAAACATAGTACTTCCTTAACGACTTAGCATTTTACGTAAAGCGAGGCTAATATTCATTACGTAAAAGGTCTGTGCATTACTTAAGGCTTTCATAATGATACTTTACAAATAATGAAGCTTTACAATTCTTATATAAAATACACATACTTTACTTAAAGGTTACGAAACGATAGTTATTTTTTACATAACAGTTAAATTGAAAGTGTTGGATAAAGCTTCTGTAATTATTTAGTACTTAACGTAACATGATGTTACCATACATTACATAAAACCATCTATTACGTATGATTTTCGTAATGATATTTTACCACTATTATATGTAATAAATATATTATGTTATGTAATCATAAGGCAATACTTATTGTATTTTAGGTAATACAATCCGTAGAACCTGCTCTAAGAAGTAACATGTAAGAAATTCCAAGTTACCTAAAATCTCTAAACCATTCCCACTTGTTTCTGTGTCTAGTACTCTGGAACCTGGTCAGGTAGCCTGCCATTTTTTTTTAATCTTTTTTAGTCGACAGAATTTCACGGGATTTATCAATTTTGTACAAGCAAACATTCATATACTATTTGGGGGCGTAATCTTTGCCCACTGGGTAAATGAAATCCGTGGATGAGCAGAATATAGAAAAGGTTGAGGATAAGGATCCATAATTTAGCCCGTTGATTTTGATTATTAGGTAAAATATAGGATAACACAAATGTGGCCCCTACTTAATATTCAGAAATCCTTACAAACCATTTGTGAGTATGTACTGTACTCCCAATGTCCACGGTCGTCAGATCGAGCGCTGAATGATTTATAATTTCGATAGATGCGATAACACTTTGTTTATGAAAATATTTTTACGTCCATTTGACGATTACGAAACGCTCAACATATGATCCGACGTTCACAAGTGTTTTTGTCACTTGCTCACAAATAGTAATGTAAGCACCACAACCGGATTGGTGGTAACCACGTAGGGGTGGAAATCGGTACGGTATCGGTATCCCAATTTCAAATACTGAAATTCCGAATACCGTCTCAATTACAATCTCTAAATAATTTCGGTATCCCAATCCCAATCCCTAAATATTTCGGTATCCCAATCGGTATTATCAAATACAAAATTAATTACCTTTGTAATTAATAATTAAATATATAAATTAGATTTTATTATTTAATTTAGGACAAAGAGACTAAGCAAAGAGTCTTGAGTTGTCTAGAGCTAATATCTCAAATTCTTGTAATTGGTAATCTTTAATTTGACGAATTTGAGGTTGAGAGACGACTAATACTAGTGTGAAAGAGTGATGGAATGATCTATGTATTAATTAAATGACACTCTTGGTAGTTGAGGGTCACCTAGTAGTGAATGAGTGAGTCTAGTTCAAAGGATAAATTACGCACTAGCTTGTATTTCGGTATTGATAGGTATTCGGTATATCCCGATCCCAATCCCGTAATTTCTAATACCGAATAACAATTGAAATTCAATCCCAATCCCAATTCCACAAAATAATACGTGTATTCGGTAATACCGAATATAGACAAATTCGGTACGGTATTCGGTATATCTTAAATACCGACACCAATTTTCATCCATAGTAACCACTATAAAAAGAATTTCTCATTTGCAAATGGTACAATTATTATTCCAAAAAAGACAAGTTGGAAATAATTAAATCCATTTTTGAGTAGTACTATATAATATTTGGTTAGTGAAGTAACAAATAAAGGAGTCAGGTTTTTTGGTTGTTAAGTAAAACAACGAATTGCCGTGGCCGTGGTTTTCGAATTGGAGTCGGTGGGGCCAATTTTGTTTACATTTTCTTGGAGTCCTTGTTTTGTAGGTGCCGAACTGCCGATGACGAAGAGTCCATGAAGTTTCAACTACTCGTATTCTTATTAGTTCTTTTTATGGCTCGTCTCTAGATGCTCTATTTGAGGACGGAATGGCAAAAAATTTATCCTGAATTAAAAATCTAGGTACAATTTCCTTTTAGGGTTAGGTAGATTTGTTGGTTATTGATTTCACTTTTCTAAAGTATTTAATTAATTAATTTATTTATTTATGGAATGCCAATAGTACTGCTTGGGAGCTGAGAAAAAGAAGTTGTAACAGTAAGGGCAAGTGGGATCGAGAGTGGTTGAAAGATGTGAAGGTTTCATAAGCAGTACAAAGGTGTGTAATTAGGGCTGCAAATGAACGAATCCAATCGGTTGGTTATCGGTTAACCGAAAGGTCGGCCCCCCAACCGACAATCGATCGAAATAGACGGTTAACCGTGCCGCCTCCGATATCAAAATCATCTCGTCCGGCCTCCGACAACCGATCGAATTTTGGTTATATGTTTAACTGACCGGTTACCCGGTAACCGAGCCTCCACTCCTAATGTTTGGCATGAGTTTTAGAACTTTCTTTTGTGCTTTAAAGGTTGAAGTCGGGCCGCTTTATGTTCAATACTTGAAAAGGATGAAAAGTGTTTTTACAACATAAAGCATAAGCTCCAATTTGAAATTTCTGCAAAAAAAATTGTTTAGAACAATACAAGATTATCCTTATCATATTTTTTTTACATAAACACACGTTTCATTCTTTTATATTATTTTAAAAAATAAATTAAATTATAATACAACAACATCCGTTTTGAACATATTTTATTATAAATCATGTTTAGTAATTTAACATGCCCTATACTATTAAAAAGTAATTAAAATAGTTTATCGATCAAACACTCAATTGTTTTTTTTAACACTATCAAAAACTACAACAAAAGCTTTTTTGTAAAAATTTCAGTAGGTTAAACCAATAGCCACAAACTCATACTTAGCCCATTTACATTAAACATGCATGACAATTAATCATTAACTAACAATGATCATGTATTGCGGAAAAAAAAATACTTCTAATGGTATATTAGAAGTATCGGGTGACAAATGCATTGAATTGATAGATTGGTGGATGATTTTTTTTTTTTTTTTGACAAAGTGCAGTTCATTAAGATGGCAAAGAAAAACATACAAATTATAAAGGCAATTAAAATTTGGACAATCAAACCTGAGGCCCAAATAGATGGCTGGAACCCAATATAACCCTAACCCAAGGACCACAAACACAGTCAAACCATCCAAAACCCGCCAAGCAACCCCTCTGGAGAAATCACCAGCAGTGGCAGAAAAACTCCACCGCCAGACGCAATCATAACCCACCACCAACGACGAGCCACCGCCACGAGAAAGAGGGTCGCCGAGACGGTGAGAAGGGGAGCCAGTTTCAAACCAACATGGATGGAAGACAGCGGAGAGGCACCCTCTAAACAAACCTCCTCAGACTGATCGATGCCACCATCACCACACCCACACCACGAAAAAACATCATGAACGATAAGGGGAACAATGAGAGGAGTTAGAGGGGTGATCTTCTGTCTTCGAATCTCTCCAAGCCAAGTCTAAACCAAGGGCTTTTGCATTTCCAAATCACCAAACTTGCAGAGTGAAACAACAAGGAGATGGACGAAGGGGGTTGGAAAGGGGAAGACAAACCAGTCGAAAGAGCAACCAGCCTCCAAGGTAGTTAGATCAAACATCTCGAGATCTATGAACTAGATCGGAGGAACAAAACTATAACCCACAAAGGGAACAGAGAGAACCAGTGCAAGGGAGAAGAGAAGCGTCGATCAAAGCAGGAGAAGCAAAAGAAGAATAGAGGAAAGCAAGGTAAACACAGGAAACCAAATCAACAAAGCGAAAGTAAGAAAGCAAGCTAAAGGAAAACAATATGGAGGGTCGCCACCGGTCCCGAAAGGGAAGCCAACGACAACCCTGTGGTGGAAATTGGAATTGAAACCCTAAGATAGAGACCAGCAAGAGAAAGTGTTGACACCTAAAAATTAATCCGGCCGAAATTAAATGCCGCATTAATTAGTATCGGCATTTAATTCAATACCGTGGGTAAAAGACGGCGTCGTTTGAAATTAAGCGATACCGCGGAACAAAAAACCGTACTGCAAGGAAGCTCAGCGGTACCGCGACACTGGAAACGGCACCGGTCACCAAAAAACAAAAGAGGAGCCGCGCGTTTAGTCGTAGTTGGGGAAGGAGTTTTGTTTACTCTAATTAATTATTTTTTTTTTATTTTTTATTCCTTGTTGGATAGGGAGAAGCGGCACCGCGGAGAACTAAAACGGTGCCGCGGAATTTAAAACGGTACCGCTATACTAGCAAACGACGGTGTTTAATAATAAACAGTGTCGTGGAAGAAAAAAAAAACAAACGGCTGGTTGGGGAAGAAAACTACACCGCAAGGTTGGAAGCGGAGTCGTTTAATATCAAAACGACACCGCTTAAAGCATCAACAACGCCGCGATATTGCTAGGCGTTCGAGACCATACCACGGCGGGTTGGATTTTGGCGAGTCCCGGCAAGACCAACGACACTGCAAGATGAGAACAACAATACCGTTTTTAGCGATGCCGCGGAAAGACCAACGGTACGGTTTGGTTGAAAAACAAAACAATGTCGCGGAATGGAAAACGACATTGTTTGACAGCATCGTTTGAAAAACGAGGCCGCGGAAAGGTAAAACGACACCACGTCAGTGGATAAGAGTTCGGCCAAAGGCGGCCCGCCAAGCCCAACGACAGCGCAAGATTGGAAAACGACGTTGTATAATAGGCTAACGGTGTTGTTGGTCAAACCGGGTCGAGACAATTGAGTGGTGATTATGAAACGACATCGATTAGTGAAAGGTGATGTCGCGGTATTGGTGAAACGACATCGTTACATGGACAAGGTTGTAGGAGTTGGCTCAACGTCGTTTCGCCAAGTTTATGCAAACAGGAGCGGTTTCGAGTGCACGTGACTTTTACGCAAAGCAGAAAGAGGAGATCAAGGCAGTTGAGACACGTGGGATTTCAGGACGGAGCAGTTGAGGAAGCGGTTCCACCTAGCGTGAAGATTACACAAGTGATTTCAAATAAAAGCAGCGGAGCAAGGAGAGAGAAAGAGACAACCAAATCAAAACAGAAACACATCTGTCAAACTTTACCTTTTTTCTATGTAACTCCTTCGCGGAGCTCTCCACAGGAATCTCCATAGGAGTAGCGGTAGCGTAGATTCCTCAAAACTCAAACACCCTCGTTCGAACGTAGTTTGGAGAGGTGCGAACCATAGTAACGGTCGTTCTTGGTTAGAAGTCAGAGGTGCATCGATCAAATCAACACCGCCTGGCAGTGGATATTTGACGGTCACGTTGATTTCACCATTTAGAGGTGCATCGATCAAATCAACGGCGCTGACATTCGGCGGCGGATATTTGACGGTCGTCTCGATTTCATCAATCAGCGGTGCATTCGATCAAACGACACCGCAGGAGTTTCCAACGCGAAACATCAAATCAACATTGCCGGAAACGAATTCGGCACCGTCGGTGGCATTTGGTTTTCCCGAGGAAACAAAAAGGAAAGGTAGAGAGAGAAAGAAGTTTCTTTTTTACGCTTATCTATGGATTGGTGGATTGATAGATTGGCTCAAATGAGCCGGTGGCTTAGATTCATATATCCAAGTGACACCCAAATGTTGGACAATTATGTATATTTTGGATAGTTTAGGTACCAAAATATCATTATGAAAAATTTTAGGTACTAAAATATAGTTTTCGAATGATTTTTTTTTACAAAAAATTAAAAGTAAGGTATCAAAGTATAAAATATATAGGTACTAAATTGAAAATTTTCAAATATTCATGAATTTTGAATGGATTGATTTTAAATAAATTATATTAGTTTAATGTTTTAGTGTATGAATTGAATGTAAATTACCTCCTCTATTTGCACATCAACCTTCTTCTATTCTTTCCTCACCTCTGCAATCTAATCATCACAGGGTTCGAGCTTGTTGTTATTATTAATAATGAAGTCTCTCTAAACAATTGAAAATAAATCCCATCATCACAACATCAATTAATTTACTAATCTCACATTTTCTCATCATCATAAAACTTAGCTGCAATCAACAACAATGTGCATCCTAAGAATAATTTTATTTTGAAAAAAAAATCCATATTAAAATCTGTTAATTGGCGTGATTTATCCATCTATACAATCAAGAAGCAACCAACCAATCAATCAATCCAACCAATTTCTAAAAGAATAGGGTTTTTATTCGGTAATGATAATGACCCATCAACTAGTTGTTGAAATTAACATCAATCTCTTTGCAAATGAAAAGAAAAGCAAAAAAAAAAAAAAAAGCTTTCTATATATCATGAGTGCAGAATGAACACTAATTAATTAATTAACCCCAAGTAGCTGGATTAGGCAAAAGGAGGGCGGGGCGGGGCGGGGGGTTGACGCTCTGTTAAACATGTTAGATTCCCTTCATGTGTTAGTCGTTGGTGTGTTTTTAGCGCTAGATTAGATTGCGTGCTTTACTTAATCAATTAATTAATTGCGGTTTAGGGAGGTAGATAATCTATGTATATTCCATTAAGGGACTAGGGAGGAGGCGCCCATAGAGCGGGGGAAAACCAGAAACCAGCAAAAGCCCACAGCCAGCCAACGGTTTTTCCATCATGTTGACTCCATTCCTTTCCTTGCTTTGCCCCTTGTTTTGTTTTGGTCTTTTTTTTTTTTCCCCCTTAAACAAAGTGGGCAAAAAAAAATGGAAACATCTCCCGAAAACCAGGAGCTGAGAAAAAAAGGTTGGCGTTTTCCGCAATGTTTACGTGGCGATAGTCAGATGCAAAAATTAATTGTATAATATTATAATCTCCCGTAAAACAGCGGCCACCATCCCCTATTATATACCCAAAACCATCTTTTCTTCCCCACACTACTCCCAAACTCTTCTCTCTCTCTCTCTCTCTCTTCCTTCCCAAAAACTACTACTGCTCTGCTACTCCCCTTTTCTTCTTCCTTCACCATCTTTCCTACAAGAGTCCATCAATTTGCTTCAATTTCCCGGAGGAAAAGGAAAAAAAATGCGGATGAGCTGCAATGGGTGCCGCGTCCTCCGCAAGGGCTGCAGCGACAGCTGCAGCATCCGCCCCTGCCTCCAATGGATCAAATCCCCAGACTCCCAAGCCCACGCCACCGTCTTCCTCGCCAAATTCTACGGCCGCGCGGGGCTCATGAATCTCATCAACGCCGGACCCGACCACCTCCGTCCTGGTATACATAACATAGCATGATAGCATCCCCATTAATTCAACTTAATTTTTACTCTGATTCCACAATTGCATGTCACCCTTGTGCTAACGAATTTTGAATTTTTTTTTCCCGCAGCGATCTTCAGATCCTTGCTGTACGAGGCGTGCGGGCGGATCGTCAACCCGATCTACGGGTCGGTCGGGCTGCTGTGGTCCGGGAGCTGGCACCTCTGCCAGGCCGCCGTCGAGGCCGTGCTCAAAGGGGATCCGATCACCCCAATCAACTCCGACGCCGCCGCCACGGGCCAGGGCCCGCCTTTCAAGGCCTACGACATCCGCCACGTCTCCAAAGATGACAACCAGTCGACCGCCGCGGCGAATTCGAAATCCAGCGACGGAGGGGTCGGGTCGGGTCTCGCCCGGGCCAATCCTCGGTCCCGGGTCAGGCGGGTCGTCAAGCCCAAGCCCAACAAGCCGGCCGGGGTCGTGGTGGACCGCCCCGCCGGTGGTGGTGGTGGTTCGACTAGCCACGAGTCGTCGGTGAGCCACGGGTCGGAGGTGGCGGACGACAGCAAGGAGACGGAGAGCATGGTGTCGGGTGAGACGGCGGAGCTTTTCGGGCCGGAACCGGAGTCGGCCGCCGCGGGAGTGAAGGAGGCCGCCGGCCCAGATAACTGCGTGGGAGTTGGGCTTGGGCTTGGGCTGGGTCTGGAGCTGACGCTGGGGCTTGAGCCGATTGTGATGGCGGCGGCGGCAGCAGCGGCATCACGTGGCCGTCACGTGGTCCCGGTGAAGAAGAGGAGGGTGGAGGCGTGTGATGAGGACACGTGTAAGATGGAGCTGGGGCTCGAGTGTTCGGCTTGTTGAAATCCCTAGCAGCAGCTAAAGTGTAAAAAGGAAGAATAGTAGGTTGAACGAGAGACAAAATAGTCCAGTTTTGGCGGCTCGGCTCGGCTCGGCTGAGTTCGGCTTCTCCTGTCCAGTAGTAGAGAGTTGGCAACTAGTTTTTTTTTTTTTTTTTTTTTTGCTATTTTATCGGCTTGTAGTTTTTGTTATCTGTAATTTGTTTTCCTTTTGTTCTTTGTTCGGCTTGGAGCGCTCCTGTCTTTCTTTTTTGGACCCTTTTTTACGGTGAAGAATGAAACAAATGGAAGGTGTACAAAAGGGGAAAAGAAATGACTTGTAAATGAAGGGGAAAAAATAATCGGAAAAATCCCAATTCTGCTCTCGCTAACCATTTTTTTGTGGAATTGCATGTTTGTCCTCTCATCGCACTTGAATTTGGCAATATATGTTTCCTTTTTATTCGTGAAGCATCATATCCACTGCCAGGAAATTAATATGAAATCTAGAAAATTGTTTAATTAGGTCATGTATCATGTATGCCAAGTTGTTGTGAGGCGTCTCTTGAGTTACAAGAGAGATCGAGGAACGTAGTAGAATGATAGTTTCTACCAAAGATTTTGTGTTCGAGTGTTATAATTCCATAGAATAACATCGTCTCAGTGGTCGAGTTGGTGGAATGACTGTCTCTACGAAAGACGAATAATTCAGTGCAAACGAGTGCAATGCGGCGCAGTGCCGACACGATCTCTTCAACTGAGAGTTACGAGAGACAAAGTCTTTGAAATGGATCTAATTACATTTCTCGTCTTTGTAAGCCAAAGTATTTGCTAAATATTGTGCTGATGTGGTACAATTTCTTGTCTTCTTAGTGAAGTATTTGTTTCATTTCGTGCCAATGTGTTATAATTCGGTGCGAACGGAGCGTGCAGAGTGCCAACAACAATACATCACTTAAAGGAATGAAGAAGAAACTTAAAAGAAGAAGAAGAAAAAAAAAACTAAGTACAAATGAAGTAAAGAGAGGGGGCAAAAAAAAGGACTCCAACTTCAACTGCTCCAAAACGTATGGCCGTAAGTCTCGCCATGAAAACAGGCCATATATCATACAACTAGGGCTAATCACCAATTTTTGGTGTGGGAAAAAAAAAACACTATTTAAGACTATTTATCCAGAAGTTGCATTAGTTGGTATTATATTAAACTGACCAACTGGTGTCAATATATATTCTTGCCCAATAAATCCATATAATAAGCTAGGTTTGTATACTTAAATCATGTGGACACACTGTTAGGTAGTGTACATACATTGAAGCTAGACAAACCAAATCTAACGACTTAATTATATTAATTAACTATGCGTACAAAAGCTAAGCATATAGGTTATATAACTAATTATTTGGTGTGTTAATTAGATAGGTATACATGTTGTCACAGTTGACGCTTAATTATAATCAGCTAAAAACAAAGAACTACATATGCGTTGGAGTGGGCGAACTTTTGTCCTCGTAAAATGTCGTTCCGTGTGGTAGTGGTAGATCGTGGGCGGTACCTGGTCTGGTTCAGACGCGTAGATAAGATTGGCTACGGTCCGATCTTTTCGAGAATATAAGGATCAAAGATTGAATTGGATAAAGTTCAGTTTTGATTTGGTCCGGTTTCAATTTGGTCTTGATTTTAGATTGAGCTTGTGGGGATTTGAGTGGCATGAGGGGGAATTTGAGTGACCTAAAGTCTGAAAGATTGAGGATGTTAAATTTTGGGTGTTGGGCTCACTTATGCGGTCTTTATCCGATTTTCGGCTCAATTCTAAACGATGTTTTTTTTATCTCAAATCTATACCCGAAAATTGGATTCGATTGTTTACTATCTGATCCCAGTCCAATCTCGGTTCTATTATACGATCCGATTTCAGGTAAAATAAAAAAGGCCGGACCAAATAGCAACCCCTATTACGTAGCTGGGGTTGAAGCTAAAATTAAAGTGCATGAGAATTAAAGGCAAAGGCGGCAATAACAATGAGCAAAGGAAAAAAAAAAAGTTGTGAATGAAGGCAGACGACGGTTACGAGCGAGCAAATGAACATAAGCCAGCGCACAGTGGTTTTTGTTTGTTTTACGTTTGCTTTCAGTTTTCAACACAGATTATTTGTCGTCGACGGGAAGTCACGACGTGTGTATTTTACTGTTTTGGATCTCGTCTGGATCTTTCTTCACGGTGTATATTTACTGTTTTGGTTCCTCAAGTAGAGTGGCAAATCACGAACTGATACGCATTGTGTTAGTGAATCACGCGTAAATCTTTATGTACTTTATTTTTTTCTTTCGTTGTCGATTTCTCGATGTTAGCAAACTAACCACTTGGTCCCAATAATTCGAGTTGTTGAGAAAGGGATAGTTAAGCCTTTTAACCTCTTATACGACCCCTCAAACAAAAGTCTACCTTTGTCGGGGTTTTTTATACGGTTTGCAGAGGTTGAACGTATCATTCCTTGTGCTGCCAAACCCATTAGGCTTTCAATTTGTACAGGTTGGACATACCATTCCTTGTACTAAACCATTGTTTGCTTAAATTGGGGGTCGTCATGAGGATTCGAAACCATAAACTTTCGGTTCTAGGCTCTGATACCATGTTAGCGAACTAACAATTTGGCCAAATTGTTAGTTCGCTAACATGGTATCGCGGAGTATGTGTTTTTAACTTTTTGCCTTCATTCGAGGGAAGAGAGAGAGAGAGGGTTGCATGCAATGCAGGCAGAAGCTAGGTAGCAAGAAGGCAGGAAGGAGGGATGGGGTTTTTATTTTTTTCAGGTGACAAGTATGTGGTGGGCAGAGGGGATGTGCCACGTTCTTTCCGCATGTCTTGCACTTGTTCTCCTTCCACGGCGCCCTCTTTTGCCCTTTGGCAGTTTCCTCCTCTTTTTTTTTTTCCGTTGTGTTTTCTCTGATCTATTGGGTTTTGTTTTTTTTTGTCTTTCTGATTTCTGCAACACCAAGCCACTTGTATTGTTGTGGCAGTGAGTTTTGGCTTTTGCAGTTATTACACTTGTGTACGTAGTTGGTTAATGTAACCGGACCACCGGAGAAGCTAGGGTTGGCAGGCAGTGCTGCTGCTGCATGCATGGTTCATTGGTTTGGGTTAGGGGAAAAAAATATGCAATAATTTTTATGGAGCACAACTCTCTGGTAGTATTTAGATGAAACATATCTAGAGGTGTCCATTCGAGTTCGGTTTTTCGGGTTTACCCGAAACCGATCCGATTATATATATTTTCGGTTTTTTCGGGTTCGAGTTCGTTTCGGGTTTTGGGTTTTTCGATTTCCGGTTTGGTTTTGCTTATCGGTTTTTCGGGTTCCGGCTAAAAACCTCCAATGAATAGAACTCAACCCATATTCTTAGACGTTCGGGTTTTGGTTTTGCTTTAACTGAACCCGATAAGAAATTTTCGGGTTTCGGGTAACCGGAACTCGCAAGTACTTATCGGATTCGGGTTTGGTTTAAGTGGTTTTCGGTTTCGGATTTTCGGGTTTTTTCAGGTTTCGGTTCGGATAACCGAACCGGACCCGAACTGACACCCCTAAACATATCCCTATATATTAGAAACAATTATTAAGAATGTGCTTCTATTGCCAATTTTCAATAAAAACCCATCAACTACATTCCGCAACATAAAATAGTTCTAATAAGTTTACTTTTAATATTTATAGTACAATACCTTTGATTAATTTCGGTTTTCCGAGATTTAGAGAAATAAATAGAGGTCTAAAAACTGACACTTACTCGTTCATTTTGTCAAGGTCTAGTCTCCTGAACAACATTTCGACCGTCGTCGATTTTTTTTTATGAATTTAAAAGAAGGGCGGGTTTGATTTTCGATGCATAGAGGCATGTTTGATGGGGAAAAATCACAGATGAAAATGTTTAATGTAAGAAAATCATGAATGAATGAGCATGTTTGATAAAAATGCATAATAGATGTGTATATTATACCTATAACATTTGGGTTTACTACTTTTTTTCCCTCAAGTACGAAAAAAATGAGATCTAAACTAAAAATTCTTATGGCAGTATATTTCATATACACAAGTAAATTACGAACAAAAAAATTAATCATTGTTTTAATTTATTACATGGTATTCATTATTATCACTAAAAAAAAGAATGTCTTGAATACTAATATTGTTTAAAATTATTTTATCCATTATATATTTAAAATTTATCCTTTTTTATTTTCATAAAGGTGATACAAGTCTGATTTTTAGTTAAGGGCTACTTAAGTGATCGAAACTTGGATCCACGGATTCTAGACTGATAGTAACAAAAAAAAATATTTAAAATTATCCTTAAAATTATGAATGTCTAAGTTGAAATAAATGGAGGGTCAAACACGAACTATTTTAGTAATTCAGTAACCAACCTTTCAATTTACCCTATAGAATATAGATTAGAAGTTTTCAAATTTATGGACCAGAAATTTCAAACGTCCAAATCCGTGGACCTACAAATTTGACACCCATATTTATCCTACAAACATTGATCGAGTTTAGGTTTACTGATGGATTTGATTTGAGTATCGCCCCAATCTATAAAAGCAAACGAGCCCATGAATGAAGAAGTAGGATCTCTAATCTGGCCCAGAACATATGTTTATTGGACCGGAACTAAAAGTAGGAACATTATTGCTTATTGGACCTAATCTGGGATTTGGGCCTGAAAGGAACATGCCAGGCGTTGGACCTTTTGCAACTGGGCCCATAGGAACTGGCGGCTCCAGTTGATATGAACCAGTCATTAGGGTAATTGCCTTTGTTTTGCAGTCTGTTCTCTGATTAATTTTTGTGAATCTGGAGACACTATAACTGGGCTTTGGTACTATTACGTGCTCTTGAGTCTCTTCTTTAAAAGCAATTAGAAGGTTATTATACAATATAAAAGTAAATCAAAATTATCCGATTCCTCCGAGGTATTTTTTCTTGGGTGAAAATTGCTCCAAGGTATTAGTAATATATTTTATGTTTGGCATAAAAAATGTGATTTATCACCCTTAAGATTGTACTGTGGTTTATTAATCTTTTGTCATGCTAGATACTCGCATATGGAAATAATGGTTTTGATTCGAGTATAAGAATTTGGGCTTCCAATGGGTTTAGGTCCAAGGAGAGAGACCTTGTAGTGGGCTCGGGCTCGTTGATGATGTCGTAGTTTGCCATATTAGAAAGATTAGCATCCAACATAAATCATGTTTTAAATGTCAACGAGGTAAATTAGATATATACCATTCAATAATATTATTATTATTTTTTGCGGAAAGATGAATGTAGTAGCTCTAATGGTACCGTCGATTGGAAGTCACATCGCTTGGATCCTGTTGGCCGATCAGCGAGTCGGGATCCAAGAGCAAAGCACCCTGTTAGGGGCAACGACCCGATCCACGGTGGATGAGATTATAAATGTTTGGTTTTTTTTTTTATTCCGAGTCTGGTATGTAACCTTATTCTTTACCATATTAGATTAAGGAATTAGATCATTTGGGAAACTACTATATATACTTCTCATACCCTCTGTAATATCTAATCTCCTCAAGTATAATGAATTTGGCTCTATCTCGCCCATGAACTAACTAACACACACTGTGTTAATAAACCACGAAAAATCTATGTGTTTTTTACTTTCTTGCTATCATTGTTTTTCTAACATTATCGATCGATGATCCCGTTATATATCCATCAAGCGGCTTACCAATACTGATGTTGCTAACTTTTTGTACCATAATTTCACCCCTCCTAGCTAGTTGGTATATAGTCATGGATTGGATGACAGTGCAGACGACTGATTTGAGTCTTTTCATCTTATTCTTAAAAAGCTGGTCCATGTAGGAAGCCAAATGAGAATATGGTAAATGACGAGGGAATGATGAGTTGAGAGTAGTTGACTCCAGTGCAGTGCAGTATTGTTGGAACATTATTGGCCAACTGGTTTAATTTCTCATCAGAATGATTCAGAATGAGAATATATCTGTCACAACTAGCTAGGCTGCCAAGATCGTTTCTTTGGAAGTTTTGGCACTTGCAAGCGAGTGAGCCACCAGCTGCAGGCAGAGGTTGCAAATCCCAACCCGAGCCACCAAATAACACGTTTGGCTGGAATACAACGGCGGATCCAGAACATAGTAGAGTAGTTGGACGCAATTGTTAGAAAATTAGACACCGTAATAAAAAAATGGTTTTTTTGTACAATGTCAATTGTACAAGACTGTTTTTTAATTAGCGAATTCATCAATAATGGAGTCTACACACATACCAATAGCATACTCTCTTTCAAATAAAATAGTTTTGACGAGAAACTCATTGCTCATTTAGTTGCGCAAATCAGTTTTCACACGTTTCATTGTTGAAAAGGTTCTCTACATAGTAGTCGTTGAAACAAGCAACGTCAAGACTAGACAAATCAATCGACTAATCGGTTGTATTGTGTGTCCATCCCTATATCCACCAGCTCTAGTAATTTTTGAAGGGAACAAACCTCGTATTTCTTTTATGTGTTATTGTTTATTTTTGTAGACGGAAATCAATGGAGCTAGAATTTTTTGGCTAAATTTAGAGTTGTGATATGAATATGTTCATCT